GGAAGACGAAATTTGCAGTATAAAATGATGTCATTCTATTTCACAGGTTCTCATCAGCTACAGACTACCTGAAATTACGATGGTTTTATAGATGATAATAACATACTTTAATGTTTGAGTGGTGGTAGAGAAGAGATACTATAAAATTGACGCGTCCAAAATGAAAGCATTACAGAATTTTGATTTTGATCAGTCATCTAATTCAGTGATCTCAACTCACTGAACAAATCTGAATCTCATAAACTGTAACCGCTTTTGTTTTTTGAGTTGCTGTGTGAACCAACAAGCTAACACTGTTTTGCTAATCAATTTTTCTGTTTTCTGTCTTACCCCCTCCCCTCTCTTTTCAACTTTAAAAGCGTATAAATTGATGATGAAAACTTAAACTAAAAAAATTGTAATACTGCTTTCATTTTGGACGCGTCAATTTTATAGCATCTCTTCTCTACCACCACTCAAACATTAAAGTATGTTATTATCATCTATAAAACCATTGTAATTTCAGTTAGTCTGTAGCTTGATATAAGTATAAAACTTGGGCACTGTGGTAGAGTATAATTCCATTATAGATAAGATTTTATTTTGATAAATCGCACAGTGTTTACAGTTATATGAACTGTAAACACTGTGCGATTTATCAAAATAAAATCTTATCTATAATGGAATTAGTCTGTAGCTGATGAGAACCTGTGAAATAGAATGATATGATTTTATACTGCAAATTTCGTCTTCCTTTCTTTATCGAAATTTATCAAGGGAACCAAATGTTATGAATTAATGATTACATTAGTAGTGAAGATGCAAATCACATGTCATGAGCAAACTTGTTCATTGTTGTATAGTTTTTAGGCATACCATTTTACTGCTTAAATCGTTGATATTCCAGTCTTTGACCTATTTTCTGAAGGCCAAGAGACTTCTTAGACCGTTTATTCATTGTCCAACCTAAATTTTAAGAAAAATACTGACCTTACTTGCCAACCATAAAATAAACTTAAACCATCTGAAGTGAATAAGCTTCAACTTTTAGATTATATGTTCGATCCCTTTTTTCCTTCTCACTATTTATCACTAATTTGTTATTCGAGGTGTGGTCATAAAAATAAGAAAAAAAAAGGGGGGGGGGGAACTACTAAAGCTAAATTCCAAGACAGCATTATATACTACTTATTCGTACTAGTAGTTGGAAACTACTCACTTCAAACAGTAGTAGTACTTGCCATCCGGATTGAAGTGATATTCCCAACTTTTAATTGTACTTTTGGTAGTGTGATGTCTTCATTGAATTGTTCTGATATGAATAGATGGTCTCACCTAAATCGTCGTAAACTGACTCAGTCTAAATGTCATATTGTCAATTTCAGTTTCAGACGTGAATAACTCTTGCTTGAACTGATTTAGTCCCATGATTCCTGTAATATTGACAACACTGTCATAGGAAATAAATCGAATATTTCCTATCTTGGCATCAGCTTTTCTTCATTCTGTCTATTGGTGGTCTCATATGCTGTTGACTTCTAGGAAACTTTTTCGTTTTGACTTACACGAAGAAGTTGCGATTTTCTGGAATCATAATCCAACCTCTCCTCATAATAATGAATCCTTCATATGTATCCCAGCAGATGTTATGATTCCTAACTCAAATAGTGTAAATAATGACTGCTTCTCATGCTGTAACACGAATAATGTCCTCAAGTGTCTTCAATCTCTCAAGCCTACTCAGTCCCTTGGTCCTAACGGTGTTCCTGCTGTTATCCTTAAGAAGTGTGCTGACATTTTGTGTTCCCCATTAACTGACATTTTCAACGAATCGTTTTCCAAAAGTATTATACCTGAATCATGGAAAAATATCAAGATTGTTCCAGTGCCTAAATCAACAAGTGGACCTAATGTTAAGTTTAGACCCGTTGCTATTACCTCACCTTTTCTGAAAGTTATGGAAAGACTTATTTTACTTAATCTTGAACCCTCTTTAAAGCCTTTCAATGACCCCAACCAGTTTGCTTATAAACATAGTAGGTGTACGTTAGATGCTGCTGTTGTCCTACATCATAGTATAGTCTCTAGTTTAGATAAAGGAGCTAAATACGTTCGCTGTGCCTTCCTTGACTACACATCTGCATTTGACTCTGTTCCCAGGTCTCTCTTGCTAAGTAAGCTTGCTGCAACACAGGCTGAGAGCTGGACAAATAAGTGGTTGCATTCCTATTTTTCTGATAGGAAGCAGTACACCGTCTACAATGGAAAGTCCTCCACTACCTCACTTACTTTAGCTGGTGTTCCTCAAGGTGCTGTTCTTTCTCCCTTTCTGTTTTCGTTTTTCTTACATGACTTGCCTCATTCTGATGTAGCCACTTTTGTTAAATATGCCGATGACCTCTCGGTTTCTATGCCTGTCAACTCTCAGTCAGATTGTTCCAAATTAAATAACTTTCTGTCGGAAATTAGTCAGTGGTCCTCTTCAAACGGACTTAAGCTTAATCCGTCTAAATGTCAGGTAGTCAATTTCACTTTCAGACGTAAACGTGACCTACAGCAACTAGTTAGCTCACATGGCCCCACTCTCATTGACGGCACAGAGGTTGAAAATACATCTAATGTCAAGTACCTTGGGCTGAGTTTTTCCACCGATCTTTCCTGGTCTTCCCACATCTTGCTAGTTACTAGAAAGATGTTTCGCTTAACGTTCTACGTTAGGAAATTTAGGCAGTCTGGCATAAAGCAGTCTTTGCTTTCTCAGTTTGTAAATTCTTGTATTCTACCCATCCCCCTTTACTGCTCCCCATTAATCTTTCCTGGACTACTTAAGAAAGACTTTGCTTCGCTGAGAAGGGCACTAAAAGCCGTTAGTAGGGCAAGTGGGATATCGTTAAACCAACTGGTTAACACTATTGTGGATAGACATATTATGTCATGTAAGAAACTAGCGAATACAATATTGTCAGACCCCGAGCATCCTCTCTATACGCAGCTGTCTCCTTGCATTTCATCTGGTAGAACTAGAAGCAGCTATAGGAGGCTATATGCTAGGACTACCAAATACAAAAACTCCACAATACCATATCTGGCACAGCTGTTATGTGATGAGAAATCCGTTAGTTATGACACGATCAACTTACTGCGGCACTCTAACAAATAGTCCTATTAGTTTTTGTTTTCCTTTCTTCGTTACTATTATATTGTTGTTCACATCTTCTATTACACACTAATTTTACATTTCATATCCTGTGGTGCATTGTTTAAACTGTAAACGCTACGCTGTTGTTTTTATTTATTTATTTATCTTTTTTTAGTGTTGCTTTTTGATTTTAAAAATCTTATAAAATGTGTGAGGTAATTAGATGCATTATATTGTAATCCACGCTGAAAATTCCATACCTGTACCACAAGCTGGAATAAAGCTATTATTATTATTATTTGTCTCATTCTAAAATAGCAGTAATGATACGGTGTGGAGTATTCAGTTTTTTTTTTACAACATTGCATCTAATTTACTGAACAGCAACAACAACAACAGAAAAAATAAACTTACAAGGGTACACTTAGCCGAAGTTGATAACAGGAACTTTTGGCAATGTCAGCAACAGTAGAGTCAAAGTGGACATATGCAAAATGATAATAATAATAATAATAATAATATTAGTATTAATAACACAAAATTATAAGATAATGGAGATATTGTCATCATAAATTTTTACATATGTGGGAGAATAACTGAACCACCTGTTAAACTCATTACACGGTAAGTCATAAATTTAGCGTTTAACACTATCTCTGTCATATAGAACGCGGGCCAGTTAACCAATTAGTTCATGCATTCTGCTCATGCTTATTTATTGTTCACCCTTATTCATTTTTGGACATATCAGAAAAGACTATGTCATATTACGCAGAACACTGAAGATTGTAAGTAGGGTTAGTGGTGTGTCTGTGACTCCAACTAACTGATATTGTTGTTGATAGACATTTTAATTCTTGCAAGCAGTTGGCTAAAGTTATCATGTCTGATATCGAAAATCCTCGTTATTCGCAGCTCTTTCTTTGTATCCCTTTAGGGTGGAGGGCGGGGGTGAGGTACCGCAGAATATAGAAATTCTGTCGTACCATATTTAGCAAGGTTTTGTGTGAAGAGACAAATATCAGAAGACGCCGCTAATAAACTTTTTAAAGCAGTAATTGCACTGCAAATTATAACGAGGATTATTGTTAATATTATGTGTATTATTTGTTTTATCATGTATTTGTTATTCACTATTTTCCATAAGTTTCAAGTTATTGTGGCTTTGTTATTTTAAAAATTGTATGTATTTATGCATTTATAAAAGGAGCTAAATTTTTACCGTATGTATAAAACGCTGACAACTCCATTCTGTATGATTATTATTCTTTGGAATAAAGTTATTATTATTATTACTATCATCATTGTTATCCTAAGTAAATTTCAGTTTTTCTCTAAAAAACTTCACTAATTATAATCCTTATTACAGGATTTTATTATGAGCTGACATTGGTTAGAGAACCATTGGATAACCTGGGAGTACTGGACAGCTTTTTCGTCCTGGTTTGGGACTCTTCACCAGTACACGCCCACCGGGGTTTGGACCCAGGACCTACTGGTTACAAGGCGCGGTTCTAGTGAGAAGTCGTGACCAGTAGGGTGCAGCAGGCCGGTGTGAGGACAAATACTCGCCGAAGACATAGGCTAGCGGTCGCGATATGTTGTGGATTGGCAGTAGTTAGAATTCATGGGCCATTGGATCGGGTCCCAGTGGCTTAGTGGTCTACGAGCTCGCCTTGTAACCAGTAGTTCCTGGGTTCGAACTCAGGTGGTGCGTACTTCTGAAGAGTCCCAAACCAGGACGAAAAAGCTGTCCAGTACTCCGAGGTTTTCCAATGGTTCCCTAACCAATGTCAGCTCATGATGAAATCCCGTAAACAACCAACCAAATCCCTACAAACCAATACTTGTATAATCCTTATTGTTTTGAATTTTTGTCCAGATAAATTAGCGTATGCATCAGAATGTGAATCAGTATTTCGATTTAATCCCCAATCTATTCGGTTATTAGTGTTTACAACAAGACTATACATACGCTTAACTTTGCATAATTTGCCACTGTTCACCAGCTGTAGCCATTATGCATTATCACCAGCATTATCAAAAACAGCCCCCACAGAGTCATCGTGTAGAAAAGAAAAAGTCGGTGTATCAACGGAGTGTGAAAATCAAGCCTGGTCCAAATGTCTATCAATGATAGTTGCTAATTTTTATAGTATATTTAATTCTCCTTTGCACGGACCACATCCAACTGAAGATAAATACCTACAAGTAAGTATGCCAGGCACATTTTCGTTTTGATATGATTTAAAATTAAATATTCATCTCATTTTCTCCTAAATATCTTTTTCAGGGATTTGATTTAATATCTGTTAAAAATCGGTATTTTCGTGTCAAAATTTAAATTCCCGCTTTTTGCGCCTTTTTTGTATTAAGCGACCGGTTTTTCTGTTTTTCCCTACTTCTTCTTAAAACGAACCCGCTTATCGGTTTATCGACGGGTTAATTGTTAAACAAACAGACAATGAATTGTATTTAGAGTTGGATTCTGCCAGTTGGTATTTTGATGAGATGGTAAAATTAACGTCCAGGTCGTCTGTATTCTTTTTGTGCTTGATTCTTATTGTTGATTTTTAGTTACTGGTTGTTGTTACAGAAGTTAGCCAATCTTCCAAGTCAGATTCCTTTTCTGCCTGTTAAGCTGCGAACAGAACTTAACAATATGTAATAATTACTGTGTATCTAGAAGAATAAAGTCAGCTAATTTTTTTTTTTGTATGGGTGTAGGAACTTCATTTTTAGCTAAGTACTTGTCTTTAATTGAATTTTAGATTTTCCTGTCGATTGATTGAACCGAAGTGCTCAGTCTCAGCTTGACATGTCGGCTTCTTGTGCAGATGCTTCAACGATGTATAGGCATTTAATTAGTATTTAATTGGTGGATAGCGACCAGCAGTGGAATCCAGGATGCGCATTTCGTCCTGTTTTTGGGACTCGCCAGCTGGATACACCTGCATTTCTCAGTGAGTGCCCATAGTTTCAAACTTCAAAGCGCTATCCACTAGACCACTTGGGCCACGAGAGCCACCTCTTGTGCGACGGGTGGGAACATCACCCCTCACTGAGAAATGCAGGTACATCCAGATGACGAGTCCCAAATAGGACGAAATGCGCATCCTGAGTTCCACTGCTAATCACCATCCACCAGTTAAATACCTAGTTGTCCGTTCGATTCTTACTTTACTTGTGTTAGCTGTGCAACATACTTGTTATAGCAGCCTTGACAAATTGAATCTCACTCATTGTCTAGTTTAATATCTTAAATGTGTGCTTGTTAAATTACATTTCATTCATTTCAGTCCTCCTTCCAACTAAGTTATGTATGTCTGAGATAATGAGACTATATGTATGAATATTCCGTTGATATAAGTTACTCGAAAAGTTTCTAACTATGTTGTTATACTGTGTTGAGAGCTGGCTGCTAGCCAAATTGGTAGACAGTAATTTTCCTCAATGTTCACGTCCTCAATATTGGTCGTGAGAAAATATGAACAAAGACTGATTCAGCAACTAACCACAGCAGACTTTGCGTAGGCGGATACAGTTAGCATATAGATGATCTGACATTCAAGAAACACCCACAAAGAGATGAAAGATTTACTTTCAATGAGAAACAGCCAATGAGAAGACTGTATTTTCCTGCTAACAATAATCTATAATAATGTACATGAAAATCTATAAATATGTGTTGATTTCCTTAATAAACGATCTGTTGCCTGGCCCTTGTCTTCTATTGTGACAATACTACTTATCTGAAGATTGGTTGTCGACTGAACTCTGTAGATGAATAAGATCAAGAAAGTCCTAGAGTTTTCACGTAATCTAGTCATTGTGATAGGGAGAATCGGTCATTTCAGTGTGTAAACACTTTAAATGAAAGTAAACTCTTGTTGTCCATATTCCCCATACATATATGTATTTCTTTAAAAAGGTTGATACATTTCAGCATATATATTTACTACTACCTAGTTGCCTAGGTTGGAGTAGGTGGAAGTGGACTCGAATCTGCAAATTATCATTTCTGACCCTTACTACTTTTGTTTGACTTTGTCGTACTTTGTGTCATATAAATGTATCCTGATTGAGTTTTTTATCTCGACTAAGTACATTAAAAAAAAAAACTCAGTGAGGTAATTACTGAAAAGCGATGAATGTTTAGAGTTTTCATGCAGAAGAAAGGCAGCTCTAAACTCTTTCAATTGGCTTTTCTTGAATATGTTATTCTACAAGAAAACTGATTGTGATCAGTTAGTGTAAACTAAGAAGAAAATCAGCAGTTGTAGTAGAATTTAATTCCATGTTTGATATATATATATATATATATATTTTTTGATAAAGCACGAAGTCTTTCAATATAACTGTCAAATCAACAATTACAACACTTATGTAATAAAAAGCAGTTCAACTGAATCAAGTTGCTATCAATATAAAGTTACTGCCGGTTTGTATACGATCTTTGTGGGTGAAACAGTCACTCATAAAAATCTGAAATTAATGAATGCTAGTTGTTCACAAAATATCTCTTCAGATTTAAAAGTAAAACTGAGACAGAAATTCTCCGTAAACGGTTTCCAAATGCTCTGACCGCCAACCCTACAAATAAAATTTTCTTGCAATACACTATTCAAACAGCATTCGGGAGAAGTCTGTCACATCGTACCACATCGACTGGCATATGCACCAGTTGATTTACTCCTGTTGAGTTGTCTAATACTGACTGTACCATGCATTCACTTGGAAAACTCGCTGGTGAACACTACTCAAACTAGCTAGCAAAGGGAGAATGGAAGTGTGCTTTTAGTTCGATAATAGAACACTTTTGTGTACTCAGGACACAGCTATATCTATATCTGGAAAATTCTTCGAAGTCTTATATAAGATCAGATAATACCTGTCAAAGGGATTAGGATCACGTATATATATTTTTTGATCTGAAAATTTTAGGCTTCCATAGAAAATCGTGGTGAGTTTATGTGATTACCTTAAACTGGGTAACTGATTCAGTTATAACAGTACCTACAGTTTCCATAGTCTGATGAAATAAAGCAGATAGATGAAACGTTGATGTTAAATAACTATCCTTTAAAATTCATTAGGAAGATCGGAAAAGGCCAAAAGCAAAATAAAAATGTGATAACACAAATAAAAGAGAATACAAGTCATTTACTGCTATACCATATAAGGAGGGGACATCTGAGACCTTATGTAGGATTCTTAATGAAGCAGGAATTAGGATGGCATTCAAACCTACAAACTCACTTAGAGACAAGCTCTGTAGGCTAAAAGACTCGGTGGACCCAATTAAGCAAATAATATAATTTACAAAATACCCTACGATGACTGTAAGGTCAACTTATAGGTCAAACTAGTAGATCGCGGGTAATCAGATTGTCGGAACACAAGAATTTAGCTAAGGTAAGAATGATTGACCCCGAGAAGGTAAGTAACTTAGAAAAAAGCTCAGCACTACATTGCACTGCATGCATTAACGCACACCCACACAATAGGGTGAGAGAGGGTTAAGATCCTAAGAAGTAATCTAGGTAGGTGAAGAAAGACAGATTGATTACTGAATCCTGGTTCATTGAGCCTACACCCAACACACCACATGCAACAGAAATGACTGAATGAAAATACCAGAAATATGGAAGATATGATTACCGCCGGTCAAATCAGAAGGGGATAATAAATAATCTTAAAATTATATTTCAATTCAAACACACCACAACATTCTAACGAGTAACTTATTATGATTATAGAAATACTCGTCTTATTTCCCATCTGACTTTATTTGACTGATAATACTAATATTATTTCTGAATGTACATTATCCTATATTGACTTTTATTTAAATATCCGATGAATTCCACTCATGTATATAAATGAAGGAAAAAGCTGTGTGAGTGACTTGATATGATTATGAGCAATAGTTTGTGCTCGAAACGTTGTCATCAGTTAATATTATTGTGTAACACTGTGTGGAGATGGATTGGACACTCACTGAGGAGGCCGTGCGTCAGGCCATCGCTCGAGTAGAACCCGAAAGGCAAGCCGCGAGTGGGACGTCAGTGTAAGGGTGACATGGAGGAGATCGTGTGAGGAGGAGTTGAAGCAGTATGGACTAACATGGATGCAGGTGAAAAGTACAGCAGAAGGAAGACAGAAGTAGGTGGAGACGTTCAGTTGAAGCCCTATGTTCCAATAGGAACCCAAGGGAACAATAATAATAACACTGTGTGATTTATCAAAATAAAATCTTATCCATAATGGAACCGCATGCGAGTATTATCATCATCATCATCTAGTTTTTGCACTCTCCATAGCCAATTATCGTCTGTAATCTTGCTTTGATGAGTCATTTATACAATAAATTTGTTCAGTTATCTGCGAGGAGGTGTAGCGGGATAAAGACAGAATAAGATACAAACCAAAATTTAGCTTACTACACTATGACGACTTCTATATGCCTAATTCATTGCCTATTTTCATAAAGGAAACAAAAACTTTATTCTATTTAATTTTCGATTTGTTTTATTTTGCATTTATTCCATAGATTAACATGAATCAACTGATTGATGAAATTTTACAATTAATGGCTTGTTTACTACACTGTTCAAGTGAGTTAACTAACAATTTTGATAGTGATGGTACTTCCACATGTATGCACACATACATACATACATACATGCATAAAAGTATTCTTTAGAATTTGTTTTACACTTAGAAAAAACAAAAAGGTATCAGTTTCAAGAATACAATAAATAGATACTTCATAAGTGCCACTCTAGTTTTGTATGTATTTATTACGACGCCTACTGAGAATACTGTAGCTATTTAAGATTGAAGTACAGAAAAATGTCAGATGATATTGTTACAGTATAGATAGGCAGAACAATTTGAGACTAATTGGGGTGGTAAATACTGGTCATGGTATGTTGTCTAGCTAATTGGTGGTAATCATTCAAGTCTATCAGTAGTCTCTAAAGTGTTAAATCAACGTGATTTCATCACTGTTGGGGTGGGTGGGGCAGTATCGCTTGTCTCATGCTAAGCACACCACTCGTTTACTCGAGATGATGACTCCTAACAACTCAGCCAACTAATTCAGATTAAAGTAACCAAATCTTGGCTAGATAACTATGAGGATCTATTAATAATGTTCATTTGTGTATAGTATTGTAACAGCAGAAGGCAAGACACCAAAGCCATGGTATTTTTTTTTCTTCATTGATCCGACCACTGTTTATATACATACAGTTAACCAACCACTGAGGGCGTGATTTTAGTTTACGTTAAAAGACATAAAATAGACATATATTGTATTCTTTTGCTAATGCTGTATTGAAGTGTGGGAATATGTGAGAATCATATACCATGGGAACACATTTTGTGTGTCACCCACCACAGTATGAGAACTATTTAGATTTGCTATTTTTTTAATATTTTTTATTTCAATTTACTATAGCTTGTTTCTACACTGCATTTTGGTACAAGTATGGAATTTTCAGCATGTGCTGCTGATCGACCAAATTAAGCAGGCCAACTATTTTTATCAGGTGTCCGTCGGCCGGAGATCGAACCCTAAGCCATATGCACGACCGGCGAGCGTTTTAACCGCTGTGCTACTGACGTACATTGGTAAAGGAGGTGATTAGATCTCAAGATAGATTTTACCACAAATCCAATAGAATTTGAAAGAACCGTCTTCATTCTAGTTTGGAGTCCTCCAGTAGGGAACAATTAGCATCCTACTAGAGATCAAATTCAAGATCGACAAGTTATGAGGGTGACCAGAAGACCATTCAATCTGACTTTTATCGATTTGCAATATGGAGTCCCTACCATTAATCCTTTCATACATCATCAGAAGCTCAGGATACCTCTTTAGAAGTTAGTCTGTGAACTCAACACACGGACACAGGTTTTCCGTGTTCTAGACTATGAGCCACAATTATTTTGTGAAGTCTGATGATACTAGTCATTTGCCCAATGAATTAAAATCTTTCGAAATATCTTTTTTTTCAGTAATTAAGATAGCAATAATGGTGTAAAAGCAGTTGAAAGCCTAGAAGCGTCAGATATTTACTTGTTTTGTACTAAATTATGACTTTATAGATAATAATAAAAAAGACAGTTGCAGCCAAGGAAATCTTCTCTTCGACGAAGTCATCAACTAGGCTGTACACTTGTGTATTTATAATAAATGGGTAGAAAGCTCTAGAATAATTTCTGGTCAAGGGTCAGAATAATAGAATTACAATTAGGAATTAAAATGCCATAATAAACAGGGGAGGGCGGATAAAACTCAGACAAACTAGCATCATAATTACTAAGATGATTTGCGAAAAAATCTATCTTGAGATCTAACCGCCTTCTATGCCATTTTAAACTTCTTTATTCAATTGCTTCGAAAAAATGTCTTCCAAGCTTTCTCGTTGTATATATTCGGTTGTGTTACACGCGTTTCGTTTATTTTTATCTCTCTTATTTTAGCTATTCGATTGGGTTGTTTAGAGTTGTTGAGGTGTCTCATATCACCATTACGCTTTCAACCGATTAAATTTTGCACCGATTACACCTATCCACTTGGAACACTGAATATCAAATTGTTAGGAAATTTCATACAGATTATCTTAAAGGATATAAGGAAACCACAAACTGACAATTCGAGTATTCATCAGAATGATAGTGAGAAAACAGTAGCCAAGCGACTGTCTCCTTGTGTAAGTCAAGTCTTCTAATAAGCAAAATATGAAAATTAATCCGTTTGTTAATCCCACAAGACGAATAACTTTGAACAGCCTACTCAGAATAACACTTACATGTCATTATGTTGAACTATGAAATCGAATGTCTATTGTTTAGCCTGTACGAAACAGAAATGTTGCATACATATCAAGGATACTACTGAAGCGTTATACGTAACTTCTTCCTAATATCTTCACTGATTATCAGGAAGTTTACCTGGTTACATTCTGGACATTTGGTTGATTGTTTTACTCATATTTAAGTGTTGGTTTGTAGGGATTTGATGGACTGGTTACAGGATTTCATCATGAGCTGACATTAGTTAGAGAACCATTGGAAAACCTGGTAGTACTGAACAGCTGTTTCGTCCTGGTTTGGGACTCTTCATCGGTACGCACTCACCGGAGTGTGTCTGTCTGGATTCAACATAGAGCTTGGCACCGAAGTGCAGCAGTTCGAGTTGCCACGTTCCAAATAGCACACAAAGGTAGACAAGAAGATGAGTGAAGAGAATCAATACAGTCTGACAAGTATACGAGTGAAACAGAATGGGTAATGGTAGAAAGGAATATGAAAGATTACAGAGGCTGAATACATGTGCGCTGGCCATTGACAACGATTTTGAGCCATGTCACGTATTGTCTCCAGCCATTGATTCCTAGAGTCCCGAAGGCCCCAACCCGGAGTCTGCATCTCCCTACCTGACTGAGTTTAACTGTCATGGATTGACGCCATGTTTTTGTTTGGCCACCACTTACTCTTTTCCAACCTGCACCTATATCAGCTAGTAATGCCCGTCGGGTAGGCGATGGTTGTCTAGGGTCGTGAATTAGCAGAAGTTAGAATTCATGGGCCATTAGATAGCGTCCCAGTGGCTTAATGGTATACGAGCTCGCCTTATAACCAGAAGGTCCTGGTTTAGAAACCCAGTGGTTGCGTACTGATGAAGAGTCCCAAACTAAGACGAAACGACTGTTCAGTACTCCATGAAGGTTTTCCGATGGTTCCCTAACCAATGTCAGCTCATGATGAAATCCTGTTACTTATATTTGTTGTTGACATTTCATTCAGAAATTTTCGTCAGAATTTCCTTATTGCTTTTATATTTCAACTGTCTTATTATTCAAAAAATGCACGTGATTACCCTCAGAGTTAAGAGCCTAGTACTAAGGTTTGTCTGTATAGGTGTTCGCTACTGTGGCTTTATGCTACCTACTAAATGTTCCTTGGGTATTTGCCTTGTTGAACCTGCTGCAGACAGTCTCACAACATAACACAGCTCTCTTATCTCCGCTCTTTTGACATCGACATCGTCGAAATCATTAGTGATCGGAATGTGAGTGTGTTTTAAGTAATTTCTTGCAATCACGTTGAATGTGTCGTGTCTGTAACATTACACAAAAACCTTTTGTTCGGTCAATTATAGAACTGTATTTTCGGGTCCTTTGTACAACAGCTACAATTAACTAGCCCTATATAGGTGATAAATGTGAGAATCTGAACAGAGAAACAGAAAAGAATGTCACAGTGGAGATTATTCAGTGAATCAAAAATGTTCACTGAAGCACTAGAAAAAAAACATGAGAATTTACCGAAAATATTTATACGGTGATTCTGTTATTCTGTATTGTTGTACAATAACAAATTTATGCATTTTCATTCTGTGAGGTTACATATTTTGCCTGTTACTGTGGTACCAGGTATATAAGTTGTTCTATTCAGACTCGCAAGATCAGTAAGAGACCACTACCTAGCCCTTCTGCAAGGATTGTACTAATCGTATATATATATATATATATATATATATATATATATATATATATATATATATATATATATATATATATATATATATAACTATGTTACTGTCTTATGTGATCTTCATACAGGTTACAAGTGAAATGTTCAGTCTTCTGGTTGACTGGATTCAAAGAAGTAGTGTTCTAAACCCAGTTATATTCACTACATGGCCAAAATTGTTTCCAACAAGTGGAGTACAGTGTGATAAAAGCCTTCAACACATTTGCAGCTGTATGATGATGGTGATAATCTTTGCTCACATGTTTACTCTTATGCAATTGCATACGATGATCAGCATGGCAATAATTATACTAAAGTGTCATATGATAATTTCTTGAATATGCTTTGGCCTTCATCAATACATAGTGATGATGAGTCTTTGAATCAAGCCAAGTCAATATCTTCAGATATCCCTACTGATTCTACTAATCATATTATTAGTGATAGTAGCAATACTGTCAGCGACAGTAATACTTTGGCTCTGTCAACTTGGATTTGTCTACACGGGCGGTTACGCGATAATGTGAGTTGCACTTTGTTTTTATCACATAAATTTCATATTATCAACTTCGTCTCTTTTGTAAGCGATAAAACGCGGCCGGAGTTCTTTTTCTGATGACTTAAGTTATGGTTATATCGTGGGTGCTAATCAGTATTTATCGGATAATTTCGATAAGATAATGTAATTATCAAGTTTCAAGGTGACTGTTGTGAAGGCTGGTGATACTACACAATTGCACAAGTCGAATTAGAACTCGGGTTCCACTAAATGGAAGTTGAATGCTTACGTCAAGAAACGAATGTCCACAGTGACTGAACTATTCTGAAGTAATATTTTGTAGGAGTCATGATCGTGTTTCAGTTGTTCACCTTAAAGCTATCGAATTTTTATTAGGACTTCGAAAAATTCATCAGCTGAAATTATAAAATTGAATGACTCCTCTAGAGATATCTGACAATTTACTGTTTTTGTTTTTACTGTACTTATTCATCATATAAGGAAACTAATTGTCAAAAAGTTATTATTTCCTCACCCCTTTCCCTTTTAATCTGGTTCGTGTTGTTTGCTTGTTTTTTCTGTGAATTTTTCAGAAGCCAAGGCCTAAATTTACTCAACTTTCTGAAATGGATCTTTTCCATCATGTAGAATGCAATCATTTGCAACATCTTGTAAGCCTGGACATGAAACGTGAATATTCTGAAACAGGTAGTGTACCTGAGTGTCAGTCGTCCACAGAACAAGATGATTCATTGCATTCAGCATCTAACTCAACTAACAATTTGTCTTTACAGGTATGGCGTCAATTTTTAATTCATATATATATATATATATATATATATATATATATATATATATATATATATATATATATGCAAGGAGTGTATGTGATATCGTTACTTGGTTAGTTACTAACCTCACAAATTGCGAATAACGGCCGTACAGCCTTTTTTGAATGCATAGTTTAAGCTAATTAGTTCAAATGCGTGTCGTATCAGTTATATGTCATAGACGAATACGAAGTTCGTCGGAGAGATTAGATGGAATACTATGAAACATTTGTTTGCTGCCTAAAATGTTCTCCGTATACTTCTGGTTAGTCTCCGGAACAGCATCTCCCTCAACAAGTCCCCATTAAATTGTAAACTAGTAAATAAAAGTTTCTTTCGTACTGTCATCGACTCAGGTTTTCTATCTAATACTGTCATATATTTCTTTACGGAAATATTCGGATAACCGATCACTGTCAAAGAATCATGAATATATTCAAATTCCTTTGGTACATGATCTTCCGTACTTATCTTTCTCGCTCTCCTCATGAGATACTATATTTGTTTTATATATAATGGGTACATAACTAAAGAATTGTGTGCATTGGGGGATGGATAAAACAAACAAAGTAGCATCATAATAACTAAGAAGACTGACATTGTTCAATTAGGGGTTAGAAATGTAGAAATAACAAATAGACAGGATGTTTGGATAAAAACTAATGTGATGAATAATTGTTTATGTAATCAGGGATTAAATATGTAGAAATAGTAAAATGACAAAATAAACACTAAGTTCGGGTATGAAAATATGGTAGTGTAAACAGGGATTAAGAAAACTTAAAATAACATGAATAAACAGGAAGTTTAGATAAGAAAGGCGATGGGATGGTCATTACTAAATATTACCTGTTTATGATGGCAATGGCAGGGACAGAGGTTGGACGTATTTCTTTGTATACAAAGCGTGGGTTTGAGCTTTTGTATAGCTAGTGCCTCGGCTATGCCTAGATGCATTGCCCTGTGAATGTGTTTTTTCTATACATGCTCCTCCCGAGTCATCCATCTTTTCGCCTACTTAGCAAGGTATCCAGAAAATGTAGTGTATTATCCTGCTCCTCTTAACAAGTGAATGTAAGTAAAGAGTGGATGTGATTTAATTTCATCAACAGCTTATTTATGTTTACATTCTGATTATCTGAGATAAATGTATCATTCACGTAATGGTAGTAGATGTATCCAACTGATTGATGACACCTTTCAATCTTCCATTTTCATATTTTGTCAAGAAGTTAGCTGAAATCTGATCTCAGTCTTCTAAAGAAAAATTCTCTATATATTAATGTCAAGCTGTGATGTGATCAAGATGCTTACCAGTGCCTTATCCCAAGTCCATATGATTTACGTGAATACGCTTAAGAATTTACGATTACAGAGGTTTTTGTCAGGGGAGTGATTCAAACACACTGTATTCATCAACGCATTGCTTGATTTGTGTATTATGTTTTCAAGGCTGCAAATACTAACCTGCTGATGGTCCACACCGTTTACTGTTTTTCATGTTAAATGAAAACTAAAGTAACAATGACTTCTAAACTTTTCTCTAAGCAGTTTTATATTCGTGGTATACCAATTACCGCAAATTCATATTCATATTAGTTTGTGTATTAGATGTATCACACAGTGAAACAATATTATTTACTGGATGACAAGGTTTCGAACAAAATTTATTGTTCATAATCACTTCATGAATTATAATCACACGACTTCGAAAATTGAGTTTTATAGTTTTCATCCTTTCCTATTTGTCATAGGGGTAGTAGAATTTTTCAGATATCAGGGACAGGTGGTGAATCATTCCTATTACACGTGTTTGCAGTTGATTCGATAAACAAAGCTTCTGTTATCAATCTTTCCCTATACCCTGTGACATTAGATTTTAAAATTGTCATCTTATCCCATCCTATTGTACGGTTGTGTGTAATTGCATGTAGTGAATGCTACCTACGACTGAACTATTCTCCAGATTTCTTATCTTATTTGGGTCAACCAATCTAGATTTTGCTCGGTTTTTATGCTGGTTTAGTCTGACTGAATGCCTCTGTTCAACTACTCTGACAATCATTCCAGCAGAGTGTTAGATAAACCAAATTGTTTTGTTTAACTGGCTCCACAAACAGGATTCTTTTACCGACAAAGCTTGTTTCTAATTGAGTTTGTGGTTGGTTTGATTGCCAGCCACTTTTATTCCTGCCTTGTTGAGAATTCTGCGTAAGGTGGTTTCAGCGGTTCCTTCCTTGTACGGAATTACTACTGATGGTTTAGATTCCTTATTGTTGGTGTTGTCTTGCGCATGTTCGACATGCGTATCGTCATTAATATTTTTATTATTATTATCATCACTACCACCACTATCATTATTTCAATTTTACCTTTCCCTACATACTTTCTGGGGTAATTTATCAGGGTAATTATTGAGTTTCAAAGCTTCTCTTATGTGCCTCACTTTTACTACCCCTACGACAAATAGGAGAGAACAAAGAAGACTATAAAACTCAAGTTTCGAAGTCGCATGATTATAAGTGATATGATTATGAACAATAAAATATTTTGTTCGAAACGTCATCCAGTAAATAATACTGTTTCACTGTGTGATACATCTAATAAACAAACTAATATGGAATTACTTACTACCACAGTGCCCAAGTTTTACTCATATATTAATACTGTAAATTAAAATTATTCCCGTACGAGTGTATTACATGCCATCTTTGTTAGTCGTATCCTGGTAGCTTTATGTGTCACTCATTGGTCCATTACTGACAACTGAAGTAATTGTATACGTTTAAAAAAGTGTCAAAGAGTTGTCTATTCTTCTTTATGTCTTTCTTATCATTTCTTTTCTCGCTTTGTTTCTCTAATTAGATATGGATATCATCAATGTATGCATGCATTTATCTACGTATGGTTCAATGTTCAGCCGAGAATAGAGGTCAAATAATACTGTTAGGTGATCTGTGCTTAGATTTTCCAATAAAAAAGAAAATCCACCAACAATGGAATCATTTATTTCTGTTCATTCAATGGTTTGATACATTCAATGCTAAAGTATGTTTCTCTGGTGCTTTCTCTTTTTGTCTTTTTTCTTACTAACCAACTGATATTTTTCCAACCTATAAATTCAATCACTCTATGAAACACGTTGAATTTTAGAGGTTATAATTTTTGTATACATTGATGTCATCTTTTCAGTCGCTTTTGTTCGCTCTAACTGAATTCTGTCAGTCAAGCCTACAAAATGGTCACCGAATTGGATGATTCGCACTTCAAATCGATGCTAGGTGGATGAATCTAAACGGCAGGAAGCCTTAGACTTGGATTTATTTCATGCTGGTTGGCACTCGTCAGCCAGGAGTATGTTCAATCTCGAAGGAACTGCCGTCTGATGGAAGATTCGAACCATTGTTGCGCCCTTCTTTAGTTATAGATGTAACCGCAAATAAACTTCACTGTCAAGTGGCAATAAGCACAAAACGTAGGTTCAAAGCTTCCAACTCTGCCTATTGTCAGAATTCAAATAATTTAGCTCATCTGCAGTTACTGCTTGACAGCATACCAGGGTTTCAAAAAGATGGTTCGTTATTCTTACTTCTAATCTGTCTGCGCAAAATGAATTCACTAGATTCAACAAATAAATCCATCTGAAGAAAATCAAATAGCAGTCGGCTGTTCCTTGCTTCGAACTCCTTTTCGTAATCTAAAAACCAGAGTATCCGTGTCATACGATGAGCTCTGTTTTATTCTATTGGTTGGTAATGTGTAACAGTACCATATTTAACTTCAGCGTACATTTATTTATCTCTCTTTAGGTCACAGTTCCGTCTCAGGAGTTCATAAATTCCTTTCAAGGCGATAGGGTGTATTGTATTCTTTTGCTATCTCTATTCTCTAAAGATTGTATCACTTAAAGTCTGCAGACTTTGAAAAAGGACACGTAAAAGTGGAGAAAACAAATATAATGTAACTGTAATGGACAAAAGTGTACGATTGAATGAATAAATAGACGAAGACTTGTCTACACCTTACTAAGTGGCCGTCAACCAACGGTCAACGACTTAATGTACTGGTACTTTGTCCTCATTTTCTCATTACCAACTGTTTCTAGCCTTTCTCTTAACTATTGACAACGTTTTCTGTAAAAGACGGTGGCTCGGTATGCATAACATGTTCTGGGCATCTCAATTCATTGAGCTTTATATCGTCTTTGATTAACTGTCTATCCTTTATCTGACAATTTACATCCAACCTTGTCATTAGGTGCTACATTGCTTCTTTTAAGAGTGACAGATTGGACGGTGGCATTCATGATCAAAAGTCTTATCTTCTACCATCAGTGGCTATGTCTTAAAGAGGTTAATCAGGACAGGCTAAATCGCTGCACTTTACTTTCGTATTACTATAATTAAACTAAAGGTTTTTTTTCTTACAAGCTAATTTGTATATCGGTCAGTTTATTAATTTATTTTTTGGTCTTTTTTTTTGGAAATATATTCTTTGCACCTGGAGCAATTCTCATAACTGTAAATAGTAAATTAGTTTTTCAGACCTTGTAAACTACCTCACCTACTGATTATAGATTTAGAGTGAATGTGTGAAACCTCATACTTCGCTATATGTGATGGTCCTAAATACCAAAAAATAATAACTGACAAAGATACAACAGAGTTAACAGAGTCATTAAAAAAGCGGAAATAACAAGGCCATTTTTCACCAACTTTGTACGAAACACTAAAGCTTGTCGGTACAGTGATTCCCAGGTCATATGACTTACCTAATATTCATAAGAATATCTTGCTACCTTAACCGGTCCTTGATATGTGTAGTTCACCATTAGTGTTCAGCTGCGAAATTGCTGGTGTAACTTTTACAGTCGTCACACAAGAAACTCGCTAAAATTTAGCGTAAAAGACAGTTCTGAGTGAAAAGAATTTTTTATTTTTTGGTTACAGCTTGATTCCACACTGTATTTTTGGTACAGTTATGAAATTTTCAGCATGTGATATCGGTAACCGAAATTTTGCAGGCTGACCATAAATATCAGGTGTGCGTCGGCAGGAGATCGAACCTCGGAACATGTGCATGGTCGGCGAGAGTCCTAACCACTGTGCCACCGACACACATGATATATCTCGATACTGTCTTCTTTATTCATCAGCGTGCTTTTTTATTGAAATAGTGGATTACATATGTGGTGAATTGATAAAGCAAGGTATATAGACTGGAATTCCTGTATTTTTCCCAAAGAATTCCTTCTAAGGTGTACAATGAACGTAAACCTTCTGTTCAATAAAGAAGTGTATAGACAGTCGAATGGTGCTGCCATAGAATCACCCCTAGGTTCAATCCCAGCGGACGTTTTCCTGGCGAAACTAGAGAATGGTCCTCTTAAAGATGTGATATATATATAATCTTGATTTCTATTGCCGATATGTCGATACATTTATAATTTTGAGGAAAGGAAGTGAAGTAAAGGACAGACTGGAGAATTTCACCGAAGCGCATCTCGTCAGAAATTTTTACTAAAGGAGAAGAAAAAAATGATTTTATCTCCTTTTTCGGCATCCTAAGGACTAAACGAACAGACGGAACAGTATGTAGACGATAGCATCGGACACCTACTTCATTTGAAAAATATACTCACTATCTGAGTTTTGTCGCTTTACAGTACAAACTTAATTTGGTTAAATGTTTGATTCACCAGGCTGGGATGAATCTTATTTTTTTTACTTATCTTTTTCTTAGGTATATCTCATTATTAATGGTTGGTTTGAATGCATAGGTGATCTCTCTGTAGACAAAGATATCGCAAGGCGAACATTCTGTCAACAGTATCAATGCACATTGCCTATTGTGTATTATGGTCATATAACTGATAACTACTCTCTAAATTGTAGGAAATATTATTTTCAATTGGGAAATCTATTTTTATTTGCTGGTATGTTTCATTTTATTTTTTGTTATTTTGTTCCTCAGCTTATTATTTATTGGACTTTGATAATAATCGAAATCATTGTGCTAAACATCTACTTTGATTTGAGTAGTTTGCGGTTCTTCAATGATGGTCATACCTCGACTAACAGATGTTCAAAATCGAATCTGTTGTGCCATCGGTCAACTTACTGATGGAACTAAACAATGGAATACGAATGTAATGCGAAATCATAGCTGATGTTAGCTCCTAAATAGAGGATGAAGATGACACTGTGTAATGTATTGGCTTTATTCCATACAGTATTTTGGTAAAAATATGTGATTTTCATCATGCAGTGCAATATTGAATCTAATTTTCTCATCACATGATACGGGTGTAATAATTAAACAGGGCATTTACATTGATAAAATTGTCAAGCAAGGTTCTGAATATAAGATTTGAGTGAAAACATTAACAACAATTTAATTATGAAAAAAAGAATAGACAGTGCGCTTTCTGGGTGCTTCTCAGTAAGTTAGCAGTGTCATGCCTAACACACTTTTATTATCACATAAAATGTATGCCTGACAAATAAGGTATTGCAGAGGTTTTATGCTTAATCGACTGAGCATTTATTTCAAATTCTACTTGACGAAATGCAAAGAGAGAGTCATGGTTCGAAAAGGTGATATTCGCTAATTTCTTGCATTAGTCCATGTGTCTATCTACACCAGTATTAAGGAGTTAGTTTAGTAACACATCACTCGCCCTTCTGACAGCTTTGAATGCTCTTCGCAATGTAGCGAAGCCTTCCTTAAGTAGCCCACAGTAGACGATTGCCTAGTGCGAGCAATAAATAAGAAGAGGTAGAATGCAAGAATTAAAAAAACTCTTCTGTTGCAGCAAGGTTGTTCAACCAAAGAGACCTAGGTACAGAGTCAAAGGCAGCCCTTTTAACTCTAACTAAATGGTTGAATACTAACGGATAGTTCAAAACACCTAGCAGTCTAGGCAAATATATAAATGTAATTAGATTAAATTACAAATTATGAGTAAGGCTTAGTGTTAGCCTAATAGTCAGTATACTAATCCGGTGCCCGCCGTAAAAGCTAGATAAAACAGTATTATCGTGTTAGTAATCAAGAATGAATTAATACTGACGTTGAACAACTGTTTGCTAACAAATAGTATAATAAAAGGATATTCAATAAAATAGGCCATAGAAACAGGCTAATAATTTGAAATATATATAGAAAATATCTAGTGGTACTAATACTTGCCTGAACCGTCCTTAGTTTTTTTCTTTTTCCACTATAAATAAGATTTTATTTCGATAAATCACACAGTGTTGTACAGTAATAATAAACTGATGAGGTTTTGAGGACAAATTATTGCTCATAATCATATCAAGTCACTCACACAACTTTCTTGTATTTTTGTTCAGCGAAGAAATTTCTTTTCAACGTCTTCATTTTCAAGCTGTACAGTCGTATTTATATTACAGAAAAGGGTTATTAAGTGGCACTAAATAATTGCTCAGTCAATATACATATATAAGTGATAAGAATAACGATAATTAAAATGTTAAAAGAGGTAGAGTTGAAGTGGATGGATTACAAAATTATTAAAGATTGTTTTATAAGTGAATTGATATCAAAAATGTCAAGTGCTGTCTAAAAATTTTAAAAATTAGTACTTTTACGATAAGAATGAAGATGTGAAGTGAAGTGGAAAGAATTCAAGTGGTAAAATAAAATAAAAACTAGAAAGAACATTACTATGACCAAGGTAAAGAAAGGGGTTTGACAAAATGCTTTTGAACACATAATTTAGGTTTCTGTTCATGTGTAGCTAAGGCTTCGGCTATGCATAAGTGAAGAAAACGTAAACGTTTGGATCGATTCGATTTTGCCATGTAGATAACTTTGAAGGATGAATCACGTGGGGCTAAATGACCAGACTCTAACAGGTGATCACAAATAGATGACTTTTCAGTTCTACGTTCGCCTTTCATTAACCAAACTGGATAGTGTTCAGCTACACGTTTTCGGAGAGTACACTTACAACGTCCAATATAATCAGTTTCACAAGAGCTGGTAAAAGAGTAAATGCACATAGATGTGGACATAAGCGGTAATCTATCCTTGACGCATTGTCTGATCATATTTCGGCTGATAAAATCTAGTTGCAAGTCACCTCCAGGAAAAGTGAGTTTAATACATTTAGATAAACGATTTTTAATCAACTCAGAAGTGGTGTCACCTTTGAATGCAAGACTAATAAACAGTTTTTTCTTTGGTACTGTGATTTGTCTCGGGGTGGATTCTTTCTTGATATTACGTTCAATAAACCATGTTGTAATAGAAATACGACTGTATAGCTTGAAAATGAAGTCGTTGAAAAGAAATGTCTTCGCTGAACAAAAAAACTGTGTTTTTACTTATGAATAAATGGGTATTTTTCGTGGTTTCTTGTATTTCCAGAATAATAACCGATCGAGTACACTTATCTCTAACTACAATTACATCTATTTAGATTTCATGACGCAACAGGAACTGTTAGGCACCAGACATTCGTTTCTTTTCAGCTTGGAGCTCTTCAGCACATATGACCTCGCCATACGCCACCACCAAGGTTATAATCTGTACATGTTTACCATTCAATTATTAGACTCAAACTTATCAAACCTTGATTTTTGATACCTGTAGTTCCGATGTGTATCACCACAACTAAGTTATTTTTTGGGCTCCACAAATCACAACCACTGCATAGAACTTCAGATATTTTTTACTAACCCATTCAGCAGTGTGTAAAAGTTCCATATTCAAATCTTGTGTTTTGTAGGGATTAATTTAATGTTAATTTAGTCATGAACAGGCATTACTTAAACAACTAGATAATGATTGGACCTCAAGCACTGTGTATTGTGTTAACTTTTTGGCTTTTTCCTTCTGTGCTTGATCACTGCTAGTCATGTTAGTTCTCATATGATTGCTTATTTTATTTTATACTACCCCACACAGGCATACCATCTATTGATCAATGGACTATTTATTCCAGTAAAGGATTTTTCAGACATAATAGAAAATCTCATCATAATGACGATAGTAATAATAACGTGAAATGGATTGCTATGTCATTTACTCTGTTAGGTCCTTGTTGGACAGGTTGTTTCGATTCTATTGAATGCGGTTCAAGGTATAGAAACTATGCTACATGCATTCTACAAGCACTTGTGCGCAGGTATGCTTCAGCTATGAATGATGTTGGCCAGTTACTATCTCAAATACTGTTGAAAACGAATTCATTGATAACTTCCAAGAAATGGTTACATTTTGTAAAAGTCTCCTGTTCGGTTAGTTAGTTAGTCAGTTTATCAATAATCTATCTATTGTTTTCGTTTTAATAATCACGTTATTATCTCAAATATAGGTTTATATTTTAAAAAATAGTATATTAAATCTGTCGTAGCTGTTTATGCTTTTACTAGTTAGTCCTTCAGCAATGTACAGATTTTCATGGATGATGACATAGCTGTTCATTGTGGACTGTTATACAAATACCGAAGTTCTACAAGTTCTTAAGTTCGACCCACCTACAATAGCTAAAATTCATACCACTCTTACCCAATCGGGATACTACCCTATTTTGCTGACATTTGTACCGAATAAAGAAAGCCTCACTCATATTATGTAGAACACATTTATGTGATATGAGAATGCTTATTAGCGGATGAGTATACAGTTAAGTGGCCTGTCTACTTAAGGTTCTGTACCAGAGAAAACTTTCTACATACCATAGTTGATGAAAGTAAGTTACTGATATTGTTACTAACTCACAGCAAAGTTAGTAAAGAATAATAATAGAGCACACTTGGATGGCAAGATCGTGAACAGTTTCTAATCTGCAGATTTACTGTCTACTGATATGATATTTGTGTACGTGTTTCAGGTCATATGACGTGGAATTTCAGATAGTCTATTGCACACATCATGTGCAGATCATTTATACCTCTTGATTTCATAAATTTGTGTCACCGATGTCGGATTCCTACTTGTAATTGACTGTTCATAAACACAATTCTCAAATCGATGATATATTATTATACGGCTAACGAGGATGCATCCGGTCCTACAGATGTTACCTAAATTCTTACATAACACATTACGCCATAAATATTAACAGTGATGAAAACAACAAAACAACTTGTTCAGCTTAGAGGCTCTTTTCGGCGAATTCATTTTATTCACATTTCAATCACATCAATGAACAGTTTTTTTTTATGAAAGACGAAAGCCACAAAAGTGATCAGTTGTCAATATTAATCAATGCATTAGAGGACTTCATTAACTGTATTAGAGTTAAGTAATAAAATAAGTAATTTAGTGAATGAGGTGTGATCACTATGAAAATATGGAACTACCTAGGATTCCCAAAGAAATACAGTTATAAAGAGATATCAAGAGATAGAAGCATGTAAACAAAAATCAAGTCGGTAGAAATAATAATATTAATTAAAATCGAAATAATAAGAACTCTGGCCTCTCTATGTGAGAATGACTTCAGTGCATTGTCTTTGGCTGATTGTTCTTCATCTCGTACATTAATTTGAAAAAGGAATTACCAGTGTTGGCAAGGTGTCCAGTTATTTCACTCCTTACTGAGGCACTGTTGCATTTCTGCAACTATACGGTGGGATAGTGATCTTTAACAGCTTTAGATAGGATACGTGTCGAACGACTAATATACACCGGACTGCACAGGAACTGGTGAACTTGATACACCTGCACACAGATCTTGTATTCCAGACTTATGCGGCCTAGTGTACAACTGAAGAGGACTACTCTTACCTTTCTGCAAAGAAGGCTCTTATCAAAGGTGATGAGATTTTCCTCCCCAAGTTATCGTAGTTTTAGTCTTCCTTAAAATCCAGGTTCTTTTCTTTTGGTGGAGATGATGATGTTTTTTTTTGCATGTAATTACGATTGACTATACAACCAAAAAAATGAATTATCCAAAAGTCTTTTCACTGAGCTGCTTGTTTTGTTTCTTTACAATAATGCCTGGATGAGCATTATTCATAAATATTAACATTATCATTTATTGATGATAATGTTAATAATGATAAAGAAGAATTCTACAGACAACTACAGGCAACAATGGACAATACTCCAGCTGGAGACATTAAAATACTAATGGGAGACATGAACGCCAAATTGGGACCAGACAACACAGGAAGGGAACTCATCATGGGTAGAGAAGCTCTCAGAGAAATGAATGAAAACGGAGAACTCTTCGCCGACTTCTGCGCCTTCAACGAACTAGTGATTGGTGGCAGCGTATACAAACACAAAGATATACACGAGACTATATGGGTGTCACCAGACGGTCAAACCAAAAACCAAATCGACTTCATCTCAATCTCAAGGAAGTGGAGGCGCAGCCTACTGGACACAAAAGCAAGAAGAGGAGCAGACGTTGGCTCAGACCACTATCTTGTACAAGGGACAATCAAAATCAAATTAAAAGCTTTCAGGGAAACAGGAGCTGCAGATAGACCAAAATCCAAGTTCAACACTCAAAAGCTGAAGGACCAGGCTACAAAGGACATATATATATATATATATATATATCCTAATGCCAATTTCAACTAAATTGAAAGCGAAGTTAATCACTGGCCGTTTTTGCTCATCAATTCATCGTGTGACACAAGTAATACTCGTAGTTAAAACTGAAAGAATTTTCGTAAATACACTGACCTAGATGAATAACAATTAATTGTGCTTAAAGCTTAATCTAGCTCTCAGTAATGCTCCACTGTGTTATAGCGAATGAGCCTGTTAAACATGAAAATTTTATTGGAGCGGAATTGACACTAAGTGATCAGTAGTGGACAACCGTATGCGGAATAGTTTATCCATTCAGTCGTTATGCGTAATATTTAACATTAGTGGCATAGTCTTCAACATGGAATTACAATTATTACAATTAATTACAAGTAGTAGTGGTGTTTTTTTATTCAAGTGTTGGTTTGTAGGGATTTGACTGCTTACAGGATTTCATCATGAGCTGGCATTGGTTAGAGAACCATCGGAAAACCTTCATGGAGTACTGGACAGCTGTTTCGTCGTAGTTTGGGACTCTTCATCAGTGAGCAAGGTTCGAACCCAGGACCTTCTGGTTACAAGGCGAGCTCCTATACCATTAAGCCACCGAGACCCGATCCAATGGCCCATGAGATCTAACTTCTTCTAATTCACGACATAGCGCGACCCCTAGCCTATGTCTTCGGCGAGTATTTTTCTTCACACACTCGACCTGCTGCACCGTACTGGTCACGACTTCTCACTAGAACCGTAGGCAACTACCTAACTGAGTAGGGTAAGTCGCTAGTGAGCATCTCATCGATATTGAAGTGTCGCAAACACGTCACATTGCTTTCTTTTTATTCCTTTGCGTCCCGAGTGGAACACAGGTCTTCAAGGTTTTGCTCTGAAGTTTCAGTAGCAGTAGTCTTCTTTTTCAGGAAGGGGTTCTTAGCCTTACGCCCAACCTCCTTTCTTTTTATGGATTCTAATCGGCTAAGGAAGGTAAGGGAGTGTGTTGTCCAGGAATCGAACCTTGGCCATGTGCATGATCGAACAGTGTTCTATCACTGAACCACTGATGCATGTAGTGGTGTACTTATACATGGGGAGTTGTTGCTCCATTGTCTTAGCTCCTCGGTTTCCACACTTTAGAATACTTCACCAACTATTCAGGTTAGGGGAGTTAGCTGTATAGAAGTACAGCTGATTTTTGAGCGATATTTTTTTTCCTTTTTTTTTTGGTTAATCCTTGTTGTAAGGACACTTTATGTTGCATCAGATCTTCAAATTTGTTATGTACACGCATATGCGTCTTAGATTGCAACTATATGACTCTTTTTTTACATCGTTTCAGGAGAATTTATTCATTATGCTACTCAGTAAGAATTCAAGTTTTTTACAATTCATTATGCCAGTACGGAGATTACAAGCGTCGACTACAATGAAAATGTCAAAGTGTAGTGTTTTATCGCCAACAGAAATCATAGATGGTGATGACTATGATCATAATGATAACGGTGATGCATTTATTTTGTGTGATATATACAATATTCATCATTCAGACAACTCGCATTCCTACAATAAACAGAATAGTAGTAAATCATATAGAAATGAAATTTATGCTGAGTAAGCTGTTGTTCAGTATATATTTTCGCTTTGTAATATTCTCCACTGAAAATTTATGTGAATAACCCTTAAAGTGCTTAGCATTTATTTCACTCAACTAGCATCGATCTTAACGGTAATTGGACTATAAAAATTCAACTGTTTTCAAAGTGAATTACTTCAGTCACTTATATCATAATCACATAATTTGGGTTATTTAACTGACACAGATTTATGATCAAATCAAATCTTTTTGGTTTTGTGGGGGTGGGTGGGTAATTTTCACTTTAGCATTCTATCAAAAGTAGGCACATAACATTAGGTGATCAGCTAACCTAAAACCAGACGTTAGTAAGAGCCACCTGATCTCTACTATCTCATCCGAACTGATTGACGCAAGAAGATTGATTCCGGCGAGCTCTGAATATGATGAGGAGCGAAAGTTACTCAAACGCAAACTGAAGAGAGGCCTTCGTAACGACCGTGAACAGTGGTGAGTGACAGAAGCCAAAGAGATGAAAAAAGCATCGGTGATTGGTAACACCAGAAAACTATTAAGACTTACCAGAGAAAAAGGTGAGAAAAGGCAAACGATAAGTAAAACAATTTCTGAAAAGAATGCCACCCTAATTAGCTCCCAGAGTGGACGACTGGAACGCTGTAAGGAACATTTTGAGGAGCACTTTAATTGCCCTACAGCCACACTCAACTTACACACAACGCCTCCCTGAATGGGATAAAAACACAGGTTCTCCGTCCTTAACTGAGGTTACAAAAGCTGTCACTAGTCTGAAACGAGGCAAAGCAGCAGGACCTGATGGAATGACACCAGAGGTGTTTAAGTACGGCGGATACAGTTTACTGTCTGTGTTAACTAAGGTACTAGGCTGCGTCTGGGAATCAGAAGAAGTCCCATCGGATTGGTGTAAGTCATTGATTATCCCGATATACACGAAGGGAGACAAGTCTTCCTGTGATAATCACAGGGGGATTAGCGTAGCCAATAATCATGTATAGACTAAGCGGTCCACGGAAGGAACAAACACGAGAGAACCAGGCAGGCTTTAGACCAGGAAGAGGGCGATTAATCATATCTATACCTTTCGACAAATTCTGGAACACAGCCGGCATACTTACCGCCGTCCAACAATCGTTATATTTCTTCACCTAATAGCGGCATTCAATTCTGTTGACTGAGAAGTACTATGGCGACGTTTGGCTGTGAAGGGATAATTCATTGCGCTGATGAAACCAGTCACTCTACTCGAACTCATGCAACCAAGTAGAAGCTTACGGAGTTGTCATCCGAAGTGGTGACAACTAGTGGCGTCTGACATGGATGTCCACTATCCCTATTTCTATTAAATTTCATCATAGGTATACTAATGGACTTAACCCAAACTCACTTCAGAGACTCAGGGATTGGCTTGTTATCGTCAGGGAATGATATAGTCCTCCTTGCTAAGCGAATACGCTGATAAAACGCAGCGGAGTCTTCTGAACACCTTGAGGAATAGCAATCTTCAAATGTTTGGTATGTGATTCGCTCGTGCTGTCAAATGTAAAATGATGTTACAGGACTGGACTACACTGACTCCTAGCCTAGAAATAATGGAGTGAAGTGGTAGAGCACGTTGATCGCTTCACTTATTAGAGAAGTTGCATCAACCTGCGCCAACGGGTTGATCTCTGACGAAATCTCAGCACGGATACAGAAGACCCGTTTAGCATGTGCCAGTTTACGCCGTCTCTGGCTAAGACATGATATCCGGCTGGCTGTCGACCAAAGGGCGAGTGCACTGCTCAGCAGCAGTCAGCTCCGTCCTCCTTTATGGTTGTGAGTGACACCTGGCCATTGAGAGTGGAAGACATAAAAAGCCAGGCTAACTGCCTTTGATCATAGGTACCTGCGATCTATTTCTCGTGTTAAGTGGTATAGTAGGGTGAGCAATATCGAGTTGAGGCCTCGGTCGAGTGCTAGGTATGCAGAGGGGGGGAAATCAACAGACAAAGCTGTGAAGTTACATCAATTGAGTGAGATGGTTAGGGCATATATTACGTATGCCTAACCATCGGCTTTCTCGACGGGGAATGTTAGTCAGCTGTCATAGATTCAGGTTGGAAAAGAGCCAGTGGCGGTCAAAACAAACATGGCTTCATTGGTCAATGAAATCCGCAACAGTTAGTTGGAGCCAGTCAGTCACGTAGGGAGATGTAGACTTCTTGGCTGGTTGGGGTCATCGAGACGGTAACAGCCGACGGCTGTAGATAATTGTTGGTATGGCTCAAAATCGTTCTCGATGGCCGGCTCAGACGCATCCACTCCTTGTGACTTATATTTCCAATGAAACTATATTGTTCTTCGATATTACTGTTATTTTCGCCTCATAGTTCTGTTTACTGTCTCTATTTTGCGTTTCTGTTTACTTTTTTCTCTGACTTTGTGTGATGAGTGAAGTTTGACGACTTGAACTGTTGTGCATCGATGCATAGTTCTCTGTTGAAAACAGACAGGCAGATAAGTGATCAGCTTAACTCTGTAGGAATGTGTTGTCAAAAAAAAGAAACTGTGAGATGTATGCTCGAAAAGACACTGTACAGAGAACTAAACTGTTCAAAATGTTGTACGCATTCTGGTTATTTTGGCTGTGGGAACTTAGTCCAGAACGATTGAAACAGCCATCTTTTTTGACTGTCTTTAAAAAGCAGCATAATGGAAAGCGTTTACGAGGCAACTTACAGCTTTTTCTCAGTCAGCTACGAACGGAGACTTTACCAGAGCTAGTGCGTTATGTTCAGAAAATAAGATTGCAGAGGAACCCACACCTATCAAAAAGAACCTTATCAAGAATAGATACCCTCGAAAATTCATACTAAAATATGGTAGTGAAAAAGACACCTAGACCGAAACCCGAAATGGTTAGGAAATAACCCAGTTTTTGTCTGTCTAGCATACAAAGGAGGAGAAGTATCCACCAGAACTGAAAAAGTGCTCTGAAGTACAGTTTCCAGAACTCACATAAATTACTCATATAATATAGCAAACAATCTTACATTGATAATATAAGTGTCGCTGGCTGTTATTGCTCTGCTACTTCTCCCAATGTTACTCTTCCACACCTTTGTCTATACTTCATGCTTTCTATATTGGTTACTGATTTCCTCTATTTCCCTCATCTGAAACTTCTTTAATGATTTACCACTGTGTGACTAAAGCAGTCACAGTTGTGTACTAGTCGCAAACACGTCACATTGCTTTCTTTTTATTCTTTCGCGTTCCGAGTGGAATACTTTGAAGTTCCAGTAGCGGTGGTGCTTAGTCTAGCGCTCAAGCTTCCCTCTTTACTGGACTTACTAACAGTTAAGCCAGGTTAAGGGATGCGTCGGCCAGGCCACGTTGTATGTTGTCGAGTATTCTGCCGCTGAAACACTTACACACACACACACACACAATTGCAACCAATATTTGTTGGTATGTGTATAAAGCCCTATGTATTTCTTATTATTCTCTTAGTTATTTCGGCTGTAGCATTCAAAAAAATCTTTGGCCTTTATTTTCCGTAGTTATGCTATCATTAACCTTACTCATTATTCCTAAGTTGCCCGCAGTTAGTTAGAGTTGAATTCATTTTATCTTTCTGAATTGCGTATTATGCTTACACATTATGTTTCACACGAAACATTGTTTAGAATAGTCTTGTGTTTATTCTCATAGGACTGTTTAAATTGCGGTAAACTTATTGACCGATTTTGTTGAGAATATTTCACCACAACAACAAAACACGTGGACACATTTGAATTGACAGAGATTATGCCACAAATACTCCTTAGCGATGAACACACAAAAACGCATGTTCAAGCTGAATTGATCACATAGAATTATGTCTTATAGCATAGTTTCAATTTAGCCACCAAGTATACAAGCAGATATAAAGAACATCAAGGGTATCGTCCACATCATAACTGATTACCGACGCCATTATGTGCAAAGACTAAGAAATTTAGCACCACCAGTCATCAGAATAAAAATATGTTATGTTGACAGAAACAAGAAATGACTTAGAATACACCCACACATGCGTTTAAAGACACATACAAACCTAATACTCAAGTAAAGCAGAAATAATCCAACGAAACATGTTCTGAATTCTTATTATTTTCTCGGTCTGGTGTGACTGATTTTAGTGTCTTTACTGAGGAATAATTTCGTGATCAGTTAACTTATCGTTGATATCGACCAAAGGTATCTATAGTAATATATTGTTGGAACCCACTTGCCCGCACCAGTTTTTCACATACCAACATATGAGTCATTGATTGTGTGCGGACTGATGATGCCACCCAGTTACGCAGAGTGAAATGGATGGACAGTGATTCAGTTCTGAGACCCCTTGCCCGAAATGCGAATGTTTAATCTCATGAACCAAAATTTCAAATTAACGTTGAATCTCAGTGTTATCGTGTGATTCACAGTAGATTAAATCCATTAGGTAATACATACTTGTCTCAGTATAGTGAAAATAATTTAATGTCATTCTTGTGTTTTTTTTTTAATCAATATTATCAGATCTATTTCTCGAAAAAGATTGTGGACAATAAAGAAACTATATGCCTCATCAAATGATAATATTGACCACAATGAACAATCGTCATCATCTATAGATTCAAGCGCTTTCTATTTCATTACACATTTTGATGCCAGTTTTGAACCACATGGAGGTATTGAAGTACCTATTCATCTGCTAGGTGAAGTAAGTTGTCTACTTCCAAGTATTACACATTCATTAAAGCCTATAAATTTCTAAGTAATTCACTTATATAAGCCGAACAATTATATTCGTTCACTACCGTAAACAAAAAGCGATTGGTTCTGTACTATGAAATGATAAGTGACTGGTGTACTGGTATTACACATTGCGAGATTAGACGTAGGGAACCAGATCGTTGCCGCACAGACGAGAACTACTGGTTCACATCAGTTTTTCTCAAGTTGTCATGAGAATTTACCATCTTGTGGTTTTGCTTTCTTTCTTGATTGTCATTTTGGGCGCTAAACAGGTCACATACTACAACCTTAGGATTCTGAGAAACTGCGATTGATTTTCACCTCGAATTGTACATTTCAGAAATGTCCAATGATGTGCCGATAGTTTGAATATATTTAGATGGATAAACCTATATCACTAAGTATTGGATAGTAGCATATTGGAAATGCGTAAATTATTTACCTCCGTCTTAAGTGTATATCACTATTTATGAGTATTTGTCATTTAAATGTTATGCAACTTTTGATGTAACCTTTCACCCTACTGAATAATTCCTGATAATTAATTCTTTCTTTTATTCCTCTGTTCACCTTCAGCTTGTTTGTCAATCGCACGATGTTATTTTGATAGCAGATTGTTTAAAATTACTTTTTACAATGTTGCAAAATTCAAGCACAATGTTTGCACAGTTTCATACACCTGCGCTGTCACATCCAGGAACAGAAATTCCTATTGAAAAATATTCTAAAGTATGGTTGAAAAATTTAAAATGTCCACCGGGTTTTAAACCTGCTCCACTCAGTTTTGGACATTGTCTGTTAGCTCGTCTATTTAAACATCCCCATTTCAATACAACTTTACCAAATTTTTATATGATAATGGAGGTAGGTGAATTCTCAAAAAAAAAATTCATTTTCACGCCAGAAATCTATTTGACTGACTGTTTATCCTATCACTACAGTGTCTTGCATAGGTTTAAATTTCACATGTAAAACACTTCAGATTTCTACTTGAAACCATTGTAAGCATATTAGGGGAGATTTTTTGTCTTTAATAATTAGTACATCGAAAGCTGATTATTTGTATCTTACAGCGATCTAGATTTTCATTGTACTCTTAATTATCACGCTGTACATTATTAGCAGTCTGTTTACACAGGATTGTTCTAGATCGGATCACTTTCAACTATAACCAAAAATTTGTGCTATTGATGGTATTGAAAACGGACTTACGGACTTCAGCTGATATATTCACGCTAACATTGCAAAAGGCTTAGAAAGAAGGTACTTAGCGATAGGAAAACGGGCTACCTAGTCTAACTGCCAAGGAAGAGCAACTTAAAGTCTTGCAAGAACTGGAGAGGTATCATGATCATGCAAACTACTAGAAAAATTCTAAATTGTATTGTAACAACAGAAGACAAGGGCTAGGCAACAGATGAGTTATTAAGGAAATCAACACATATTTATAGATTTTCATGTACATATTATAGATTATTGTTAGCAGAAAAACACAGTCCTCTGATTGGTTGTTTCTCTCAGAAAGTTAACCTTGCCTCTCTTTGTGGCTGTTTCTTGAATGTCAGATCATCTATATGTTAACTGTATCCGCCTACGCAAAGTTTTTGTTCTTATTTTGCTCACAACCAATATTGGGGACATCAGCATTGACGTAAATTACTGTCCACCGATTTTTGGCTAACAGCCAGCTCTCACCACATTAATATTAGGGAGAGACTAAAACATGCTCTGGATACAGGAAACTTTGGCAACAAACCATCCAAGAACTTATCACTTAACAGATTTGCAGATGGAAATGGAAGTGAATTAGACACATACTGAAAAGACCATTAGGTGACATCACCCACCAAACCGTTGCGTGGAACTCACATGGGAAACTATGAGTTGGGCGTTAAAGGGTGCCATGGATGGCATCATGTGAAAATGGTATGAAAGCTTATTGGCAGTTTGGGAGCCCGCAAAAAAATATTTTCAGAGAACTGAGTGAAGTGGAGATGTTCTTCTGAGGTCCGTGGTTCCAATCGGAACCCAAGTGTGAATAATAATATTATAATATCAACAGTTTTCAAATCAACGTAATTTGTTTGACAACTTTGGCATACCCTGATATAAAATGTTAAATGATACTGATAGGTGGTTCATGTTCTTTGCATTCATTATATATCCTGAACTTTAAATTACAAATATACTTTAGGGGTTACTTAAAACTTGTATCTTTAGGTTACTAAACTATTATGCTTAAAAAAAAATCATTTTTAATAACGGCCTTACTGTTATGTACTCGTCGCTAAATTATTGCTATGTACTGGTCGAGAATTTAATAGTCCTGACGCAAGAAGGCGGAAACCAGAAGACCACTAGGTTTGCGATGATACTTCTATTTTCCATACACAAGGAGAACGCAAAAGTGGTATCACACCAAAGTAAGTAAAGTCACACAAATTGTGAATGCGAAATATATATGAATGTCCAGACAAGTGTGTGAACAAATCAATGGACAGTCTTAACATGAATGGCTAATTATAATGAAGTATCGATCCATATATACATAGCAAAATATAGCAGACATGTCAACAACCAACATATATGGATATCTGTCACCAAGCAACGGACTGTCAACAAACACTCATATTATATTATATATAATATAAGGAGAATATACATTGTTAAAGGAGATAGGTTCATCAAGTGAAATGGTCACAGACTAAACGAGCAACAGAAAGATAGATCACCATACACACACACACACATAAATATATATATATGTGGATACATATCACTTACTAAGCTATTTTCATTTGGAATTCTATGAAGTTCCTCTTGTATTAAAGTGGAAAAAAAATACAAGATCCTGATTCATATAATCTAACCTCTTACCGTATGCTCCAACTCAGCATAGAACTTTATGCACTAGTACCATATCCTTCCTATTGAAGCCATCCATTGCTTCCTTCCAAACTAATGCTTCTAACTATTACTATTACTAATACAGAATTTAGACGAAAGGGACACTTTTTTCAACCACCTCTGCACTTATTGATATAAGTATAAAATTCGGGCACTGTGGTAGAGTATAACTCTATAGTGGAGTCACCTCTGCACTTAACATCAACGCTTTCCAGCACTGGAAAACGTTGTATACAGTTATGTGTAGACTCTTATGAAATGGTATTAATGTCTCCTTTCATTACAAGTGAATGCAAAAGAAGAATACACTAGGTAATTCTGATACTTAAAAGTACACACTTGAAAAAGTATCTTGAGATGTGGCAACTTGAATTGGCACTGTTTGAAGTTGGGTTGAGGCACTCTTAATAATAATAATAATAATAATAATAATAATAATAATAATAATAATAGTGACAGAAACCTTTGCATTAATGATAGTGTCAGTAAAATATAAATCTTAGATTGGAATGATTAATTGATAGAATCGGTAACAATGATGAATAAGAGGTAGAATAAATAAAAAGAGCCATCTCTGTTTTGGTCGTAGTTTCGTATCTGATACTCTTCTCATCACTAAAGTGACTTATAAATCTCAAATTATTTAAGCATTGTAGTACTCAGGTGACGGTCAACTGAAAAAAAAAGATATGCAATATGAGGTTACATAAACAGAGCATTTCCACATCGAGTCATGAAAAAGAACACTCAACACAGAGGACGTGTCACTATCAACAACTGGTATAATCAATCATTTTTGAAGTCGACGAAAAAAATGATAAGACCATTCAAATACTGGTTGTGTTATATATATATATATATATATATATATATATATATATATATGCAGTATAGAGCGAAGATAGTTGTTCCAAAAAGCTGTTGGAAACATTCTTTGTGACCCGCCAAGTTTATGATCCGTATAAAATAACTGACTTGACGATTGTACTGAAGATCCGACTGAATTTTGTTGTTGATGCTGAGTGACGAAGATTTCCAGATTTATTTCAGGTTGATGAGTGTGTTTCTCGCCTTCCCGATTCTCGATTTTACATCCTCGTTCGTTCCCACTGCTTGTAATTGAAACAATGCTCCCTAGATAAGTGAATGAAGTGACCTCTTTCAAATCCTTCCCGTTGATGGTGATTGGCACTGGATGTTTCTGCTGTTGTTGTTGGTTGGTTATTTTCATCACCTCCTTCTTGTCTATGTTCACCTGGAGTTCTGTCTTCACTGTCTGCTTCTTCGATCAGTTTGTCGGTTTTCGCTTGTAAGTCTTCCATTTTGTGTGACATCAAGCATAAATCATCCACACGCGAAATCCAGGTCTTCTAGGTTCTTCACGTCGGTCCAGGATATCCCTCCCTGTCTTCTCGTTTCCCACTGTCTGACGCATAATCCAGTCAGTCCACCACAATTAGGAATATCATTAGTGGGTGATAATAAGGACCCTTGTCTGACTCCTGTGTTTACTGCAAACGCCTCGCTGAGTCTTCCGTTGTGGATGACTTGACATGTGCCGCCGTTGTCGTACAGCTGTTGAATAAGGTTGATGAATATTTGGGGTACGCCGTAGTACTCGAGTAGTTTCCAAGTTACTTCACGGTCGATGCTGTCTGTCGAAGGCCTTCTCAAAGTCTATAAAGTTGAAGTAGAGGTTTGATTAATGGCCATTCCATGCTTTGTTTTGTGATGATGATTCGTAGAGTTGCAATTTGGTCAGTACATGATTTGCGTGACTTTCCTGAATGCAGCCAGCTTGTTCTGGTCGGAGTTGTGTATCCAGTGCGTCCTATACTCTCTCCAAGATGATGGGACTCAGGATTTTACTTGGCGTCGACAGGGGCATGATTCCTCGCCAGTTCTTGCAGAGTGGGTCCTAAGTCTCCCTTCTTTGGTAGTTTCACGCGGTAACCTTTCCTCCAGTCAGTAGGCACCTTTCCCTCCTTCCAGACCTTTTGGAATAATGTAGTCAGCATATCTGCTGTCGTCTCTGGGTCCGCTTTTAGTGCTTCAGGGTGTATTCTATCTGGTCCAGCTGCTTTTCCAGCTTTCAGAAGCTTGATTGCATTCAAGACTTCAGCTCTCGTTGGAGGATTGGTGTCGACTGGCAGTTGTGTACGTGCTGTTGTTTGTATTTCTGGACGGATTGCAGGTGGTGCTCGGTTCAAAAGTCCTTTGAAGTGATCCGCCCGTTGTCTAATCTGTCTTCCTTTCTTGGCAATTGAGTTTCTTTGGCTGTCTTTTATAGGTTTCGCTTGCGTTGATATTTTCTCGGATGGAGGCTTGATTGTCTAATATAATGTCGTCAGGTCACTTTTGCCTGCTGCCTTCTCAGCTTCAGTGGCCAGGTTGTCGTAGAATTGTCTTTTGTCTTTCCTAGCACTCTTCTTCACTTCTTTGTCCAGTGCTGCGTACGTTGAGCTCAGCGTCTCCTTGTCTTGTCCGTCCTTGCATTGAATCATTTTCTCTTTCACCATTCTCCTCTCTTCTATTAATTTCCAAGTGTCCTTTGAGAGCCATTCCTTGTCTTGCCTCTTCTTTCTTCCTAAAACCGTTGAACACATTTCGTTGAAAATCACCTTTAGAGAGTTCCAATGGTCTTCCACGCATAATTCTTCAGTGATGTCACGTAGTGTTTCCTGCTTTGCTCTAACAGTTGCAGTGAAAGTGTCCTTTGTGGTTGTGTCCGTCAGTAATTGAGTGTTGAACTTGCATTGTGGCCTATCCCCAGCCATCCTCGAAGCTTTTAGCTTCAATGGATATAATAAGATAGCGGTAATACGGTAAAATGTTTAATTGAAGTCTATATGAGAACTACCGTGTTTTTCAAAACGCAGTAGTAGAAATACAAAGGTTTAATCTGGGAACTGTGGTGCCATATAATTCCGCATTAAATTACTTTAGCGTCGGCGGCACAGAGGTTAGGGCGCTCGCCAACCATGCACATGGTCCGGGGTTCCATCCCTGGCCATCGACACACTCCTTCACTTCGCTAAGCCAGAAATAATGCTGGTAAAGAGGAAAGGTTGGGCATGAGGCTAGCAACCCCATCCTGTAAAAAATAAACACTGCTACAGAAATTTCAGGCCTCTAGCTTGAAGCCCTATATTCTGTTGTAAACGTGGAGGAAGAAAAAAAATTTGCATGAAAAATACCGTATCAGTAACTAGATAATGCTTCCAGCACATTTTACTGCTCGTGATCATATCCATTTATTCTCATGGCTTCATATTTGTCTTCACATGTATTTTCCTCGTTTTTTACAATTTTTCATATCTCCGGTAGAGGCGTTTCGTTATTTCATTTGTATATGTTTGTTGTTGATTCAGTGATTGACTTCTCTCTCTCTCTCTCCACATAACTCTATAACTTTATAATACTTTCACCGTACTCTGTGACTACATGCAAGTGAATGCGTTGTAATGACCGTGCTTTTTTCTATGTTATTTAAATCAACAGCGTCAACTATTCTAGCCTTCCCTCCACCCCTTGCATAGTCTAATTGACTGCGATCTACTAGTTTGACCTATGTGATGCTATTTGGCAAATCATATTATATTTCTAAATTGGATCTATAGTAATAAAAAGTTATATAATTAGATGAAGAGAAAGATTAATCATTGAATCTTTGCATATCTAATCGACACTAAACCACGTGGAATCGAAATGCCACGAAACCTGTGCTGACTGTATCGCAATAATAATATTAATATCATTAATTCTGTTCTCAAGCATGTTGTCAACTTGGAAAATCGGGATCCTCTGTATAACTGTTCCATAGTCATACACAGAGTTCATGAATATCTCAAAAGAAGGCTTAGAATACTCAATTCACTGACTGTTCGCGACCTTAAACATAATCTCTATGTTTGACAGCTGTATATGCTGTCACTAATCTAACCATGAACAATTTTATTTCCCTCTATTATTTGATGTTTAGTTTGTTACTACGACTATAAATTTTATTCTGTTATCATGTGTCGCTATTTAATAATAATAATAATAATAATTCACTGTATTCCTACTGTCTTTTGTTCTTTTTCTGTATTCATTTTAACATGCATTCGCCTAAGACCTACTTCAGTATTCTTATATCCACTTATACATTTCCTCTTAACATTATCGCATCACATTATGTAAACCACTTCCTGGAAAATACCTATCAGTAATTGACAGATTTTTGGAATTCTTTGTTGAGTATAAATACGATTGTAAATTTAAATGGTTAAAGGATTTCATCATGAGGTGATATTAGTTAGAGAACCACTGGAAAACCTGGGAGTACTGTACAGCTTTTTCTTCCTAGTTTGGATTCTTCAGCAGTACACACCCATCGGGATTCGAACCCAGGACCTTCTGGTTACAGGATACTGCTGAAGAGTCCCAAACTAGGACGAAACAGCTGTCCACTACTCCCAGGTTTACCAAAGGTTCTCTAACTAATGTCACCTCATGATGAAATCCTGTAACTAATCAAATCCCTACAAATCAACACTTAACTGGTTAAAGACGGTCGATAGAAAGCTAACAACCCAGATTTCGAGCTGTTGGTTGCTAGTCATCTAAGAGTATCGCCAATGTCGAAGGAACATTAGCTATCCTAAGACATCTAACATGCTCAAATAAGTGTCGCAACAGAGGCTTCGCAACGAAAATTTTCCCTGTGTCTACTGTATGAGTAGAATAAATAAATTGATGTGTTAATGAGGTGTAACCTATTTATACTCCTTAATGCTGATTAAATTCTGTCAGTCACTTAATTTACCATGATCTTTCAATTACTTTTGTGGATATTTCTTTATATCTTATCAATTAAAGGTTTTGTTCAATCAAATAGTCTTCAAATTTACCAACAGTAACATAACAAGCAAATCGAAACAACAATATTTACGTCTATTCATCGACCCAGGTTTATTACGTTGTATATTGCTGTTTAGTCCACGAACTTTCTGGTATCCTCCAGTTGAGCAATCACCTGAATTTTCCGCTAATCACTTCAATTCATTATTGTTATCTACAAATCGCTCAATATTCAAGTATGGATTAATACCTGGAATATTTGAAATCCTAATGAATTCAAATGAAATGTATTCATCAGATTCAATAATTATTACATTGTACAATTTATATACACTGGATAAATGGCAGTTGATTATGGCTTCAGTGACTGGATTTCGAGTAGGTTATGAAATCGTTCATCGTACTGAATATTGAACAGAAGAAATGAATTTTCAGCTCAGTACATAAATTTTTTTATATATATAAGCTATGATGTTTGTTTTCTTTTAGATGGATATTAATCGCGCCGTCCAGTTTGTGTTGAAACAGAATAACAGACGAAAAACTTCAGTCTGTTCTCTTTCCGATAAAACAATGAGACAACATCAGCAGCTGAATGGTCTACGAGCTTGTCTGGTAACTGGAAGGTCCTGGGTGCGAACCTCAGTAGGCGGTTACTCCAGACGAGAGTCTCAAACTAAGACAAAAAAGCTGTCCAGTTCTCTTTGGTAGTTGTACTGTAACCGCTATCAGTTCGTGGTCAGACTTCAAGCAGATCAAATCCCTGTTTGCTAACTCTTTAAATTTAATCTGATTTCCTCTGGTGACTGCAGTTGTAGTGATAAATCGTGTCCAGTGAGGTCCACCCACTCAGGAGTGAGAACAGAGGCTCGCTGATAACACTGTTTGATGATGGCTCTTAAATCACGAATTGGCAGAATTTGGAATTCATGCGCTAGCCATTGAGTTGAGTCTGGGTGTCTCAATGGTCTATGAGCTTGACTTGTAACAAATAAAACATAAAGTTGGGACATAGAAATCCACATCGAACACTTCGTTCATTAAAGCAATAGAAAAATCACCAGTTGTCTGTCGCATATAGTGCGAGTATAAAGTTACGTAATAAATATTATTATAAGTTCAATACACCTGAGGATTATTGATGAAAGGTAATGGATCCGTGCTATTCTATTTCATTATTTGTTCTTAGTGTTCACAAGTGATATATTGAATAACTAACATCAATGGCGTCAGGATAAAATTGGTTATTACAACCAAAACCGACTCTCTGTGGTCTGAGCTCAGGAAACCGATCTCTACATCCTAGTATATGACTGACAAAACTTCCTTGAGACACGCACAGTCGTGAAACACTCCAAAGATGGCAAAAAAGACGATGATGATGGTGATGATTGTGAAATAGTTTTGAGGTTCTATTAAACAATCATAACATCGAAAACTCAAAATTACCTCAACAGTGCTGTTAGGCAGCTATACATACACAGTCCAGTCTAAATAGGAAAAAAATTGAGAATTTAGAATCAAGTAGAATATTATCAAAAAGGTGGGACCAAAAACTCTGTCCAAAAGAATTCAACACCGACGCATATTGTAGATAGTCCAAGATCAAAAGGAACTGCATTCATTCATATAAAATCACTCTGTGAAACAACACATTATCAGTGCATCGCAAGAACCACCAAGAGAGGCACTTAAATTAGAGATTAAACATGGTGAAAGACAAATAATTAAGGATCAAGTCATTATATGATATGCAGATATCAGAACAATGATACATAGAATTCTAGGGGAAAAACGGAGGATAATTACAAAGTTAGCTGAAACATCCAAATGAATATATATCGTTCTGGAGGTATTTCCCAAGCCGTTTTTTTTTTCGTTACAGGGATTTCAGATTGATAAATTGTACTATAGCACTTGTTATTTTCTATTAATTTTTTTCAAGGGTTATCGTTATCAACCATCTTTGATGAAAGTTATATTATGGATTTTCAACACGAAGAGATTCTGGCCATAAGGCTGGAGGAGACGTTGAACATGCTTCTTCTAAATACAGAGTTTTTGTATTTATGAAGTTTAAATCGTGGATGTATAAAACCTATATAATTTGTATAGGGAAGAAACCAGGGAGTACTGGATAGCTGCTGTTTCATCCTAGTTTGGGAATCATCTGCAGTACGCACCCATTGGGGTTCGAACACCAGGACCTTCTGGTTACCAGGCAAGCTCGTATACGATTCAGCCATTGGGACCCAATTCAATGGCTCATGAATTCTAACTTCTACCAATTCGTGATTTGGTGCGACCCCAACCATTGTCGTTGGTGGGACATCCATCCACACACGTGACATCTGGATGGACCTCACTGGTGACGGCTTCGCACTAGAACTCCAGGAAACTCCATCCTGTAGCAAGTCACCAGCTGGCATCAGATTAATTTTCTATAGTTTGTTTTGTAAGAAATGGAAGGAAGAAAATAAGGAAGCAACTTGTTTAGCCTTTCCTGAATCCGTTAATGTTAATAATCAGTTTTTAACAAAATTCTGTAATACAATTGCATAAACTAAAATTGGGATCGATGAACTTACTCTCTTCGTCTTCCTTACGCACTCTTTATTTTGTATTTCGTAGGAGGCGTTTCTAGAAGATAATCCTGCTACTGGAGAAGCTGTTGTTATTAATCAGCAAGTTCTTGCACAATATACACAGAACTGGCCCATTCAAACTTTAACAAATTTTATCAAAAATCGTCTGTCTTTATTAGTAATTGGTGGAATAAATGAAGTAACAACAGGAAAAAGTGCAGAATCGGTGTGTGACTACCGATTTCACGCTAAGGGAGACAAGAACATCATCAGAAATGGTCGTCACTTTGAATATATTTCAGGCTTTTTGCATTCAAAACGTTCGTGTCTATTAAATCTTTGTCGTTCAATTATTAGTCTAGATGCTAATATGTATTTGTCAGCAGCTGAAAAAGTTTTCTACACAATACATGATGATATCGATGATGGTAATCACGCCTATTTTCATCAGTCTGGGCAAAGAAAACAAACGAACACCACTAAGCAGTCTGCAACAACGTCGTCGTCATCAAAACTGAATGATAATTGGATATTTTGGCACCAAACAACTAGAAAGTGTTTGAATTATTCAGAACGATTAAAAGTATGGAGATATTTGTCAACCGCTGAACAGCCTGCTACTTCTGGTGAGAATTTGTGTTTTGGACAAAGTTGTGAAGATGTGCTTCTATCGTAATTTTATTATTTTAACATACATCTGTGGTATTTGGTTGTTGATGACCACCTTCAGAAATCTAGTCTGATTCTTCCCTATATTCGGTAGTACCACGGCGAATAAGATTCATGTCATATCTGTTAATAAACAATTTACACTAATAGTGAGGCTTTTGTATTTCGGCGGATGTAGTGTCCCAGGTAAGGTACATAAAAATATACACCAGCAGTGTCTAATTTGTCTTGGTCATTTTTTATGAATGTTGGCGTCTAGATTGAAGAGCTACTTTATTGGTCCAAACGGGTTATCCTACTAGATTTTTAAGGATACACGTGAATACCAAGTACAATAAAGAGAAACTAACAATAGTTGAAAAGAAACAACTGTTCATGAAATTGCAATTTAATGGGGACGTGGCTAGCGAAGTCTTACATCTGAGATTATCGAGAGCAATAAGACGGACTTATACTGCCGCCACCCTTTGTTTGTCATTTTCCAGCTGGCCAATTATGATTGCTGAAGTGAAAGATAAGCTACCTAGCTGTGCCACTTCGATGTGTATCTATAAATTTAGTTGCTCCTGTGGAGAGAGAGAGCTATATAGGGCGAACAACTAGACAGCTTAATAAACTTATTAATGAGTATCTTCCTTCATGGTTCGGAAAAGATCAAATAAAATCTATAAGAAGTTCTATTTTGGCTCATTTGATTGATGAAAGTGGTCACCAAGTGGAAAAAAATACTGCCTTCAAAGTTATCTATCGCATTCCATAGGACCTTTCGAACGGAATTCGAACCCACCTTTTACACATAGTTGAAGCTATGGGAATTCGACAGAACAGTTCCAGTCTTTGCATACAAAAGAAATTTGTTCTACCTTCGTCTCTTTCTTGGCCTAGGTGAATTCTATTCAAAACCCTCCCACCCTTCCTTATTTTCCATCCCCTTCGTATTTTTTATGATATTTATTTAAAGTCTGATTATCTGTCCACTTCACTTTTAGTATTACGTAACTTGTAAGATTTGACCTAATTTATCTGTTGAATTGTCTACATATACGCATATACATATCACCACCTTTGTTATTCTTACCGCCACCTGCATAAACCTTATTATCAATATTTTGTTATTATTATGATCAACGTTATTAACTTCGTTCGAAACATATACCACATTATTATTATTACTTGATCCACAAAATCACCGTCATTGGTTAAAAATTTTATATATAAATCTATGTAAATTAGAGTAAAGCCTCAAGAATGTCTAATTGATAACAATATTGTTCGCTTATATGTCTTGTTCTACTATTGAAAATGGGAATATTTAAAGATTTAGTAAAAGTGGGAAGTAGGCGATGGATTAAAATGCCTGAATTGGTATTACAAGTTACTTGCCTGAGATCCACAAATCAGTGGTAAATGAAGACACAAGATAATATAACTCAAAATTGATTTCAGGGATTCTGTATGCACTCAGATTTCATCAGCCTTTTAAGTGAAATATAAGACTTCCATATTTTCTTCATCTTCGCTGCATTCATTCGATACATAATTGTATATTGTTCATACACACATGTAGTGCAATGTATGGGTATTAAGTAATTCATCACACTAAAGATAACAATTATAAAAAGGATACTCAAAATGACGAATAAATTAGTGGACAAATGAGCAATCTAATAAACTAGTGATTACTTCTCAATAATGTCAGCCAATTCAAATCTGATTCTCATGTTTAGTAACATCTCAAATGGGATCCTTTTTATCTTCTTAGTGTCATCATGATATGACTTATGGTGAATAAATCCCGCTCTTGTAGCAAAATTTAGCATTCATAGTGTATTCGGTAGGTTATTATCCACACTTGGTGGGTTAATGGTTGAATATTCCTAATGGCATTATTCAGAATTGCTGATAACGGGGCAGATGTCTTCATTCCTTATTATCTTCGGATTCCTAAACACTTTCATAAGGTCTAATTGAACTGTCCTCCCTTGTTCACCCTAGCTTCTTCAATGTAGCATTATTCTGGAATTGATAGTGTTCTCTGAGCTCCTTGGTTTAATTGCGGAGCTTTCATCGTCTTTCTGTTGTTTTTTCCCCTACTTTTTTGTATACTACTACGAATTGTGGCAAAATGAACCAGTGAGATTTTATACAATGTTGTTTGTTGACTAGTTGTCCTGTTATTAGTCAGATATATTGACACAGAGTTTTTTCACTTTTGGTAGTTGAGTAACTCTGGCTTCAAACCGATAACCTTAGAATCATAAAGGGACAGATGACCTTCTGGTTCACTCTTGGCATTTTCTCAGCTGCCGTGTAAATTATATTTCAAATCAAATCCTCGAAGATTGATTCCCTTGGGATATCTGAATGCTCCCGTTAAGCATCTAAGTAGTTAGTAGTGTTAAATCATCTGAAAATTACATTGTAAGAAAGAATATTCAATGTTAAACGTCGTTTTTTAATCAAACCTTTGTAATTACAGTAGTGCAAACAGAATCTCTGATCAGCCATCATTCTATAAACTTCGGGGAACTGTAACACTAAAGTTTGCTAACATTTATGTTAGTTTGTTATGGAATTTCTAGTTTGTTTCTTCCCCTTCTTTACTTCAGCTAACAGTATGACAAATAGGAAATCATCATTGAAAACTATAGATGATTCTTGTATGGCAAATGAGACGATACATTCAGATATATTAGACACTGGTTTGCTATCCAATGCTCTAGACAATAATTATGAGTCAGTGGAACTGCAAGCTCAGCGACACTTACAATTCAGCAGTGAAGATGAAATAAAGTCAAGTGTAATTAAATCTACAACTGATACGATGAAAGTGATTTCAGACTCCGGTGTTAGTATCTCCTCTTTACCCGATTCTGGTGTTGATGGAAGTAATCCAGTTAAATCAGGCAATAGTGATTGTGATCTGTCTAAAGGTCAGTTATTTGATCTGTTCACTGTACTATTGTCATTATATCCTATACTATCGATTCAACAATAAGCAGTGTTTTACCCACACACCTTTTTACCCTATATTAAATAGATACTAATAATTATCGTAATTGCATTGAGTTGAACAGATTTATCTAACTAGAATTGTCAAATTTCGGAAATTGTTACATGAAAGCAGTAAAAAGAAATGCAATGAAACTGGAACGGACCAATGGATTTGTGCTGGACGCTGAATATTTAGATGATAGGTTTTTCACATTTTCGGGATTCGGTCAGTGATAAATAGAATACACTTATGCGTCTTTGTAAGCAGTTATGACTCATATAACCGGCAGTCTTCAGTTATTGATTCTTAGCATCCTGAGGTCTCCTAGCACTCCATCTTCACAGCTACCTGCGTGATCCGAGATAATAGACTTCATTGCAATTGACACTCTTAACTCTTTGTAAATATAGTTCTATTTTAGGAGACCTTACCTCTCGAGGAAGGAAGTATATTGGCACTCATAATCTCTTCTAACTACTTCAATTAGAGAAATTTCTCAGCTCGCCTAACATTCTCTACCTAACCTCATTACTCCTGGTCACATTGTACCACCTAACCACCACCAACGGTAGCATATATCTAACTTAGTTTTCATCTATTGCATTCTGAATGATCATATTTCTTAGCAGCACTATTGTAATAGCTTAGTTTTAAAGCCTTGGCTCGACCATAATCCAACTTTAACGCAGAGGGCATAATTTCATCCACAATATTTTCTTTTTACTGCGTTTACTGCTCAGCAGTCCGCTCCGTCCTCCTTCATGGCTGTGAGTGACACCTGGCCATTGAGAGTGGAAGACATGAAAAGCCTGGAAAGCTGTCTTTGATCATAGGTGCCTGCGTGGTATAATAGAATGAGAAATATTCAGGTGAGGCCTCAGTCGAGTGCTAGGTAAGGAGGGAGTGGAAATCGATCGATGAGGCTGTGAAGCTACATCGACTGAGTTGTTTAGGACATGTGTTACTCATGCCTAACCATCGCCTTCCTCGACGGGGAATTTTAGCCAACTGATATAGAGTCAGGCTGGTATAGAGCCAGTGGTGGTCAAACCAAAACATGGCTTCATTGGTCAATGAAATCAACAACAGTTAGTATAAGCCAGCCAGTCACGTAGGGAGGTGTAGGCTTCGTGGGTGGTTGGGGTCCTCGGGATGGTAAGAACTAATGGCTGGAGACAATTGTTGATATGGCTCAAAATCGTTCTCATTGATGGTGCAGACGCATCCACTGCCTGTGACTTATAATTTCCAATAAAACCATATTGTTCTTCGATAATAATGTTGTTTTCGCCTCATATTTCTCTTTACTTTTTTCTCGGGCTTTGTGTGATGAGTAAAGTGTGGCCACTCGGGTTGCTGCACATCGGTGCAAAGTTTTATAATGAAACCAGTCAGTCAGTCGTTGTATTGAACGATTAAAGTGTAGAACACCCTTACTCAATATTTTAGGTGGGTGATATTTAATATATAGATCAATGTTTCCTGTTGAAGATAGTAGAAGTAAACTTTATCATATGAAAGGGGTGTTCACCGAAAAGTTATTCTTTTCAGTGATATTGTAACGACAGAAGACAAGAGCCAGTAAGAAGATCGTTTATTGAGATAATCGAGAGATATTTATATATTTTTGTGTACATTATTATTAGCGTTATTGTTAGCAGAGAAGCAACGTCTTCTGATTGGTTGTTTTCTTGCTGAAAGTTATTCTATACTGCTTATGACAGTTTCTGAGAAAGTTAAGCCATATATCTGCGAATCTTATTTGCTCATGTTAAGTCTGCTGTGATTGATTGATGAATTCCTCAAAGTTAAGCTTTGTTATTGTTTTTTTCATGACCCCGATTCCGGACGTCAACGCTGACGTAAATTGTTGTCTACACTACATATTTTCATCATGGCAACAAAAGGAATGTTTCCACAGATGTGTCACTAGAATTTTAAATCTCAGATAACAATTATGTAACAAAGAAAGCGTTAATCGAGTAGGAACTAAATAAATATTGAACAAGTAAATCCTAGTTGACAGAATTGAGTAGAATTCAGCTGACAATGAAAGAGGATCAAGTTAAGATCAGTGTAATCAGAAGTTGAAATGTAATAATGGGAAGAGGAAGATGATATAATTAAGAACTAAAATTTGAGTTTGACCCAAATTTCATATCAAGCATTCCGAATGACTGTGTGCATTGCAGGTTCAGCGGTTGGACAAACTTCTACCGTATGCAGACTTCATGATCTAACATGTAGATTGCCATTGCCTATGTGGTTTGTAAAAAGCTCGACTCTTACTGCCTTGAAGAGATTTCCGCGTACTTTGTAGGTAACTCTGAAGTTGTTTCGTAGGTCTACTCGGTGTCGAGAATAGGGCCACGGGGGGAACATTTTTCTCCTTTGTAAGACCATAAGGGTAAATGTTCGATAATACCCCAGCATAGCGAACTCTGAGTACGGCCGACATATTCACGAGGTTATCAGTAGTGCTTTATCGTTCACGTTCGTATAAAAAGTGAGTCCAAGTTCAGCTGTGAAAAAGGTTTTCTCTAACAAATGCGAAAGGTGGTTTCTTAGTATCTCTTCACATAAGTCTTCATTAAAATGTAGAAAAGTTTTTTTTTTAGCACTCACTTTGTTGATAATCGAAAGTAACGATAGATGCATTCTATGATCCGTGAAGCTTAAATCAACATTCTTTGCTTATATGACTGCATTTATTGAGTAAATATTATTATCCATACAAAGGCTGACAGTATGACTGTTAGACATGACTGTCAGCTTAGCTGGATCCTCCAACTCAACATTCATAATCGCATCCGTCCTTTAATTTATCAGTTTGTCTTAGTCATTTAGGTTCCTTACTTATTCATGGCTACTAGAATCAGTGACTGACTGACTGGTTTCAACATAGAACTTTTCACCGATGTTAGAGTCTCCACACTCCCTCCATGTAACACACAAAGCCAGAGAAGAAAGTAGAATGAATGCAAAATAGAGACAGTAAACAGAAATTTGAGGTGAAAACAACAGTAATATCGAAGAACAATATAGTTTCACTGGAAATTATAAGTTACAAGGAGTGGATGCATCTGAGCCAGCCATTGAGAATGATTTTGAGCTATATCAACAATTGCCTCCAGTCATCGGCTGTTACCGTCTCGAGGACCCCAACCAGCGAAGAAGTCTACAACCTCCCCCCCCCCTACATGACTGGCTTGGTTAAACTAACTGTTGTAGATTTTATTGACCAATGAAGCCATGTTTTAGTTTGAATCAATAGTGCACTATATGCTCCAGGGAGCAAGAATCGCAAAGCTTGAAAAGGTGAATGATGAAATACCTTAAACTGGCTTTCTTTATGTCTTATACACACTCTTGAAATTTTGAAAAAAGCTTCAGAGTAAATGAAGTTTGTTTTAAAAATAATAACGATAATTTATCTTTATCAATGCTTACTGTGTATATTTATTTCTTTATTTTTTGAATATTAATCATAGACACGACTTCTGTTCGTATAAATGAAACCGGCGGAACAAATAAACCATCTAAAACTGATTATACCAATGAACGTTTATTGGATTGTGTTAGAATACGTGTTGAACAAAATGCTGAATTGTCCGCATTACTGATCAAATGTTTAGACGATTTATGGCATAAATGCTTTCCAATTGAATTATTGTATAAAAAATATATGAAAAATAAAGGCAAGCCTACTTTTTCCACAATCAAAATGGAAAACGAAGCGGAGAAGAGAACGATGGCAGGCGTAGAACTTTCTTCATCATCTTCTTCTTCAAAGTGCAGAACTGCTAAAGAGAGACGTATAAATATTCTTAAAGAAAATTTTTATCAGTCTAATGATTGGTATTCATTTGAAGTGAGATCAAATTATGCCTTATTGTCAAATGTTACCGATTCGTCTGTTTCGTCAACTGGTTACGCTTTAATTCGTCCGCCTTTATGGCTTATCTACAGTTTATTTCGACATCCAAATTTGTCTTTGCGTGAAAGCGTATGTTTTGTGTATTTATTTCATAGAGTACCATATAGCGTATAATCTAGTTAAACACATATTTGCTATTAAAAGTCTGCTTTGTTCCAGCTCATACAGTCATATTCAATATCTATACATAGCCCATTTCTCTATGATTTCTGCTGTAGCCTGAGTTGTCTGTTCACAGTGATTCAGATTTCAGCCGTGAGTTGGCTTCGAATCTCGTTAAGAACATGAGTTTATTCTTAGTTTTAGATAAACTTTAGTGATGACATTCCATAAACTAAAAAACTTAGATCTTGTACGAATCCTTTTAGACTGATATCGTTATATATTGAGTAAGTTTATTTTAATTATCACACAATGATGCAGTGTTAACAACTGAATGATAAGGTTCCGAGGATAAATTATTGCTCATAATCCTATCAATTTAGTCACACGTTTTTACAATTTGTCTTATATATATATATATATATATATATATATATATATATATATATATATATATATGTATTCTCCCTTTCTGTCTCTCCGACTTTTCTTCGTTGTTTGTTGCCACTTTCCATATCCCCGGTATAGGCGTTGCGTCACTCCGATTGCACGTGTGCTGTATTCAATCGATAAATAAAGCTTCAGTGATTAACCTCTCTGTCTCTCCACCTAACTACATTACTTTTCAATACTCCCACCCTGTGGTGTGTGATTACATACAAATGAATGCGATGGCTGAGCTTTTTTCTAGGTTATTTAACTTAACACTGTTAATTATTTTTGTTCTAGCTAAATATTTATGTTCCAGTATTCTAGTTGACCCTGATCTACTTAGTTTGACTGACCTATGTAATTGACTTCACAGTCAGCATTAGATAGTATTTTGTAAATTATATTATTTTTCTTAATTGAATCCATTGTGTCCTTGAGCCGACAAAATTTATCTCTGAGAGAGTTGTTTGGCTCAAATGCCACTCTAATTCCAGAGTCACTGAAATCTCTACGTAAGGCTTTACGTAGAATTACATTCTACCACAGCGCACCAGTTTTACGCTTACAGTAATGATATTGTTACAGTGTTATTGGAGAACTTAACAAAATAATGCATTAGATGTTCCACTGTTTTTGAATTTAGCGAATGTCCCATTAGCCTTAAATGTTCCAAAATAAATTGTCTGACAGTATGCCGACTGACGTAGATGTCATTTTCATTCGAAGTGAGCAACAACAAGACAATAAAACAGATTAAAACGGGTCCATTTTATTTCGTTGGTGTATTTTTTGTCAGCTGCTCACAACCTGGATATTGAAACTTAACATTTTACTGGTATTTTAACACTCTTAGTCCTGTTTTTTTTTGTCACTTGAAACTGTTATGTCTACGTGTTATAACAAAGTCAACATCACCACACTGGAAAATAAGTGTGTTTTGAAACTTCCCATCAGGATTATATGCTTAAATGTTGGTTTGCACGGATTTGATTGGTTACAGGATATCATCATGGGGTGACATAGGTTAGAGAGTCATTGCACAACCTGGGAGTGTTAGACAACTGTTTCGTATGGTTTGGGACTCTTCAGTAGTACTCTGGTGGATGCACACTGATGAAACAGCTATTCGGGGTTCTATGTCTCACTAAGGATCCGCATTATCATATGGCTCTAAATGACGATTCAATAGTTTCTGTAAACGTAATCTTCGTGTAGTTTTTAAATGCTTTACAAATATTTTTTATCTTTTTCAAAAGAAATAGAAACAAGTCGTTATTTTTGATTGCACACTAGTCAGTAACCAGTGTAATGTGTCTAGTCCTATCTTTGGTGCAGAAGTAGGTTCGAATCTCAGAAGGGATATGAGTTCCTTCAAGGTTGCAGATATGCCTTGCTGATGTGTGCCAACTAGCACGAAACCTAGGTCCAAGGCTTCTTGCCGATTGCCTTCAACCATCTAAGTGGGTTATTTTATTAATTAATTTACATAACTTATATTTAGCGTTATATTTGTGACCGATTTCTACATTCTTCTCTTCATAAAATTTTTTTTCCCATTACAGGCTCTCAGTGGCTATTGTGTTTGGTTGCATTTTGAAGCCAATAAGTGGATAAAACGATGTAAACAGTTATATAAGAACTTTAATCAGTCGGTTTATTTTGATTGTTCTCCGCCTACAAATTGTACTGTTGGTGCTAATACAAAAGCGTATACAACAGTACCACCGCATTTATCAAGAGTACGTGTATTCACTACAGGCTTATTATCACCGACATCACCGTTATGGTGTGTATCAGATTCAAATATGAAGACAGATTTCAAATTGTATAATAATCGTCATTTGTGTTCAGTGAAATTGCTGAATAGAGCATTCGGTTTAATTTTACATGGATCAGGGAAATTCACAGCTATGAATGAGTTTAAGATGATGTCTAAGGAACAGTCGAGCTTGTTTACCACCAATCTGTTCATGGCAAGTGTTGTTATTTTTTGTTGTTCTTGCAATTTTTGTTTGAGTTGTTCTTTTTTTTAAACACTACTTTCCGTAAATGTTATACTAGTGGTTACTTGAATGTTTATTCACGCCACTGTTGTGAAATCTTCGGAAGGAAGGAAAGTTACCTGCTGATTGCAAGAGAGACTACCTTGTCAAACTACCAAACCACTCAGCTTAAGCCTCTGAAAGGACTCACGTGGAATCATACTCTTGTCCATGCCAAGTAAAATGCTTAGCCGCGTCATCCTGGTGGGAATAAAGGATGCACTGAATAGGGAATACCGTTCAGAACAAACTGGACTCAGGAAAAGCAAATCATGTGCTGATCAAATCGCAGCTATACGCTTCATCACTGTATAGAACATTGAATAAGAGTCAAAGCTATACTTCATCGATTTAGACGACGTTAACTATCGATTGATCAGCAAAACTACTTCAACATTATTCAGTGTGGTGACCTAAATCTTTATCAATTTCATTCAACAGCTGTATGACAACGCCACATGTCAAGCGATCCACAACAGAACACTCACTGAGGCGTTTGAAATGAATACAGGAGCAAGACAGCTGTCTATTATTACCGATGGTATTCCTAATTGTATTAGACTGGATTATGCGGAAGACTGTGAGCAGCGAGTAGGCAGGAATACTCTGGACCGATAAGAAGACTCTAGAAAATTTGGATTTTGCGGATGATTTGTATCTCATTTAACACAAACTGAAAGGCCTACAAGCGAAAACCACCAAACTGGCAGAAGAGGCTATCTACGAAGACAGGACTTCAGGTGAAAATAAAGAAGACGGCGCTGGTGAAGATAGCCAATCAACAACAACGAGCATCAATCACTGTAGACGTGGGAATTTTGAAATAGGACACTACCTTTACTTATCTAAGCAGGATCGTTTTGAATAGAGGTGGCGACACTGATGAAGGTGTCAAAACCGGAATAGGAAAGACAAGACAGACCTTCATCACTCTGAAATCATTTTGGTTATATCCCGCACTCCGTCTCAGGATAACAACAAAATTCGGATTTTCAACACCATATATTTTCTTCTATACTGATCAGAAACTCGGCTTTGGCTTCACGAAAAGCATTTCCAACAAGCTACAGACTTTAATCAACGACTCCCTTCTCTGTCCCGATATTGAAGATCAGATGACCAGAAAGAATTTTCGAAAAAACACTCTGGAAAGGAATCGATCAAGAACCTATTGGTCAACAAGTATGCAGAAGTAGGTGGAGATTGATTGGAAATGCTTTTAGGAGACCATCGAATGACATTGCTCGCCGGGCCACCTGGATCGGAAACGATGTGTTGGACGCGGCTTCGAAAGTGACACGAAGAAGCTAATTTCAGGAGATAAGAGACTATGGGCAATCGTTGGACCAGTTAAAGAAGACCGCAGAGAATAGGTTATAGTGGAAATCTGCTGTTGAAGACTTACATCCCACTTGTTATTCAAGGAAAGAATGATAATACTACTTTTATCTGTCACATCACTGTACAGTTTACCGAACACGAAATTACTGTCTTTTATGGTGTCTAGGTTTTATTTAACGTCTGTACAAATCTAAAACTTCAAAATCAATTACTAAAGCCGACTCATAGTTTCCTTTTATTATTCTTTTGTTCTGTCTTTATATAGGTGAATAATACTTGCTCACTGGAGTCATTGCATCAGGATGAGACTGGATTCATTTCAGAACCAGTGTTCCATCGTCGCTCCCAAAATAGTTCTAATGACCACACCAGTCGTCGAATACCCAATAATTTCACGTGCACGGAACTATCAAATAGTGATAATCACAATGTGAATGGTGAAAATGAGTGCAAAGATGCTCATTTCCATAAGTATTATCTGTTGTCTACGTTTCCTGTATTATATTCCCTCTTGATTGGATGTTTTGTGGATGCAATACTAAGTTGCATTGTTAAAGCCGAAGCGAATTCCACTAACCAACAGTACAGTGGCGATAATGATAATAACACTGACAATGATGTCTGTGATAATGATACTACATCAGAAATCGAATTATGCACTAATGGTTTAAATGTTTTAATAATTATTTTGCAGGTTAGTATATTTTCAGTACCCGATACTATAGTTATGATATATATGTATATATACTTTTGAGCAAAGTTAGTATTTAAATATTACCTATCCGTCTAAAACTGCAAAACACAGTCTGAGAGAAAAGTAGTGCTAAAAAACAGAATTAATACTGCGGCTACAATTTTAACAAGAAATGTATGTGTATAAGTCACAGCGACCTATACCACCTGTCTTTGGGTATCATTTCCTGTTGTCTTGCTCATCGAAGCCAAACAACTCTATCCTCAACTGGAAACCCTTAACTTAACCATATATATCGTACTTCAGCTCATCAGTCCACTCCGTCCTCCTTTATGGCTGTAACTGAAACATGGCCATTGAGAGTGGAAGACATGAAAAGATTAGCTGTCTTCGATCACAGGTGCCTGCGTTCTATCTCCCGTGTGAAGTGGTATAATAAGGTGAGCACCATTGAGGTGAGGCCTCGGTCGAGTGCTAGGTAAGGAGGGGAAATCAATTGGACGAGGTTGTGAAGTTACATAGACTGAGATGGTTAGGACATGTGTTACGTATGCCTAGTCACCGCCTTCCTCGACGAGCAATGTTAGCGGATATAGGGTCAAGCTGGAAAAGAGCTAGTGGCGGTCAAACCCAAACATGGCACCAGTCAATGAAGTCCACAACAGTTAGTTTAAGCCAGCCACGTAGGAAGGTGTAGACTTCCTGGTTGGGGACCTCGGGATAGTAAAAGCCAATGGCTGGAAACTATTGGTGATATGGCTCAAAATTGTTCTCAATGGGGTAGATGCATCCACTCCTTGTGATTTATGATTTCCAATGAAACTATATTATTCTTCGTTATTACTCTTCCTTTGTCTCATACCTCTGTTTACTGTCTCTGTCATGCATTTCTTCTACTTTCTTCACTTGCTTTGTGTGCTACATGGAGGGAGTGTGGCGAATTGAACTACCGCACATGTGTCCAAAGTTCTATGTCGAAAACAGATAGACAGATCGTACTTCAGCATGTGTACTCCTCCTCAAGAGGAGCACGTAAGACGTATCTTAACCTTCTCAGCCGTTGAAGGTTGAATTTCTCGGCAACTTACCAATTTTTAACTGTTACTCTCCAATTAAACTTAACACTACTCAGACTTTGTATACACGACATGTGGATTCTGCTGCAAAGGAAACAAAATATGCCCTGTGTATTATTAGGAAGACATTTTTATGAGATTTTGTCTTTTGGTTAGAGTTCTATTGAATAAGAACGTAGTATTCAGCGAAGAAGCTATACAATCGGATCTATATAGTTTTTAAGAAATTATATCCGGTGAGGGAATTCGGTCAAAGGTTTGAATACATGAATCATGAATAATACAGTTGTAATAATTAAAAGAAATCATCTAAAATACACCTACAAATTAATAAACATAATGTTTGGAGATGTTTATTTCACGAAAGAAAAAGAATCAGACAACAAAATTGCATTTTTAGACGATCGAAACACCAACAAGAAACCATCCTCAAAAGCCACAAGAAAGTAAACTCTACGATATATATATGAAATAATGACTAGAATGCTAAAGCCATTTTAAAGTAGACATATCATACAAGCCAACACAATCACTTTATTCAGCATTCTACAGAACAAATGAGCCAACAACAGTATAATAAGATATGGTCAACAACATTAACAAAATAAACTGAATGAAATGCGATCAAAACTACGTCGGTCAAAGTGAGCATCACCCCCGCCCCCTCCCCACTCAGAATCCAAGGTGATAAATTAGCTGGGGAAAGACACAGTATGTATTCATTCATATCAATGGATGTAGACAATTATGGACAACAATTTGATTTGGAGAATGTAGGAATTTTAAACGGAGGAAACACCAAAAATGCAGTCGAGGAATTTCTAGAAGCCTGTTATCTAGATGAATCTGCTGTTAACAAACACATTACTATAGATCAAATTTGCCAACTGATAAAAAAATAAATCACACGACAAGGAAGTCCAAATTCCACGTCAATAGATAAATGATCAACAGAGATGTAAACTAACAACCAATCACAACAATGGTCGTCATGAGATACAATAATGTTATCATTTCATTGAGAATTCGAACTAGTTCACTTCATATTAAAGCCTGCGCTGAAGATATTGTCTAGAAGGAGGCCAACGAAAGCTTCAAAATTGAATCAACCATCTAAGAGAACACAACTAAATAAAATGACATTATTTAGTGTTTTTCCTAAATACCAATCCTATGTGTTTCTAGTGAGACATTCGGAAGGCTTCGAGTTAGAGTTTTAAAGTCTCAGTAGCAGTGATATTTAGACAGTTGGAGGCGATCGGCAGGAAGCCTAGGACCTAGGTTTCTTGCTAGTTGGCACTCATCAGTAAGACGTATCTGCAACCTTGAAGGAACTCATGTCCCTACTGAGATTTGAACTCGCGTCACCTTGTGCTGCAGTCAGAGACGTTACCACTGAGCTATTCGGGCTCGCGGTTGACCTCCTGTAGGACTGTAGTAGGCATTTTGATTGAACACTAGTAACTAATGTGAGGTGTCTAGTCCTCTCTTAGGTGCAGACTGAACTCTATCAGTCAGGTTTTGCAATTCGGCCACCATTCGAGGTAGCTCGCCATCACGGCTTCCGGCCGATTGGCTTCAACTATCTAATATCATCAAATCAACGTGCATCGTGATGGTAAGCTATCTAGAATGGTGGCCACATTGCAGAACCTGACTGATAGAATTCAGTCTGCAGCGAAGAAAGTACTAGACACGTTACTAGTGTCCAATCAAAAGCAGTGATATTTATTTCTTACGGGGTGGAGCTGCTAGCCTCATGTCCAACCTTCCCTATTCACCAGGCTTGCTACCTGCTAAACGACGTTATGGAGTGCCTCAGTGGGGGTTGAACCTCGGATCAAGTGTGTGACTGTCAAGTATTCTAGCACTGAACCACCAACCCATATATATATATATATATATATATATATATATAGCCAAGTAAAAGTATTAGAATAAACTGAGTTGAAGAGAATGTAGTACATAAATGGAACACTGACAGAGTGTTGAGTTTAATCGTTGGCTGGGGATTGTACAGACAAAATGTAATAAATAAAAACAAATAGTAGAATACAATTCTATAGAAGATAAAAGTAATTCATGCAAAGTTGTACACGTAAGAAACGTATAATGAAGGCTACTTAGAAGCGAATTAACAGTCTCCATGATTATGTATCGTGCGTCGGTGGCACAGTGGTTAGGACGCTCGCCGACCATGCACATGGTCCGGGGTTCGATCCCCGGCCGACGCACTCCATTACCTCGCTAAGCCAGAAATAATTCTGGTAAAGAAGAAAGGTTGGTCACGAGGTTAGCAACCCCATCCTGTAAAATAAACACTGCTAGAGAAACTTCAAGCCTCTAGCTTGAAGCCCTATGTTCCACTCGGGAACGTGAAGGAATAAAATTTAAAAAAAAACCATTATGTATCACAGATATTGCAGAAATATACGGATATTAGAACATGAAATACGCATGACTACTGTGTTGGTTGTTTTTCTTAATTTTTATTTTTTTTGTTGAAATAATATTATTACTTTCATTTTAACCCACTTTTTATTTTTCAGGATTCGGATAAATGTATTCTTAGCACAGCTGTTAAATCAGGTCTGTTACCAGTAGTATTCAATTTGGCCTGGTTATTAGAATTCGGTGTGAATAAGGTGAATGCCTTGGAGGGAAACAACAATCTTTGCATTGTTCCTGCTTTAATGCCTATTCTGACTAGTTTAAGTCGTCTGGCTAGTCGAATAACAAGTTGGTTATTAATGGATGAGAAATTCACTTCTCCTAATGACAGAGTATTCAGATTTCAGTCAGTAGTAGCATTTGTTAAACATTTAATTGCAATGAACTGTGTACTAAGCGATAATGATGCCGGTGACAACAACACTTCAGAAACAAGTATGTTATTCTCGTCATGTGTATATATCTTCATGATTGTTTTGTAAACAGTTATTTCGTTTGAAAATCCTTGTAAAGACAGGTTTAGTTAAGTCTCTATATAATCGGCTCGACAGACTAACCATCAAGTCACAAGATATAAATATTGAAATTAAACAAATGAAACAAACACTAATAGTTAATAATTACTCAAAGAGTTTTATTAAGAAAATGTATTAAGATACACACAAAACTGAAAAAATAACTCTTAAAACAGAAAGAAATATGGAAAAGAAAGCTTGATAACTGTAAGAGTTTTCTTTTCTGCAGTAATTAATCATCAGTGAAGATTACTCACTAGCCTGAAGAATAGTACCGACCGTAGTAGAAAAGTAAGATGATGAAGGTGATGTGGGGAAAGGAGAATGTTGCTCAGGAAAGCTTCGTGTGCTTTTGGAAGTGTGTGTGTGTGTGTGTTACTTCCCGGCTGCCCACACTGTGGAAGTTGATTGATTCTTCGAGTACCTGAAACGGAAAGAGGGTTAGAGTTGTGTGACCTCAGAGCCCCGGGGACAACTGCTTGGGGCGGGTCACACACGGCTTATATGAACTGGTTTGGTTCCGTATTAGTAAACTTACCGCAGGTTACAGACCACCGTAGGGTAAGTTGGGATGTACAATTTTCGGGGTCGACCTTTTCTAACTCCGTCTCTATAGAATGGAGAGATAGCATAGCTGACATGATGGTCGTCTGAGGGAAACACCTTAATGCTGTTACATCCCTATTCCTCATCAGTACGACTTTGCCCACAGACATAGTATAGGGAAAATTGTTACACTATGCCGGTAACTACTTTTAGTCTAATCGCTATCCTAACAACCTGCAGGAACAATGGTTCCAGCCAGTGTATCTTGTTGGGTCATTGCGATATACGAGCCCCACCACCACGTCACATAATCATCTGTTCCTAGTCAGCACTAACTTTAGGCACAAAGAGAGTCATTGCTTAACCTGGTGACCTCCATCACCAAATCAACGCTGGACTCAGATAGACCACATAGCGATAGGGTATCGTTTACAAGCGTCTTTAGAAGAATGCTGCTCCTTTTGGAACACGTGCGTAGGCTCCGATCACGCTGTGGTCCGCGCACGTTTATGCTTACGACTAAACGGACATAAACAACTGTTGACAGTGAAGTAATTGCGTCCCTAACTAGATTGAGACTGTGAGTCCTTATTTAAGGAAGAAACCACGAAACGAGTATCTGAAATCAACAGCAAGACTCCTCCTGAGGTAGCCTGACACAGCGCACAGTTAGCTGTAGACACAGCCGTAAAAGCTGTTAATAACACTGTGTCTCGTCGGGTTGAAACTCATGACGTACATCAGTTGGGTAGGCTGGGATGTGTCGAAAACTGAGACTCTAAAAGTATTATGTTTTAACAGTATAACGCTTACAGACTAAACACTGTTGTGTCACTGTTCTATTCCAGCTACAGAATTACAACTTAATCCCGGCCCAGTTAGCCGTTGTCTTGTACGTCGAGTTTTATACAGTATTCTTGAGACTTCCACTAATCACTTAGACAAAGTGGGAAATCAAATTGAAGAATTATTCAGTCAAGAAAATGAAAATAAAGAAAAAGAAAGTAAGTTCATATTTACTTCATTGTATTTCTTAAAAATCAGAATTCATGCAAAAATGTAAATTTCATTGTGTATACTGTGGACACATAAATTTGTTACAGCCCTAAACGAAATCTGTTCTCTCATGCTATCTAAACACCTCATAATTGAATATCCCTTTATCATTTGAAATAAGAAAATTAATTAAAACTTAAACCTTCATTTATCAATCAGTTTTGTTGTGTAGCGAATAAGTTGCTAAAGTCCATTGGGTATTAAATACTCTGAACAGAAAAAGCCATCGCAATTCACCTAAATCAGTTTGAACTTTGTGTACAGGAGCAACAAGTCGAGTCACTATTGTTACTCTGACCCATTTCAAAATCTGGAAATTTGGTAAATAGTCTATCACATCGTACTTTTTAGGTATGGCACAATAATTTAATGATTCGATATTATTCAAACAACAACCTGTTTTGTCTCAAATAACTATCATGGATATATATTTAACTGTGGAATCTGAAGCTGAAGAAGTTATCGAAAAGAGTATTCTTTGTTCGCCAATCAGTCCTTTTAGACTTCCCGGTTTACCAGTAGACAGGAAAACGACTTTACTAAAAACTGTTTCTCACTTTCTTCTAAATCATCTCACTTTTGTAAGTCGTGGTATTCTCGTCACAACGTTAGAGAATACTTTTGTTTGAATTGAACCACTGGAACATTTTCTGAATTTCATTGATTTCTATTGCAGTGATGAGAATAATAGTAATAATAATAGTTTAAAGTGGTTCTACGCAGAAAAAGTTGTCTAGAAAGACAATGAAGGCTTCGTTATTAAACTGTATAGCTCAGAGAACTTCGATGCGAAATCCCTCATAATTCAATTTAATTTAATTGATGATCAAATGGAATATTATACAACGCTGCTAATATCACCGCTTATCGATAAATGATGCACAAGTTCAGGAAATCCCATGCACAATCTAAATTAATGATGAATTGTTTCAGTTGGGTTCACTGAAATATTTTATTTAAAAAAGCATGAAATCAAAAGTCAACGACAATACCGACTATAATTATAGTTTACATAATAAATAGTTGGTTGGTCTTGGATAATGTTATTCAGTTGTTGATCGAAATACGGTAACATAAAATTTAAACCTGAGGCATTTTCAATGCAGCCGTGCAGGTGATCCCGATAATTCGGTAAAAGCACACCAATAATCTCACCTAAATGCATTCGTAAACTTTATAAACTAATTCTTTTGGAAAAAAGTCTTTTCTGCCTTATTTCCCTTCGTTTTCGTTTACAGGTTAATGAGTTTTTGCCACCATTATTCCTGTAAACTTCACCTTAGCGTACTGATGTCTCTTAAGTGTAACATTTTAAAAAATATCATTCTCACGTGTTGGTTTACTGGGATTTGATTGGTTACAGGTTTTGTCGCGAGCTGACAACAGTCAGGGAACCATTGAAAAACCTGGGAATGCGGGGCGACTGTGTAGTCCTAGTTTAGGAATCTTCATCAGTACGCACCCACTGAGGCTCGAACCCAGAACCTTCGGTTACACTGCGAACCCGTCGGTCATTCGGCCACTGAGACACAAACAAATAGCCTATAAGTTCGTACTCCCGCCAGTCCGTGATATATGTAGCGCAACGGCCAGTCATTGCCAGTGGGGAGTAACTGTTCTTTGATCTGACTTAGTGAACTCTGCTGCTTACAACTCCTCACTATGTATATTGCCAACTGACAGAAGTTGGAATTTATGGTCTGTTGGGTCAAGTCTCAATGACTGAATGTTCTACGGGCTCCCACTCTAATCGGAATTCCCTACGTTCGAACTTCAATGTTTGCGTACTGATGAAGATTCACAAATTAGAACGAAACAGTTTTCCAGTTTCACAGGTTTTCTAATTGTTCACTGGCTGATATCAACTCATGATACATTGATATTTCGTTCGTTGTTAGCATGTCGAGTACAGATATTTATTGTATGTATAAATAAATTTTAGTAAAAGTATATATATATATATATATATATATATATATATATACACTAGAGATTTTTACTACACTGTCCAATGTGTATATTTGGTGGGAATGATTTCTTCCGACAAAAATACACTTGAAAACATCTTGAATATATTCTGTTTTGTGTCAAAATCGTACCTGGTAATATCGAGTTGTTCAGTTTGCAAGATCTCTTTTGTATTAGTTATTACAGTAGGCAGGATATGATGCTCGAAAAATTTATATTTTATGTAGAAGTCATGGTTTCATGTTCATTGTCTATCGGATGGTTAAGTAGGTTTGTTGTTGTATGTTTATAGTCCAATTATCATATCTATTGATATTAGAAGTATTATTGACTCGTTGAACAAGACTGTGTTAAATTTAATTTCTTATTAAATAGTGTGTCAACATATGCTTAAGGATTGCGTTATACAAGCATACTTCACTGTAAGGTTGTACAAACACCCTGTCGCCATTTTGAAATCTCATCAGTAGATTAAATCAAGTTCTGGAAGGCCTAGAAAATTTTTTTCGGATTTTCCGCATGGTGTATTATTATTGTTATTGTATCCTTTAGTTCCAAGAGGAACATAGGGCTTCAGCTGCGCACCTCCATTGCCTTCGGTTTTCTGACAACTTTTTCACCCTGCTCCAGGTCTGTCCACATGCTTTCATCTCCTCCTCGCATGACCTCCTCCAAGTCACCCTTGCACTGACGACCAACTCTCCGCTCCCCTTTCTGGTTACACTCGAGCTATGGCTTGTCTAGTGATGTCACTTGATGGTTTGTTTTCTCAGAGTATGGCCAATCCATCTCCATTTCTTTTTGCCTATTTGTTTCACAATCGCTTCCTGGTTGGTTCGCTCATTGCCAGAGATCTTTGTTGCTGATCTTTTCTGGCCGGCCATTTGATCTTGAGTATTGAGCGGAGACAGCTGTTAATGAAGGTTTGAAGTTTGTTTGAGATGCTCTTTATGACTCGCCAAATCTCTGATCCGTATAGTAGCACTGACTTCACATTGGAGTTGAAAATCCGGATCTTATTTTTGATGGTGAGTGCTGTTGACCTCCACACAGATTTGAGAGTAATGAAAGCTTGTCTTGCTTTTCCGATTCTGGCTTTGATGTCCTCGTCAGTTCCGCCTGTAGTTGAGACGATGCTTCCCAGGTAGGTGAAGGAGGTTGTTTCTTTCAGGTTCTTCCCATTTATGCTTATTGTTGTCTGTTGTTGTTGTTGCTGTTGATGTTGGCTAGGAATCTTCATTATCTCTGTTTTATCTATGTTCACGTGAAGTCCTATCTTCTCTGGATGCTTCTTCTGCCAACTTGTTACTTTTCACTTGCATATCTTCCAGTTTATGGTATATATATATATATATATATATATATATGTATATATATATGCATACTAAAACTGGAACCATACGGGAAACATTAGCATGACACCGCCCAAGGAAGGCATGAAAAATCATAAAGCACTCCGTGTTTCAGACACATATGGTCGAGGCACGATTCCTGGCCGACGCGCCCTTAAACATCGCCTATCCGGTAGTCAGCCCGGTAAAGAGGAAAGGTTGGGATTGAGACTAGCGTAACCCCAACACCAAAGTGACTGAAACTTTAAGGCTCAAGTGTGAATTCCTTTATTCCACTCGGAATGCAGGGGAGGAAAGTTTCTCAAGAAGAAGAACAGTATAGCCCAGTGACATGCATATCAGACATAGTCCCCAACAGAGTTTTCACATTTTATCCCAAAGGAACAATAATATATAACTATCATAATAATAATAATAATTCTACGTTCGAGAAGTAAGGATAAACTACCTAAATTTGCCTCTTCTATGTGTATCTACCAGTTTGACTGCAACTGCGGAGCCAGCTACATTGGGCGTACAATCAGGCAGGTTCATCATCGTATTTTGAACATCATCCAATATGGTTAAGCATGCGATAAACAATATCTATTCGTAGTTCTATTTCAGCCCACCTCGTTGATACTGAGCATAAGACTGATGTGAATACTGTATTTAAAATTATTTATCGCATTCCTACTAATCTTAATTTTGCTCTACGAGTTCGTCTTCTTCAGACAGCTGAAGCAATCGGAATTCATCTGAAGAAGGCAAGCCTATGTGTACAGAAAAAATTTGTGCAGCCACTTTCCCTGCCGTGGCCATCGTCACAAGAATGCATAAACAGGACTACGTCGGCCCCCGCCCCCTAAGCCTATAAAAATTATAATTGTCCAAATTATTAATTTTATTTTTATTTATTTTGACCACTTCATCTTTAATTTACGTGTTATCCTTGTAAAATTAAATTAATTTATTCTAGCCATTTCAACCTTGTAAATCGGTATTGATTTTCTTCGTTAATTATCACCCCATTGACATTTTGACACTGACTGATTATTGTTAACAAACATATCAGTGCCACTTGGTGATTGGTAAACTGTTGTGTATTGTAATAAAAATTCTATGTAAATTAGAGTAGAGCCAGAGATGAGGATCTAATTGAAAAGTAAATATTTCTTCGCTCAATTTTTTTATTAATCAGATGCTCACCAGTGTCTGACTCATATACACAAAGTTACCTGGAGTTCTTGTGAGAAGTAGTAATCATCAATCAAAGTTCATCGAATGTCATTGTAACACAAATTATCTTAACGTAGTTTGCAGTCTGGTTGCATACCATAAACAAAAAAAGCACTAACTTATCCAAGTGGAAAGTGACTAACCGCCTCTATCAATCCAATTCATTCTTCTTGGATATTTTAATTGTAAACTAGAGTGTATTCCTTAAGATGCACTTAGACCAACCTGTTATATAACTTTCATGCATACTGTTTTCTTTTTCACTGTTATAGACAACTTACTCAATAACCTCAGTGAACAAACCAACCATCTTCGTGAAGAATTAAAATTACGCTATGACCAGTTAAAATGGATATTAAATTGCATAGTTAATGTTCTTATTTATTCGGGTATGTGATCAACCTATATGACTTTCTTTTCCACTCATGTGTGAATGGTATAAGTTAAGAAATAACTTTATTTTCAATAATTGGTTTGTAAGGATTCTGTGTTTCAGGATAGACCATGGGCAGATATCAGTTAGAGAACCATTGAAAATCAGGGAGTACTGGACATCTGTTTTATCCTAGTTTATGAATCACTGGCAGTACGCACCCACTGGGTGCGGAACCCAGGACCTTCCGTTTCAAAGTCAAAGTCGTATACTATTAAGACACTGGGACCCATTTCATTTGCCCCTTGAATTCTAACTTTTAGCAGTTTATAATTTCAGCGTGACCAGAAAGCAACTTCATCGATGACAACTGCATCCTCACTCCTGACTGTAGCTGAATAGTTTACAAGCTTGCCTTGCAACCGGAAGGTCCTGGATTCGAAACCCAGTGTATGTGTACTCTTTAAGAATCCCAAACTTGAACGAAACAGCTTTCCAGTACTTCTTTGTTTTTAATTGTTCTCTAACTGATATCATTCTGTGGTCTAACCTGAAACAATTATATATATTTTGTTGATAAAACGCTTAACTTATGACCAGCTATTTTATTTCAGCTGCCATTTAGTAAGAGCATTTTGCTTTTAATATGAAGGCTAAATAAAATAACGCTGTCTTCGTGAAACCTGAAGAATCTGAGGTTCATCTCTCATGAGGTCGTTGTTGAAGAGTTTCAAGCTTGGATATAAGAACTTATTCTCAGTGTTTCTTGTTTCTCAAAGGAATTTCACTGGAAGCCTCACAGAGGAATCAAGCATTGTTTACTAAACTCAATCTGACAAACTTCCAATTCAAATCATCTAACTTGTTTTCTTTTCAGCTTATCGAGATGAAGAGATGATCGCTTTGATGACAGAATTCAGTTCAACTTATGAGATTTCAAGTCGCGAATTTTCGAGAGTTTCAACGCCGCCTAGTACGAGCCAACTCAGGGATCAGAATGAAATAACTTATAGAAGTATAAGCAGAACTTTTGCTCCTCCGCCTACATCTCGTTACTCCTATCCTTATCACGATTTTGTTCATAGTGAGCAATACCCTTCATCTAATATTCTCCGACATTCCACTCATCTTCCGCCTGTTTTGCCGTCTTCTTTTACCTCTTCTTCTTCTTCTTCTGCTTCTTCTCGTCTTCATAATGACATGTTAAGTAATCAAAAGATAAGAACATATCTTCTGTCTACAAAAGGTTCAAATTCCTTTTTATCTATGCAACAGAGTTTAGAGCAAGCACTGGTCACTTCTATGTTCACAACTGCTTTACAGATTAAAGTGAGTTCTTTTTTTGTTGTTGTATAAAATACAACATTTAAAAAAATAATTTAAATAATGAATATGAGATTTCCCATTGAATTAAAAAATAAAATGAGATTGTTCAAGTGTTGGTTTGTTGGGATTTGATTGGTTACAGGATTTCATCTTCAGCTGACATTGGTTAGAGGACCAATGGAAAACCTGGGAGTACTGGACAACTGTTTCGTCCTAGTTTGGGACTGTTCATCAGTGCTCACCCACCGGGGTTCGAACCCAGGACCTTCTGGTTACATGGCGAGCTCGTAGACCCGATCCAATAGTCTATGAATTCTCACTTCTACCAATTCACGACATAACGCGACCCCTAGCCAATGTCTTTGACGAGTATTTGTCCTCACACCCAACCTGCTGCACCCTACTGACAACCTCGTCAAAGTAATATTTAACCAGAACTTACAAAATCTCAGCCAATATACAGTGGCTAAATTGCATTTCTTCAACATGAGGTAATCTTCACTTTGTTTAGTTAGTCAACTGGTAAAAGTAGCAATAAGTGTATGAAGTGATCAAAACAGCATGTGTATATATAGTGAAAATTTATAAAAGAATGGTTACTTAACAAAGAGTACTCTTTTCAATAACTTCATCATCAGGCTCTACAGCTATATATACATTATAGTGAATGAATCAATGAATTAGTGTTATTAACACAATATTAATGATGTTTAAATAACATCGAATCAATAATAATAATATCAATGAATTACAGTTCGATAGCATCAACATGACAACACACTGAATACCAAAAAATTTAGGAGAGATGATAATAATACAAATTCATGAATTTATAGTCTCTACTGAAGGTCAGGGCAGTAGTAGGGACTGTACTTGTTCCGTTTGAACACAGAGCACTGGTTGTTTGAGGCGAATTGCAATAGCCTCTGCTGTTTGGAGAATGCGGTGCTTCTATGTTTCTGGCAAATTTTTAGGCGCCCGGTAGATGATAGAGAAGGATTCTTCCACACCGGCTTTGTGGCCGGTTTGCACTAGGTGGTCTAATATCGAACTGTTAATGGTTTTCACTTCACTTTTACTTAGCCATAGTGGGAGATGTTCTTGAGCACGAACTATTCTTTTGTAAATTTTAATGGGCACTTTTAATCAGTTATAATGAAAATTGCTTAACACATTTGTTAAAGTCTCCATGAAGAGAACAGATGTAAAGAAATGCCTAAAAACGGTACGCACCGATTAATCTTAACTTTACATATTACTGAGACTGTTGGAATCAAAATTAAGACACCTAACTTATGTAAAGAAAAGACGAACTTGGTTTAGACACTGTCCTTACCTTGGCCATCAAGGTTTTAATTATCCTCATTTTCTTGTGGAAACTTCCTTAATTTTACCTGATATTCATTTTACTACTACATGGGTACACAGTAGAGCCGAAAGAGGAAATTATCGAAAATGAAATTCTTTGCTCAATTCTCTTTTTTTAATGTCTGGATGAATACTTTCGCTATATATATATATATATATATATATATATATATATATATATATATATATATATATATATATATATATGATTTTACCGTTCAAAGGAGACACAGATACTGAATTTCTGGTATCGAAACTTCGAAAAATAGTAACTAAAATATTTTTAGCCACAACACTGTGTTTAGAATTTACCGCTTGTTGTATCATTTCAACACACATGAAGGATAACCTACCGAGTCTGGTCACCTTAAGGTGCACTCATAAATTTAATTGTTCACTCGGGGACAGTCACATATGTGTTTGAACGAATCGGAAAACCCATCGTCGCTTTGTTGAGTATTGTCCAACATGGTTAGGTAAAGAAGTTGTACAGGCAATCAGGACTTTCATATTGGCACACCTTGTGGATGTGGAGCACTAGACTGGTAAAAATTCAATCCCTATGATTCTGTACAACGTACCGACTCAATTCCTTAGATTGGTACGTCATCGCATAGCTGCGGCAGTTGCCGTAAGAAATTTTTTCAGCCCAGTATTTGTGTTCAGAAATAGTTTTTTTTCAATCCCTCTCCCTTTTACGGCCTTCAACTCCAACCTAGAAGAGTTATTTCTCTAAGTGACACTAGATGACTGTAAGTGTTATCTTTTATTTTTGTTTGTATGGCTGACTGTAATATCAATATCACACAGTGCTGTAGTTGTACATTTTAATCTCGGTTTCAAAATTTATTATTATATTATCTAGTCGCTATGCGACAATAGTTGTTTTTCCTTCTACCCATACTAGTAGACACATTCTACCTATGCACTGACCATTGTCAAGACTATATAAACGCTTCGATGAAATTATCTTTGTTATTATTATTATTATGATCACATCAGCTTTTTTGCATTAATGGACACTTTTGAACTCTGATCCCATACTTTATTGACCACATTATTTTAAGTGCCTATGACTAATATTTCACTATATAGGCGTAAAAGCCGAAGAGAATTCACCGAAAATATTTCATCACACTTTAAGCACTTTTTTATAGACGTATTTAGATGGTAAATCCTCTGGAATTCCGTCTTTCACATGAAGAAGACTGCTGTTGAGCGTGTCTGATATTTCGAAGAAAACTCTATTGTTGTGCTTACTGAGTATTTGAAATTTAATGTCAAGTCGCCAGATGGTCATCTCGATGGTTGCAATAATAGTTCTTTGCCCTTCAAGGTTGATTATATTCCAAAACAGTCTTCACCTCAATGATGTATATTGCTGATTGACCCTGTCAGTAGCTGGGAAGCACTCATGTTCACTTCATGATCTGAACAGAAAACTTTTTAAATCTGCTGCCTATTACTGATGTGCTCAGGGTTGTTTTACTCCCCCTTCCCACGTTTTATTTTTTATTTCATTTGATTTTTGATTACAGCTTGATTCCACACCGTATTTTTGGTACAAGTATGGAGATTTTGAGCGTGGATATTATTATTATTGCATCCTTTAATTCCTAGAGGAACATAGGGCTTCAGCTGTGCACCTCCATTGCCTTCTGTTTTCTGCCAACTTTTTCACTCCGCTCCAAGTCTGTCCACATGCTTTCATCTCCTCCTCACATGACTTCCTCCAAGTCACCTTTGGACGACCGACTCCCCGCTTCCCTTCCGGGTTCGGTAGCCCAAATTTCACAGGCCGACCATAGATATCAGGTGTGCGTCGGCGTGGGCTCGAACCCCGGACCATGTGCATGGTCGGCGAGAGTACTAACCACTGTGGTGGAAAAAAATGATTCAAAGAAAAATAATTAGAAATGAAAATGTTGTTCATACCCAACGGAATTATTGACTCTTGAACTTAAGTATTCATTCACCACAACAACTGAGTTTGTTCCTGAAATGATTCATAAGTCTGCACTTTTAAAGAGTCTGACAGCAGCTGGACGAAATATATGCAGTGTATACTTCTATGCAGATATGCTTGCTTCCTTGTTACCATTTATGATATTAAGCAGATCAAATATTCTGGTCTGAATAATTTGGTTTCCAAAAGAAACTATGGTGAACATCTAACCACTGGAACTGCGTACATTGCAAATTGTGAATTTGACTGATTCATGACATGACTGGTTCGCTCATGTGGCTGGCCACAAGTTGAGTAGTTTGAGGTGATTCGGTGCTTTGAGTTCTGTTAAAACCGGGTTAACAGCTTATGAGGTTGGCCCTAAACAAGAGAAACAGCCGTCCGATATATGGACCATCTCCATCTGGCTAGTAGGCACTACTATATTTAATGTGAGTAGTATACAACTACTCATTTCATTGAATCAATAGTATAAACTTTTTTTCAAATTTACCGTATAATAAGTCATTCATACCATAAAATTACTTTGCTGAATCTTCAGTGAACTCATAGGCCTTCTGTCACTTTCAATTACGGAAGTGGTTTTGTCTTTTGTACAGGATGTTTCTGTTCATTGAATGTTACATTCAGTATATGTGTCGGAAATGTCACTGTAGGTGGTTGCAATCCTGATTGCATAATTTTTATTAGAATTTGTAAATGAATTTCGTGTTGTTTCTCTCCTTTTTATATTTTTCACATTTTAGAATTCTGTTACACTAAAAATCCCTAAAATCTCAAATTTTCTCACAACAAATGATTTCATGAACCTTTTCACTAAGTCGCTCAGCCGAATCCTTATCTCTCGGACGCAATTACCAGAGGCTGGTGTATCTGTTGACTTTTTAGTAACATATTTGTTAAAATTGTTCAATGAAGAGACAGGATTGCTAAATTTGTGCTTAGCAGTATTACCACCTATGGTAGGTATTTTAGAATCATTTTACTTGTTGTTTATTATCATGTTTACTTCTCTGTAAAAAATTATATTTGTAAAATCTCAGCGAGATTGAAATGAGTAATTCCAACGTTTCCTGTGTTCGTCGCAATCTGGTCCGAACTTCTTCAGGGGAACTAATCGAAATTAACATAACAGAGATTTATATATAAAAGGAACATCTCTTGTTTTTAAAAACTTTTATCAACAAGTATAGTAAACAAAATTGTATGAGCTGTCATCAAAACTATTTAGAACTATTCTGTCAACTCTTGACGACAGCTCATTTGAACTTACCACTCTGTTCTTATATTTATTGTTAAATGAGTAAGAAGTGTTTATGAGTAAAATAATTTTTAACTATAAAATTCAGCAGTTTAACTAGTGGAATGCTTGTCAGTCGAATGGGAGAGTGAGTTCCGATTTCCGGTTGATGCACTCCTAACTCTTGCATAATATACTGATTGCTAGTAAACCGGGAAAATAGGGAAGGCTGAATGTGTGATGCGGCTAGCAACTCCATCACCGCTGCTAAAACTTCTAAGCTTCACGTCTTATATTCCACTAGGCACTCAAGGGGTGTATCAGAAGAAAATTTAACTGATTAATCATTCAATTTAGAAATTATCTAGAAGATTTGTGACCAAGGTGAGTCATATTGGATCAGTTTTTGTTTTCTAGTGCTTCCTGGTGTAACTGCTAAGGTTTTATTCTTATTCTAAATAATATGTGCGGAACAGACTTCATTATGATGTACGTGTCTATTGTCTAGATTGCAAAGATCCTGAACCCATCGCTGGTTTCAAGAGACTATGTCTAACACACAGAATACTATGCGCATCAGCCGATGTGGATCAACAGAATACAGTAGGGTAATATGGTTGTTTATTCCTCCACCGATAATGAAACAGAATTATAAGTTACTGTCAGCTAAGTCTGTAAACAAACGTTAATATAATGTACAATAATGCTTCTGATCATATATCTCCAGTCCTTGACCAACCAGTACACGATTAAAAAACGATAGCCTTCTTGTTTCCCGCCAAATGGAAACCAATTTGAATAAACAAACAGTCCAATGTTCACTGACACCAACAGTGGGCTTTTAAAATTCTTTATCGAGTTTATCAGACTTGTTTTCTGCTGACCTATAACTTGACTGGTTGCTCTCGTATTATTATTATTCCTTAGGCTCTGAGTGAAACATAAGGCTTCAACAACACATCTCAATTTCTTCCTTTTCGCCTTAATCCTCGTTAGCTAGCTCCATGATTGACCATAAACTCCTATCTCCCCATGTCACCCTGGGAGCCGTGCCCAACTCGTCGTTTCCGAGGTTTGGTTAACTGATTGATATCGTCCGTAGTTAAACACACGCACACAATATCTGTGACTCGATCCCAATCTCACTAATTTGCCTTTAGTTACTTTACGTTAACAAATTTATAACCTTGATGGAAACTGTTAATAGCTTTTTCCCCTACTTTTTTATCCAAACTTTCTACCTCTATACATTTGAACAGTACTCACCTACGTTCTGGAGCAACTTAATCAGTGTACAGTATTGGCTTAGTCGAAATGTTAAACCCATGTCAACATTTCTTACAAATATATCATCAAGTAATCAGAATATCAATAATAGTAATAATATTAATGACAGTGTTAATCACCAGATGAATATAGAAAATGCCACGTCAGAATCTTGTCTACTCAACTTTCACATTGTAAAGCAGTTGACTCAACTGCATAATATCCTCAATGCATTACTCACTGTTCATTTTAATGCTGATTCATCAACGCTACCGATTGAAATTTGTCAAACACAGAATTTACCAGCCTATTCTTTATTCCTATCATCGTCATCTTCACCATCAATATCCTTGACATCTTGTGTCCGAAGTAAAACAATCCTTGTAACACGTTCAGAGATTTTTACTTATCGTGAATTAATTATAATTGCCTATAGAAAAGCAAAGGACCAATGGAAGATATCATTGTCTAATTTAAACGAGGCAATGAATTCCAAGTTGTCAATTGATAATAATGATTTAATAAATCATGATAAAAAGGTTTGTTTATTTGTTTCTAAAACCTAAAAAACAAAGCCATGCTCTTGTAAAATTTGATTTTATACACTAGTGTATCCGAATTTATTGCTTTACACTGTTGTAAAATCATAATTCTTGCTTGCTTCATGCCATTTTGTTCGATGGTTAAACTATAATTCTTAATAATTTGAAGTTATTTGTTATTAGAGGGTTGAAAGGCAATCGGTAGGCAGCCTTGGACCTAAGTCTCGTCATCAAGACGTATATGCGATCTTCAAGGAAGTCGTGTTTTCGCTGACGTTCAAAACTGTGTTTTGAAGTACTGAAAGCAGAAACGTTACTCTTGCGCTATTCGGGCTCTCGATCGACAGTAATAATAATAACAGCTTTATTTTAAACAGTACTTTTCATACCAATGTCGAATTTTCAGCATGTATACAATATTGCATCTCTAATTTTCTCATCACTTTATTCAGGGCTAATCAGTGAATATGGCGTTTAATTTTATTATATTGTTCATTAATAATAGAAGTATAAAGTCAAAGTGGAAATATTAACAACAATATTTCTTATCACATAAAATGTGTGCCCGCCTAGTAAGGTATTGTAGAGTTTTTTAATACTTAGTTATCGGAGCATAAAGCTTCTTATAGTTACTTGTGGTTCTGCCTGATGAGATGCAAGGAGAGAGTCGTGTATAGAGAGGATGCTTAGTGTCTGACTCGAGAATATTCGCTAATTTTTTTGCACGAGTCCATGTGTCTATCTAAAACAGTATTAACGAGTTGGTTTAGTAACACCTTACTCGCCTTATTGAAAAATCGTTGTGCTCTTTGGGGTGCAGCAAATAAATAACAAGGGAAGGTTTAAGTGGGAGCAATGAAGACGAATAGGTTGAATACAAGAATTAACAAACTAGTAAGTAGAAACTGAATGATACCATATTGGGCGAAGCTAAACTTTGAGCACCACTGACTACCAATGGAGTGCGACCGCACCAATTACCACTGAACGAGTCAGCGAAACCTGGAGAATAATGTTGTCATCATCAATAAAATATGCTCATCGAAGTGTAATGATATTAAATGGGATTTCTGGCAAGTTTCAGCTTAGGTCTGGGAAAGATTAAGTTACTCTTTAAGCCAGGGATAAGTTAGGGTTAGGTTAACCTAATAAAGGCGACATTATAATTGGTTCTAGTTAGATTACAGTCAGCTTAGGCATATTTTCACACTAGGGTTAGGTTCAGAAGAGATTAGGGTTATTGTTAGGTTTATAAGACCTAAATAATTACATGCATAGAATGTGATTAAACTACTCTGTTGACATAAGAATAGAACTTTTGCACTGTGGTAAAGAGTATAATTCCATTGTGGGTAACATTTATTTCGATAAAATCACAGTGTTATTGTTATGTACTCGTCGCCAAATTATTGTTATGTACTGGTCGAGAATTTAATAGTCCTGATGCAAGAAAGACGGAAATCAGAAGACCACTAGGTTTGCGATGATACTTCTATTTTCCAAAACACCAGGAGAATCAATGTCACACAAGAGTGCGAGAGCAAAAAATATATATGAATGTCCGAACAAGTGTGTGAACACAAGTGTGAGAGAATATCCAAAATGAACAAATCAATAGACAGTCTTAGCATGATTGGCTAATTATAATGGAATATCGATCCATTTATACCTAGCAAATATAACAGACATGTCAAACAAACACACATATTATATATAATATAAGGGGAATGTACATTGTTAAAGGAGACAGGTTCATCAAAGTGAAATGGTCACAGACTAAGAGAGCAACAGAAAGAGAGACCACCATATATATATATATATATATATATATATATATATATATATATATATATATAGGGATACATATCATTTATACAGTAATATTTACTGATGATGTTTCGAGCACAATTTATTGCTCAAGAAATATTAGTGTATTACATTATGAGACTTTAACAAAATAAATTTTACCCACAATGGAATTATACTCTGCTGATACCCCAGCCTAAAACTGAGAGCCAATGACTAGCATGTGTTTCAGGTCATTAGAGCGTTCGCACTCTTTGGACGCTGTTGTTAAACTTCGCCATATGTATTCCATACACGAAAATGCCTCCTTCACGCAACTCGTGCGCTTGAGGTGATTCGCTGATTGGTAGTTAGTGGTGCTTAAAGTTTAATTTTGCCCTATATTGTCTTAACTTCCTTACGTAATGTTAAAAGAAACATTTCTAGAAATCAACATGATCTGGAGAGACCAGAAAAAGTCAGAGCAAATACGCGATCCGAGGCATTTAGCATTTGATCTATTATCTACTTCAATGCCATCTATAACAGTAGCATCATATGAACGAACCAGTTCATGTAAGTCGCGCTTGCATCTGAAAGTGAAATTAACAACCTGATATTTGTAGGGATTTAAATTAAGGCCATTTGACAAAGACCATTGACTACTTTCCAATAAAGTGTTAATCATTTGGAACGGTCTAAATGAGAAGAAGCAGGCATGGAAACAGTCAGGTCGTCGGCATAGCTCCTTCAGTACTGTATTGGATACCTTAATTTGATACCAGTTGGTAACTAGCGTCTAATCCTCGATGTTTTGTACAGAATGAATTCTATCAATCAAGCTTGCTACTTGACTACCATGCTAGGTGCATCCAACCATCGAATAACACCAGTTCAGAGTGCACCATGACGATGAACCACCAATTATCCTAGTGACCACATTACAAACTTGACTGATGGAATTCAGTTTGTACCAAACACTAAGGACTAGACTCATAACACTAGTTACTACCTAGTGTCCACTCAAAGGAAATTACTTGCCTTGGTGGTGTTCAGCTGTAGAATCCAGGTCGCGCATTACGCCCTAATTGAGACACCATCATCCGGACGAACCTACTTCTCAGTCATTGGTAGTGTTTTCACTGAATCTCTTATCCAGCGCTCATCGCTTCAAACTCCAAAGTGTGGATAATGGTTTAGCGTTTTAAATTATTTTTCTGTTCTTAGACTCTCAGCGGGAATACTAGAAATCATTGGAAAGATAACGATTTACAAAGTAGTCAGAATGCGCTCCCTGGATTTCTACCGGAAACAGGTCACTTCGAGTTTTTAATGCCGGTATAGTATCCAGGCATCCGTTCAAGAAGACTATATGCCAAAAAAGGCTGTTCCATTTGTTCCGTAAAATCATAAATATAGGTCAATAGTCATAAACTTTACGGCTGTAAAATTGTTCATCTGATTTAAATGTGGTATGTAAGCAATTTCTTTTTTCATTCTCTTTTTCAAAACAAATTCCCTTTTCAGTCAATACTTGATCAATTGATTCAAATGTTTTGGTCAAAATCGACAAGCACAAAATCAAATCTAGATGATGATGAAAAGAAATTTGCTGGAAATGAAGAAACACCTTCTTCTTCTAATCAGCTTTCTTTCTTTATACCATCGCATAGCCGTTTACCGAGAAAATTCTCGATTGCACGTTTAGCTGGTCAAGCTAGAAAACAATGTGTTGAAGGTCATAATGCCTGGATGGATGCTTATAGTGAACGTAGACGTATTGTAGGCCCATTGGGTACTATACTTTGGGCTCGTTTAGCTGAGAATATAAGTCATAACAGGTAATAATAAAGCGGAATTTTTTCTTCATTACTCCATAAATCTGCTCTATGTATATTACAGGTGGTGTTTCCTAGCTTAACTTATCCCTTTAAAAATATACACAGTTTCCATTGTTACCATTAAATTACTCGTTTTTCTAATTCCCGCTATTGGGTAATTTCATTTGGGGGAACAGACGTATTCCTACCACAGAATGTGAGGTTGGTTTTACATGGTTTATTGTTTCGAAATTCCGAGTACAAAAGAAAAACGAAACACCATTGTATTGTGTAGTTATTACTATTCCCTTGGTTTCCGAAGGGAACATAGACCTTCAACAGTACATTTTCATGACAGTCTCTTCTCTGTATTCCTTTTTTGCTGGCTTTAAGATTGACCGTAACCTCTCATCTCCCTCGAACTCACGCCTAAATCGTCGTTTCCTATTTCGCTTTCATGAGAGCGAATGCTTTTGATGTGGTTGTGTTCTCTGAGCTGGATGGTTGATTTGCGAACCTTTCATCACCCTACTGGGTGACATCTTCAGCGCATACTTCAGTTTGAAGTAACTTTTAGATTCTTCCACGAGTTTATTAATCATCTCCCCTGGTGACCTTGGACATGACTGGTTGTTTTTGTGTGTTTTCATACCTTCTAGGTTATTTTTTTTGGAACTGATTGTTTCTTTGGCTTGAAATTTGATCCTTTGTGTGTGAAGTTTATTTCTTATCGGTTGATAAATTTTGTCTATTTCTATGTGTCTATTCATTGATGATTCACTGGAATGTCAAGCTTCTAAAAATTCTCGGGCATTCTTGTTGTTTCCTCTGTCTAATATTTGAACATTTTCCCAGTCGAATTGATGTCCGTGGTTGTCTGTATGTAGTGATATGAGGAAGCGAATGCTTTTCGCGCCGTGTAACTTGACGATCTCCTCAATGTGTGTCCAATCCACCTCCATTTTCTTCTGCATATTTGCTGAACAATTATTTTCTGATTGGTTCGTTCCCACAGTTTCTTGTTGCTTATATTCTTTCTGGCCAGCGAAGGCAGCTGTTGGTGAAAGTTTACAGCAGTTTGTTGGGAATGCCTTTTGTGACACTCAGTCTCTGAATTGTAATGCAACTCATATATATATATATATATATATATATATATATATATATATATATATATAATGGTCCTTGAAAGTAGTCGACCTGAATCAAATGAATGTGTGTTGGTTCAGCCCTATGTATTGCATCATTCCGAGGAAATGACTGAAGAGCATAGTGACGAATAAGTGAATTTATGTATTAAACGCTACCGTGCGTGTAAGTGGATCCTAATTGTGAATATTGCTCAGCTTGGATCGTAGCAAACTTTCATTTAAGAAATCTGTTGTAGATACATCAGTAATTAATTTTCTCATCATTTGATTTTTATAATTTGTCAGTTCCACACCTGTAGGATTAGAAAAAGTTATTCCTTTGGAAGCATAGTTTCCACCACTAGTTAATATCACCTAGATAGCCACTGATAAGCAATCAATACTAAATAGATACTCTGTCACACTGTGGAACTCTTTAGTATCATTCAGAGTTAACTACGGCATCCTATTTGGGACTAGTCAGCCGGGTGTATTTGTCATCTCCAGTGATTGCGTCGGTGACACAGGGGTTAGGACTCTCGCCGACCATGCACATGGTCCGAGGTTCGATCCCCTGCTGACTCACACCTGGTATCTATGGTCGACCTGCGAAATTTGGGCTACCGATATCCATGCTGAAAATTCCATACCTGTACCAAAAATACGGTGTGGAATCAAGCTGTAATCAAAATAAATAAATAAATGATTAATAGTGTTTCCACTGAAACTCAAACTCAGCATGTATCGTCTCAAATGCCAGAGATCATTGAAGCCTCCGTACAAAGAGCCGAAAGTTTCGGTCCAATGAAGCGATCAACGGGAAAAATAGAATTGACTTAAGCAAATGCGCATAATTCTTGTATTGTATGCATAACTTAACATTTTCTTTTTCATATTTTACACAGAGGATTATTTTATCATCCTGAATCATCACCGTCTGGTTGGTGTGTTGATCCCGTAGAGGGGTCCTTACGTCAGCATTATCGATTCTACTATACACATTTACCAATTGCTGAGCGTTTAATACACTCTTCATCTCGTTCAAATCTATGTAAGATTTTCTTTTATTGTATTGTTCATTACTGACATTATTCTTTTTAATATTAAGTATTCCCAAAGGAAAATTTAAAGCAACACATTTAAGCGAACAGTATTGTTTAGAGCAATTAGTTCCCTTTTATGGATTTCGACAAAACAATAAGAAGACGTAGTTTATCTGAAACGTATAATGTATTGGCGCAACACATTTCGGACATTCTGATCACACACGTACTTGTCATACACAGTTTTTATAGAAGGCAAGAAGGCATGAATAATTACAATGCAGGTCAGATTGTGCACAGGTCAAGGTCGCAAATAGTGTCACATCCCACTGTGTTTATCAATTTACATGTATGTGTGGAGACACGTACATAGGGAGGACCAATCGGTCTCTGCAGGTTGGGGCTACACAACACATTCCAAAGTGGCTGCAACAACAAATGAAATCTCCAGACACAATTGACTCCGGAAATAGGTGTCGAACATCATCTATAGAGAAGCATATTATAGAGACGGGTCATAAAGCTGGTTTCAACAATGCTTTTAAGCCGATATATAAAACAAGGTTGGGTCATATACTTAAATTCATTGAAGCCTTAGCCTTAAAAAGACTTAAATCTGTCTTATGTGTCCAAAAGTTATTTGTTATCACCTTAAACCTGCCTTGGTAATCCAATTTAGAACCAAGGACCAATTTACTTCATAATATTTTCACCCCCTTCTTTGCCTTGTTTTTTCTCATTTTATCTTTCTTACCCACACCTTTTGCCTCTCCCTACCCATTATTTGTTATCATAATGGTGAACACTTTTGAGCAGTTGTAGCCCATAAGATTCACCAAAGCAAATGTCATTATAGTTACATACCAATGACGTTGATGAATGACATTTTTGTGCTGTATAATGAACTGGCAAATTTGATAAGATATTTATTAATATTATTAAATTTCAGCATCCAATCGTCAACCGCATTGTCTTGCTTCACTAATCGGCTTGCCTGAGTTCAATCAACCTCCACCAGTTGGTGCAGCATGTACATGGTCTGATTTACCATTATGCTTACCTTTGCCTGCAATCCCCTTGATACAATTAGCCTCAGCTAGTCGATATCATATTAAAGCTGTTTGGGCGTGTCGATTAGTCGGTCTACTGCATATTCCACCAGTTGAAGGTGATTTAGTACTCGGACAATCATGGCTACGCTTTCAACCCGACCCTGTGATCAGTAATAATAATAATAACAACAACAATAATATGCAATTCACAGAAATTGTAAGTTAATTAGTTTCAGTAAATCTGAGCCTATTTTTTGACAGTATTTCTTGCAAAACTTTATAACCTGATGTTTAGTTTATAGCATTTGAAAGCTCTATGAAGATTACTTGATATAACTTTGTTCTGTTATTATAATCTGTGGAACTGTGACCTGTTAGTTTAAATATCATGACTTTGCAAACTGAGTTACTTTTCAGAGTTGAGCAGACAAGCCTCTTAACAGCTTTTGTGGTTGGTATCTTTTCTGTATGAAAATATAGCAGAATACTGAGCTGCATAACAGCATAGTCTCTTCTCACGTTTCTAACCAATGTTTACTGTGTTTTTACCGATTTCATTACAGTATTCTGTGCACACGGTCGAATCACATAGTTCATTTTGTACAAGTTAACTGACTTACTGACTTACAAATCAACTTAACACTTTAGAAAGATGTTCACTAGTCCGAATTGTCATTATTATTTTGTTATTATCGTTTTAGTAGCTTGAAAATTCCCATTGAGTCATATGAAAAAGGGAAGACGTTCAGCGAAGAGACTCTTTTCGGCGAATTCATTCACATAGCTGTACAATCTCATTTATATATAACTATCTGTATATATATATATATATATATATATATATATATATATATGAGGTTTGTCAAATTTAGATAATTGATCGGCTAATACAAGAATGATCTAATATAGAAACAAGGTTAATCAGACAGCAACTAAAGTAAGATTGAGTTAGTAAGTTAGATGACGTAATATGATTGGCTAAAATGTTTCAACTTAGGTTTTATTTTATTCCTTTGCGTTTCGGGAGGAATACAGGGCTTCAAGCTTGAGCTGTGAAGTTTCAGTAGCAGTGGTGAAGGGGTTGCTAGCCTCAGGCCTAACCTTCCCTCTCTATCGGACTTACAACCAGCCAGGGGAAGTAAAGGTGTGCGTCGGCCGGGAATTAAACCCGGACCACATCCAAACTACTACACTCCTAATTGGCGCACAACAAATAGGAGAACAGACGGTAAATGACGCTATAAACTCAGGTTTGAAGGGGAGAATTATTAGATGAAAGCTAATAAAGGTGTTCAAAACCCAGAAGACAATAAGAAGTGATTGCGTATATCCCACTGTAAAGAATTTCAGGAAATTTCACCAAGAGTCTCTAATAACTGTTTCATAATATTCTGACTCCTTCTTGCCTAACTCAGACTAACAATGAGATATGTGGCATGCTGCGGTCTGATTGCCCTGACACATATCTGCTCCCAGAATGTGGTGGTCAGGTTTACATAGCCCGTGACCCTATGAGCTATTCTAGTTGAAATTATTAGTAGCTTAGTGTTAAGATTAAAAGCTCTTACTATCCAGACATAAACTGTTTATCTCTTTGGTGATAAATTAGTTTTGCTGGTGGGGAAAATTGTACAAGCAGTCAGGTATTCACCTTGGACTTTCAGTTAGCCAGCTACTCAGTATTTTTGGTCGTTAGAAGAAGATATTAGGAAACAGCAGTGCTTATCTAGCTGTTAAGTTATTTGTACGCATGAAACTCCAGTAATTCCAAGACCCTTAAGCAGGTGGTATTTGACCAGTTCCTAGCAAACGTTCCTGGTCTCTGTGGACACGCTAAATTAATCCATTTATTTCAAATACTTCAGGAAACTAGGATGCACTAAGCGCTCGCATGATTTAATCAGTACATAAATACTGTACACTCGTTCTTAAGGTTAGATGTATATATATTGTTAAGTATAGGAAGTCAGTCACTCATTGAAGTAATGAACTCTCAATGACTAATGTTGTCACACTATCCTCTGCACGACAAACAATCGCTTTTTCAACAAAAGTTGTTTACTAAAGCACTATCAGTTTAGATGGAAATAGTGAAGTAACTAAATGTTGATTGAAGCTATTTTTGTTTAAGTGTCGATAATCACGAAACCTAAGACTGACTGACTGTAGAGAGAAAATTACGCTAAATAGTGGGGTGTTTTCTTACTCCGCTTTTGTACATAGTCGGTTCATTCGAATCAATATAACTTGGAAAGAAATAGATACTTCGATTACACTTCCTCGAAGAATTTAAGATATAGGCTAAATTTGTCAGAATACGATACTCTATATTGGAAAATAAGAATGTTTTGCGGGAATTTTTTAGCTTCCATCGCTTTATACATTCTTTCTTTTAATATACAGGAGTCATTATATCCTTATCAGAGTCCATCTAATCGATTATGGTTTGCATGGTCTTTAAAATCAATTGATCATATTGAAGAACGCAGATATTCACTTCGTGATGTTGCTGTGGAAATTTTTCCTGATGAAACTGATGTCAACACACCTATGCTATTTGCTATGCAGTCTACAAAGGTAAGTAAATTTCACTCGAAGGACCGAATCACTCGTTAAAGTGTTACTGTAATCGTATAGACATAAAAATGACGTCATAAAAGTTATGATTAGTGGGGACGAACAAATCTGAGCCATGACAATCTCCAGATTACTACTCCAAATATTTGTCAGATCGATCTTATAGCTATAATCCAGATTTTCATTCCGCCTTGAGTTGTCATCTGTTACATATTTATGGTTGGATTGGTTGGAGGATCGGGTCCCAGTCGCTTAATGGTCTACGAGCTCGCCTCGTAACCAGGATGTCTTGGATCCGAACTTCGGTGGGTACGTACTGCGAAGAGTCCCAAACTTGGACGAAACAGCTTTCCAGTACTCCCAGGTTAGCTCATGATGAAATCCTCCAACCGATATTAATGGCAGTCAGTCATTCCCAATTAGTGTTTTGTCTGATGGTGACTACTTGTGGAATCCAGTAATTCACATTTCGTCTTATTTGAGACTGGACAATGGCTGTACCTGCGTAGTCGAAACGTGTGTACTATTAACCGTTTACATGTCAATGGAGACTAGCCACTTCAGTCTAGCATAATCAATCAGCCGGAAATTCAGATTAAGCTAAAAATAGATATCCCTAACATAATAATAATAATAATAATAATAATAATAATAATAATAATAATAATAATAATGTCAATTTCATTCTGGAAATTATATTTACACACCATACAGAATCCTTAGCATAATTGCTTGCTAAATATTTACTCCGCATATAGAATTTTCAAGAAAATATTCGTAGACGTTCTATATGAAACAAGACTCAGATCTCCATGAAAGTGGAAGCTAAAGGAAAACTCCTGATTGCAATCCCAAAGGAGAAAAATAGAATATCTATGCTGGTTAGATATTTGAGTAGACCAGTGGTTTAGGAGGTTACCAAAGTATCTGATCACCCTGAAAACGGAAGCTGAAATCTAGTCCATTCAGAAATTCCCATTGGTAACTTTGTTTTCACCTGGAACTAGACTCTTAAGCCAATTGTATTGTGTGTAATCAGATGCACTTCAGTTTTTATACGAACATACGACATGGCACAGAATATATGGATGTCTAGATGTCTCTTGCTAAATAAGCTCTCTATGACACAAACTGAGTCCTGGGTCACTAACTGGTTGCATTCCTACTTTTCAAACAGAATGCAGTATACCGTATACAAAGGAAAATCCTCCTCTGCTGTGCTCACTGAAGCTGGTGTCCCCCAAAGTGCTGTACTTTACCCACTTCTCTTTTCTTTCTTTCTACATGACCTACCATCTTCGAATGACATTAATTTTGTCAAATATGCTGATGACCTAACTGTACCTTTGCCTGTCAAATGTCAAAGTGACTGCACTAAACTAAACGGCTTCTTATCAGAAATCAGCCAATGGTCCAAGGAAAACGGTCTCACCTTAAACCCCTGCAAATGCCAAACTGTTAATTTCACCTTTAGGCACAAATCTGACCTAAACAAACTGGTTAGCACTCACGGGGTGTGCAACATAGATGGTACTGAAATAGAAACCAATCGGAAATTAAATACCTAGGCGTCATTCTATCTTCTGATCTTTCCTGGTCGTCTCATATCTTGATGGTTTCTAAGACAATATTCCGTCTTACCTTCTACATCAAGAAGTTAAGACATTTTGGTATAACCCAACCCTTACTCCTACAATTCGTTAACTCCCGTATTCTACCTATTATTCTCTATTGTTCTCCCTTAGTTTTTCCTGGGCTGGCTACTGAAGAAAGACTATACCTTATTACGCAGGATGTTAAAGGTTGTCAGCAGGGTAAGCCACAGGGTGCCACTTAGCCAGCTTGTTAATATTCTGGTTGATAGGCACATGTACTCATGTGAAAAATGGGCTAAATCCATTTCATCTGACTCACAACACCCTCTTCATTCACAACTCTCCCCTTGTATCTTATCAGGCAAAACCAGAAGCCTATATAGAAAACTATATGCTCGCACTAGTAAGTACAAAAACTCAACCATACTCTACTTAGCTCGTGTTGTGTGCGATAAAGAACGCATTAGGTGTGTTACCTATAACTTATTAAATAGTTAGTAGGACAATTAGACCTCGTCTTCCCAACTCATATCATTTATAGGTACAACGTTTTCTTTCTTTCTCTTCCTTTTCTCTCTCACTTTTTTTCTCTGTTATGTGCTGCTTTGTTTCTTCCTTCCGCTTACGCCAGTAAATATGCAAGCATCTACTTTTCTAACACCTTCACACAGTCTGTTCAATTTTGGCTTTGCTGCCGGCATGCTAATAAGTTGTTTTCATAATGAACTGAGATTTCCTTAATCTATGTAGAATTTTCTTTATTGATAATGTAGTAACTGGATGCAATACTGTAATAAAATGCTGAGAATTCCATTCTGTATTCGCAAATACTGTTTTGGAATAAAGCTTATTATTATTATTATTCCGTAATGATCATGATGATTTGTGCATCACTTTAAATAGTGACAAATTTTAAATAGTTTGTTCGTATGTTAAGTCTGCTCTTACCAAGATAGAGATAAAGCTTTGGCATATTTATATATACTATTGATATACTGATTTGAGTAGTTTAAGTATTCTTTCGTTAAATAATAGGGCTTGCTAGACACAGAAATTATATGAACAGCGGATGGCCGTTTTGCTTGTTCAGTGGCAAGATCAGGTAACCGAATTTCTCCAAATCACCCAAATGATAGATAACTTCTTGAACTAAAACAATCCAGATGAAAACCTAATAAACAGTAAAAGTGTTAATAAATCAATCAAGTTGTGACGAAATTTACTAATTGCTGTTGTAACATTAGAAACAAAATATACTACGAAGAGACTATTTAAAGCGAATATGTTATTAAAGTTTACATCCGTATATATATATATATATATATATATATATATATATATATATATATGCAGGATATTTTTAAAACCGACTTCTGTGCAGCAATTTAATTAGTGCCAATTATCAGATTTGAACATCGATCGATAACAAGTTAGGACATGTAACATAAAGTCATTCGTGAAGTGTATCTATCCTAGAAAGGTGTATGAAATTAACACGACTACTAGGCAAATGAAACACTCCGCAACTTAGTGAGACAAGTTAAATAACTAATGAACTCCTAAAAGGGATAAATGGAATAAAACTAATGACTAAAGAAGGGTGTTCAGATTAACTTAATAAGGCCAAAGAAATAGTTTTAAACAATCCTCTATTGTTTTATGGCTAAAACAAGGATAGGGCTTGTACACACTTCTTTTGTGCACAAAGGTCTGGCTTCAATTCTTCAATTGTCAAGCACTTGGGGACGGAAAATATGCATCGGATCTGGATGTGAATTCCGCAAACAATTTCAAAGTCGTTTTCAGTTGTAGTTGAACAGAGGAAGTTAACCTAACTATCAACGGAATAAATTTGAAAGAGGTCACTTCCTTCACTTATTTAAGCATCGTCGTTTCAAATACAGACACAGAATCGGAAAGGCAAAATACTCCTTCATCACTCTGAAGTCAGTTTGGGAATTTTCTGCACTCAGACTAAAGAACAAGATTCGGCTTATCAACATCACTGGTAGGTCAGTCAGTTCTTCTTTATGGATCAGAAATTTGAGGCGTTACGTAAAGCGTTTCCAGTGGGTGTTGCGGACTTACATCAATAACTGCTTTTGCTGTCTCCATAATGAACATCAACTAGCCGGCCAGAAAAAATTACGAACAAGCAACTGTGAGAGCGAACCAATCATGAACCTACTGCTGAAGAAAATGGAAATGGACACTTGCTGAGGAGACCGTCTGGTGGAATCGCGCAACGTGCAGACCGTTGGTTGTACAAGGATGACATGGAGGAGATGAGAACTTATGAGCAATTGTAGATCCAGTTGAAGAGGACCACAAGGAACAGGACAAAGTAGGGATGTGCTGCTGAATCTCTGTGTTTCACTAGTAACCAAAGGGGATGATTTTAATGATTGAAAAAGTTCACTAAATGTTTTAGAATCGGACCTCTTTTCTATCTTGTAAAAGATGTTAAACATATACTCTTGTACATGTGCAGAAATCGTAGTTTGGCTACAACTGGTGTTTAAATGCTAATATCAAAATTTAAAGTAATCCGAATATCCAGTAAACTTGTCATGATTTTTACTTGGCTGAGGATGACAACTTGTTTACAACTTCTAAAACAAGTTAGCTGACCTCAAGACAGAAGTAATTTGCGAAATATACCCGAATTTTACTGTTGATGTGGTCGTTTGTTATATTTTCTACAGTTTCTAATTGTTCAAAAAATTAGTTCAGGCGATTAAACGTCTTAATAGCAGTAGAATCCAAGACTCGCGTTTCGTCCTTTTGTTTGGGATCTGTCAGTCAGATGACCTTCAGTGAATCATGCTATTCCCAGTGAGCGTCTAATGCACCACTCACTTCTTCAAAGGCTAAAGCATTGCCTGGTAAGCTGGTGAGTTACGAGAACACTACTATTATATTTGACCAATTTGCATTTTTTATACCATTATCATTTTGAGATATGATCAGCCGTATTTTCGTCTTTTTTTATTATTCTATTAGGACAGGGATAATTTTATTAAGACTATTTCTCCCCTAATTGGCCATCACCATTACCATCACAGCCTTTATCAGTCAGTGAATATTTATGAACCAGAAGACAATAAGCCGGACTCTCCGAATCAACATCATTATTTTCGTGCTTCCCTATTTTATCATCAAAGACAATATAGATTGAAGGGTATTCAACAAGCTTGGATCAATGGTGAATTATCTAATTTTGCCTACTTAATGGAACTGAACAGTGCTGCCGGTCGAAGTTACAATGATTTAATGCAATATCCAATTTTTCCTTGGATAATACGTGTATGTGTACTATTATTATTGTTATTATTATTATTATTACCACGTTGAACAGCGTTAGAGAAGAATCATGTTGTCACTGAAACTACTGATTGATATAAGTAGTAAGAAATTATTTGCATAAAATTGTGTCGGGAATCTTTTTTTCAGATACTGAGGTTCTAGGGGTTCAATTAATTTTAACAACCTAAGTCCTAGTTTGGAACTCTTCGGTAGAGCATACTGAATAGTAAACGTGCTCCCCTCTTAAATTAAGATGAAAGAGTTGACCAGCTGATGCTTTGGTTTTGCAGTGGTCACCTAACTGACGTCGGTTTATTATGAAGCCTACTTACTTATACTTGGTTTTAGTATTAAGACGACGGTTTTTGCAAGTAAAAGTGAATTTAAAATCTAGTAATTCTCTAATCCCAAAATTTACACTTCACAGGTATAAAAGTTGCATATTTAAGAATCTCCACAAGATTCAAGTTAATGATTCTAGGTTTCCATCCGATAAAATTATCTAAGCACTAATGATTCATATTGCTAGTTAGAAATCATTGGCCCCAACGTGTAGTACTTACTCTCTAAGCCATGGTGATATAAACGCATGCATACTAGATAAATTTATTTAGTCATATATTACTGATATAATTATGAGTAGCAATGAATTGTACTCAAAACTTTATTCAGTTAGTGATACTGTATCATTGTGTGCTATATCAAATAAGCTTATCTAATGCCCAAATTCTTCTCTTACATTCATATTTTGCTTGTTTGAGTCACGGCTGTCATCAGTGTAACCGGATCAATCAATCGTATAGGCTGCTCACTTTTTGTAAGCTGCCATCAATGCTATCAAAGTGGTTCACGGTTTGTGATCTGAATGTTTCACACTTCCAAGGGAAATTTTGATGAAACTTCGCATTGCTGCAATGGGTCTACTTTCCACTCTAAGCTTACATCTTATGAAGTCGACACCTGTTTGTAAACTAGTGAGACTAGTTTACTAATATAAAAGTAGAATTCACACACCGTAATAAAATATGATTCCTTATTAGATAAGCTTGTTCACAACGATGAAGTCTGAAACTGAACTAGACAATAGAAAATGTACAGAAGCTGGGTCAAGCTGTGTAGGTTAAAGGACCCTATCGGTTGACCCAATTAGATAAATAATATAATTAACAAAATACCCTACAATGACTGTGAGTCAGGTCAACTACATAGGTCAAACTAGTAGGTCAGAGGTAGTCGGATTGTCGGAACATAAGAATTTAGTCGCTAAGGTAAGAATGTTTGACCCGAGAAGATGAGTAATTTAGAAAAAAGCTCAGCACTATATTGTACTGCATGCATGCATTAACACACAACCACACAATTGGGTGAGAGAGGGTTACAATTATAAAAAGTAATCTAGGTAGATAGATGGAGAGCGAGAGAGGTTGATTACTGAATCCTTGTTCATCGAATCTACACCCAACACAACACATGCAATAGGAATGAGTCATCATCATCACTCATACCGGAAATATGGAAAATATTACTACCAATCAACTGAAGTGAAAAATAATGTAACTATATAAATGAAGTTAGGATGTCGTGTGATTATCTTGATATGATTATGAGCTGTAATAAATTGTGCTCGAAACGTCATCAGTAAACATTACTATATAACACTGTGAGACCTGATCAAAATAAATTTTACTCATAATGGAATTAAACTCTACCACAGTGCACAAGTTTTATTCTTATATCAATGCAACTAAAGTAAGATTGAGTTAGATGACGTATTATAATTGACTAAAATGTTTCAACTTAGGTCAGAACAACAACAGAGGTAATTACATGTAGAGACTAATTAGAAATGGGGTAGAGAATAATGCTATTTAAATTAGAATTGAAATTGAACAAATAGGTTGGATGACTTAACATAAATGACTAGAAATTGAGGTTTGGTCAAGTCAATAACAGTGGTAGTGAGGTGCAGAAATTAAATCGGGTGGGGGTAGAGAATAAGAAGGTTGAGAATGTAAAATATTACAATTGAGAAGACAAAATAATACTAATGAAGAGACAGAAAAAAAGGGATTAGACAGAATTTACTTGTCGGGTGATAAGATAGATTACATCCATTGCAAGTGTAGTGACTAAACCAACTTCTCCTATATGCAGAGTTCATGGCATAGTAAGTGAATCGCCATCGCTTCTGCAGTTTGAAGAAGTCTAATTCGTCTAATTCGTAAGGTGTCCGTTCCATGTGGAAATATGTTGATAAGGTCCTTCTTTCCAGTCGAAACGAAATCGGTAAGTAATAATAATTAACCATAACTCAATGTCACTTAGTATTAATAACTGGATAATATCTTAAGCAGCATTTGTCGCCTATAATGATATCGATTTATTGAGATGACTTCTAAACTTGCTCTGTATAATTCTAGTACTCATTTCACCAGTGAATCGGCTAAACTGTAAGCCCCCGTAAATTTTCCAGATCACTTAAGATATCTCTAGTGTGACAAAGTGCTGGTCGACGTTCAAGACGAGGATTTGTTAGTTCAGTCACCTTATAGATATTAACCTGTCTGTCATTTATTCAACTCTACATATCGCAGTCCTCTAGAAGCCATTTACCATTTCTATACTTTTCATATGTATCAAACCAAAAATTTATTCTAACAGAGGTTTTCTCCTCTTCCTCTCTCTCTCTCTCTCCCTCTGCCTTCCTACACTTTATTTTAGGACTATGAAAGTACGGTTTTAGATTTAACTCAACCAACTACATTTCGACTATTAAACCGTCCAATAGCTATCCAAGATGATGAAAGAGCTAAAGCTGTAGCTGCACGTTTCAATGAAACTGAACTAGAATTGAAGTATTCACCGACAGGACATACTGAAACAATTTCATCGAAATCTAAACCATCTGATCTATTGCCGCCGTATCACTATCCAGCACACTGTTCAAATGAAGCAATAGTACTCCACTATCTTATTCGTTTACCACCCTATACATTTCGTCATTTACGTTTTCAAGGTAAGCGGTAATTGATATCTGTTTTCCTTGTCGTCAATACACTCTTCACTAGGATTTTATGAAATCTTGTGAAATTTTATAATTATTGATAAAAAAAAGGTATGATGATTATCATAACATTCAGTAGTATAAGAGCTATGAACAGAATATTCAATGTTATTCACATGGAAAAACAACCGACTGAAACACTTTCTCTGCCTATTATTATGGCTAATTACGATAGACAGTTACAGTTTTTAGACGGTTTAATACTGCATGTTACGTGATGAACTTCATTTTTTTATGTGAGATTGTACAATAAACTGCTGTATCATTATAGTCCTTGTGAAGTGTGAAATATATATTAAGAATCTGTCTAAAATCAGCTTTAATTATTTTGAATTTGCCTTCATTATACGTACTGTGTATCGGTGTAGAAATGGCACATACCATTCTTTCAACATAGTGCACTGAATGCATTGACTAATTCCTTGTGACCAGATTAAATATTCTGAGGTTTACTCTGACAACTGTTATATTATTTATTATTATTGTTCCTTTAGGTTCTGATTAATGCATCGGTGGCACAGCGGTTAGGACGCTCGCCGCCCATGCACATGGTCTAGGTTTCGATCCCTGGCCGACGCACTGCTTTACCTCGCTAAGCCAGAAATAATGCTGGTAAAGAGGAAAGGTTGGGCATAAGGCTAGCAACCCCATCCTGTAAAATTAAACACTGCAAAGGAAACTTCAAGTCACTAGCTTGAGGCCCTATTTTCCACTGGGAATGTAAAGAAAAGAAAAAAGGTTCTGACTGGAATATAGGGCTTCAACAGCACGTTTCATTTTTTCCTAGTCTCTGTGGTCCCCTTTAACTGGTCCCACGGTTGCTCTTACTCTCTCACCTCTTCTTCGCATAATACCCTCCATGTCACTGCCAGACACACGCCCAACTCGTCGTTTCCTATTCCACTGCCACTAGAGCGACGGCCTGGCTCGCCATGTCACCCAGCAGTTTTTTCAGCGTGTGTGTCCAACCCATCTCCATTTCCTCGGAGTACTTGTTGAGCTGTAGGTTCTTGATTGGTTGCCAATCAAGAATTGCCAATTCTTTCTGACCAGCTGGCCATCTTATCTTCCGTATACTAGCTAGAGAAAGCAGCTAAAAGTCTGCAGTAGCATGTTTTCATGATACACTGGTCAAGTGTCTACTCCTATAGAATAACTGACTGACTTAACATTATTGTTCAGATTCTGAATCTTATTATTTATGCTGTGGAGTGCAGAAGATTTCCAGAGGAATTAAAGTCTGTCTTACCTATCTGATTCTGATTCCCACATTCTGATCCGTGGGGCACGCCTGTAGTTGAAAGAAAGCTTCTAGGATAAGTAAAGAAATTACCTCTTTCTAATTTTTCCCATTCTACAGTGATTGGTGCCTGTTGTTGTTGGCTGGTTATCTTCATCATCTCCGTCTTTTCTACGTTCAGATGAAGTCACCTGTCTTTGATGTTTCTTCTGTCCACTTGTTGGTTTACGCCTGTAATTCGTCGAGTTTATGTAACATTAAACGTATATCATCTGCGAAATCCAGATCCTTTAGAGTTTTGTTATCAGTCCATCGTATTCTTGTCGACTGGCTTCCCACAGTCTGACGTATAATCTAGTCCACCAAAATTAGGATTATCATAGTAATAGTGATAGTGTAACAACAGAAGGCAAGACACGGAAGCCAAGGTATATTTTCCATTGGTCGCACTGCTGTTTGTATATCTACAGTTTATATTCGTTAACCAATCACTGAGCCTGTGATTTCGGTTTGCCTGAAACTACATCAAATAGAACGTTTAAATAGATATATTTTATTCTGTTGCTAATGCTGAATTGAACTGCGGGAATATGTGAGAATAATATTCAGTTGGCACAACCCATTGTCTTTATCACACCACCATCACAATAGTAGTCAGCCTTGTCTTACTCTTGTCTTCACTTCGAAATCGTTCTTGAGTTCTCCATTGTGGATCACATTAAACGTGATATTGTCATGTAGCCAATTTAACAATTATAGCGGTATTTAGATAATTAGACCAACTTTCAGGGGTCTTTGAGATGCTTAAAACCATTGACTGGAAATTTGAGGTGACATAGGTCAGAGTCATCCACAACTGCATATATATGTATTTATCCATTGTCATCGTCCAGATTGTAAGACCTCTTCATTAACCTTGATATAATTATACTCTCCATTTCCCTCTGAGTGTATATTGGGCGACAGGTTGTTGGTTCTTTCGTTACCAGAGTTCCTTGTTGCTTATTCTCTCTGGACTTCTAATCTTCAATGTGAATCCAGCGAAGTCAATTGTTCATGAACGTCTGTAGCAGGTTGTTGGAAATCCTTTTGGGGACATGCAGTAAGTCTCCGAACCCCCATAGGATCACTGAATTGACATTAATGCAGAAAATTCGAATCCTTTTCCATATCCTAGATTCAGTACATTTTCAGGCGAAAAATACAGGAAACTCTTCAGATTAAAGGTTTATCAGCTCATTCATTTAACCCTGAATTGTTTTGTCTTATGCATATTTGTTGATAAGTTCTACACCAGAAGCAACTAGTATGCAACAGACTACTCGACAAATAGTATTTTCATGAAGTGGTTTCTGTAAACCACTAGTTTACGACATAGTATATTGTTCTTATTATATTCCCCATATTATTTATTATGTATTCTTGTTATTACAATTACAGATAATAATTTTGATGTACCAGACCGATTGTTTCATTCTGTTGCAACAACATGGCGTTTAGTTACAACATCTGTTTCATGCGTTAAAGAACTAGTTCCAGAATTTTATTTTCAACCAGAAGTATTTATCAATCGTAGTGGATTGAAATTGGGCTATAGACAACCGGGTGATAGTGTTGACTGCGTTGAATTACCGCCGTAAGTTTACATTGTCATTCAGTGAAGTATTAATGTGTTCAAGTATTGGTTTTCAGGGATTGGGTTGATTGGTTACAGGATTTCATCATGAACTGACATTAGTTATAGAACCATTGGAAAACCTGAGAGTACTGGACAGCTGTTTCGTCCTAGTTTGGGACTCTTCATCAGTACGCATCCACCGAGGTTTGATGTTCAATACTCGCCAAAGACATTGGCTAGCGGTTGCGCTATATCGTGAATTGGCAGAAGTTGGAATTCTTGGGCCATTGGATCAGGTCGCAGTGGCTTAATGCTTTACGAGTTAGCTCACCTTGTAACCATCAGTTCCTGAGTTCGAACGATGGATGTGGTGCGTACTGCTGAAGAGTCCCAAACTAGGACGAAACTGATGTCCAGTACTCCCAGGTTTTCCAAGGGTTCTCTAACCAATGTCAGTTCATAATGAAATCCTGTAACCAATTAATGTGTTCGTTAGCTATTATATGTATAGAATATTGTTTTCTTATAATACTTTAAAACTTGTCAGCTGGTTGAACATGCTTAAGGAATTTCGAATTCAGAATTCAGTAGTGTTTCATATTATTTTTTTAAACTGCTGATTTAACAAGCGGAATGGGTAAAAATGTCAAAACCAGAATCAGAAAGGCAAGATACACCTTCATCATTCTAAAATTCGTTTGGAAATCTTCTGCACTCCACCTCAGTATAACAACAACAACAAGATTCGGATTTCCAACACAAAGGTGAAGTCACTCAAGCAGTCAGTTCTTCTATACAGGTCAGAAACTTTTTTCATGCGTCACGAAGAGCATTTCCAACAGACTACTACAGACTTTTATTATTGACAACTGGCTTTTCCAGCTGTATACGGAAATTGAGATGGCCAGCTGGTCAGAAAGAATTGGCAATAAGAAACTGTGGGAACGAACCAATCAAGAACCTACCGGTAAACAAATATTCCGAGGAAATGGAGATGGGTTGAACACACACGCTGAAGAAAGTGCTGGGTGACATGGCGAGCCAGGCCGTCGCTCTAGTGGCAGTGGAATAGGAAGCTATGAGTTGGGTGTTAGTTCGACGGTGGCATGGAGGAGCGATCGTGTGAGGAGATAAAAGCTTATGAGCAATCATTGAGCCATCTGAAGAGGATTGTTGAGAATAGGACAAGATGGAGACGTGCCGTCGAAGCTTACTGCTTCACTTAGAATCCAAGCAAATAATAAAATCGATTAGACTTATCCTAAGTTGAAAGGAAACCAGGAGTTAAAACATCCTAATAATAATAATATAATTAGGAACCAGTTTTTCTGTAGATACTCTATAAGTTATTCTCAGTGTAGAACTTGTTACGAACGGACACCAGTTAGAGAATCATTGGTAAGCAAGGACCACTAGAAATCTGTATTACACTAGTTTGGGAGTCTCCAACAGCGCCCATCTATGACTCCACTAGGTTTTAAGGCAAGTGTTTTCACGTTGTAATCCAATAACCCCAGGTCATTAGATACTACTGTATAGATATCCTGAGGTTTTAATGACAGGTGGTGGCCTGTGGAGTTCAGAGTATCACGATGATTCGGATGCTCATAGTTAGCATTGGTTGGTGGTGGTGGCGTTATATCGCGAATTCACAGAAGTCAGAACTCACGTGTCATTGAATACCCACCCACTGGTTGAACTTTCAATGAGTTAATCTCGTAGGTCCAGAAGGTCCTGCTTTCTAACCATAGTTGGGAATGTGAATGGTGAACAGTGCTGAAGTAGTGTAAAACTGTTATGGGTAAATTTTCGTTTTGTTAAAGTCTCACAGTGTTATACAGTAATGTTTACTGATGACGTTTCGAGCACAATTTATTACAGCTCATAATCATATCAAGATAATCACACGACTTCCTAACTTCATTTATATAGTTCCATTATTTTTCACTTCAGTTGATTGGTAGTAATATTTTCCATATTTCCGGTATGAGTGATGATGATGACTCATTCCTATTGCATGTGTTGTGTTGGGTGTAGATTTGATGAACAAGGATTCAGTAATCAACCTCTCTCGCTCTCCATCTATCTACCTAGATTACTTTTTATAATTTTAACCCTCTCTCACCCAATTGTGTGGTTGTGTGTTAATGCATGCATGCATGCATGCAGTACAATGTAGTGCTGACCTTTTTTCTAAATTACTCATCTTCTCGGGGTCAAACATTCTTACCTTAGCGACTAAATTCTTCTGTTCCGACAATCCGACTACCTCTGACCTACTAGTTTGACTTATGTAGTTGACCTGACTCACAGTCATTTCAGGGTATCTTGTAAATTATATTATTTTGTCTAATTGGGTCGACTGGGTCAAGCTGTGTAGGTTAAAGGACCCTATCGGTTGACCCAATTAGACAAAATAATATAATTTACAAAATACCCTGAAATGACTGTGAGTCAGGTCAACTACATAAGTCAAACTAGTAGGTCAGAGGTAGTCGGATTGTCGGAACAGAAGAATTTAGTCGCTAAGGTAAGAATGTTTGACCCCGAGAAGATGAGTAATTAAGAAAAAAGGTCAGCACTACATTGTACTGCATGCATGCATGCATGCATTAACACACAACCACACAATTGGGTGAGAGAGGGTTAAAATTATAAAAAGAAATCTAGGTAGATAGATGGAGAGCGAGAGAGGTTGATTACTGAATCCTTGTTCATCAAATCTACACCCGACACAACACATGCAATTGGATTGAAAACATTTATTTCCCGATACGAATTTTAAACAAGCAGTAAAGGTTAATAAAGCAGGATTTAATGAATTCATCAAATTTCGGTAGAACTCGTCAGCTGAATACTCTAAATACACGGATATATATACTTTTGAAATTACATTGGGAGATATAAGACTGATAAGTATACAAATTGCATTGAATTAATCATGCAGAAATACACGTGCGAATGTTTTCCAGGTCATGTTCAAATAGATAAGGGGAGCGAGAGTATGAGAGATCAAAATTAAGATAAATTGCATTACGCTTCAATTACATCACGTAGATAAACAATCAGTCATTAGGGAATATAACGAGAATTGCAAACAGACTAATATCAATAGTAATAGTTATAGTAATAATAGTGTTGAAGTGAGTCAAGATAGTCCTACTGATAAAGCATAGTTTTAGATGAATCAATAATAATAATAATAATAATAATAATAATGCAATAGGAATGAATCATCACTCATACCTAAAATATGGAAAATATGACTACCAATCAACTGAAGTGAAAAATAATGGAACTATATAAATGAAGTTAGGAAGTCGTGTGATTATCTTGATATGATTATGAGCTGTAATAAATTGTGCTCGAAACGTCATCAGTAAACATTACTGTATAACACTGTGAGACTTTAACAAAACAAAATTTACCCATAATGGAATTAAACTCTACCACAGTGCACATGTTTTATTCTTATATCAATAGTATAAAACTGCTTTTAAGTACTCCATAGGTTTCAATGTTTATGTCGGTTTGTGACGAAATCTACACTAAAATTCATGGTAATTCCCACAAAACCTATAGTCTTAACATATAATTTAACTGACTGATTACTGAACAAGAATATTGAATCAGGTTATTTAGTAATACATTTGTAATTATGATATAATTCTAATTTTTCTTATTGGTTATCGTATGCTGGATTTTAATTCTATAACATGAAAAAGGATTTATCGAAAACAATTGTTCTTTCTAATTATTACTATTATTATTATTCTGAATAAATTATGAAGATATTCGAATCTCCGTGATAGTTAAAGCAGTATTTTTCGTATTTTTTCAATAATTTAATGATTCCCATTGTAGCATTAAGAACACAACATTCAGCGAAGAGACTCTTTTCAACGAATTTATTATCAAGTTGTACAATCGTGTATATATATATATATATATATATATATATATATATATTCGGCGTTTAAGACACTATATCCGGTGAGGGAATTGAGTCAAAGGTGTGAAGACATGAAATAAATAAATAAACATGAATTCAATGTTGTAAAAATAAAAAACAAAAGATTAATAATTTTGGGTTAAAAATGACAAGTGAGTCGGGTGGAAAAGATTCAGAGTGAGAATAGTAATAATAATAATCATAGTACTAAGGGAAAAGCATATACCATAACTAAATAAACAAAATAAATAAATGTCTGTCCCTCTACGGCCAAGGCAGAAGTAGGGATTGTACATACTTCTTTTGTATACAAAGGTCTGGCTTAAATTCATGAATTACCAAGGCCTGAGCTGTCTTTAGAAGTCTGTAACGAAGAAAACGCGAGAAGTGAGCAAGGATTCTATTTATAATCTTGAAATAATGGTCAGGGGTGACAGATATATTCAAAAGTTGTCTCTCTAAATCAGTCAGTAAGACGTACCTTGCTCCATAACAGCAGTTGAACTGGTACATGCACATGGAGGCGGCCAGACGGGGGAGCTTATCTTTTACAGGGGTAGTGAACAACTTGCGGCTAGTGAACGTCTTATGTAATTTTGCTGCAAAGAGGTTCACTACCCCTGTAAAAGATAAGCTCCCCCGTCTGGCCGCCTCCATGTGCATGTACCAGTTCAACTGCTGTTATGGAGCAAGGTACGTCTTACTGACTGATTTAGAGAGACAACTTTTGAATATATCTGTCACCCCTGACCATTATTTCAAGATTATAAATAGAATCCTTGCTCACTTCTCGCGTTTTCTTCGTTACAGACTTCTAAAGACAGCTCAGGCCTTGGTAATTCATGAATTTAAGCCAGACCTTTGTATACAAAAGAAGTATGTACAATCCCTACTTCTGCCTTGGCCGTAGAGGGACAGACATTTATTTATTTTGTTTATTTAGTTATGGTATATGCTTTTCCCTTAGTACTATGATTATTATTATTACTATTCTCACTCTGAATCTTTTCCACCCGACTCACTTGTCATTTTTAACCCAAAATTATTAATCTTTTGTTTTTTATTTTTACAACATTGAATTCATGTTTATTTATTTATTTCATGTCTTCACACCTTTGACTCAATTCCCTCACCGGATATAGTGTCTTAAACGCCGAATATATATATATATATATATATATATATATATACACGATTGTACAACTTGATAATAAATTCGTTGAAAAGAGTCTCTTCGCTGAATGTTGTGTTCTTAATGCTACAATGGGAATCATTAAATTATTGAAAAAATACGAAAAATACTGCTTTAACTATCACGGAGATTCGAATATCTTCATAATTTATTCAGAATAATAATAATAGTAATAATTAGAAAGAACAATTGTTTTCGATAAATCCTTTTTCATGTTATAGAATTAAAATCCAGCATACGATAACCAATAAGAAAAATTAGAATTATATCATAATTACAAATGTATTACTAAATAACCTGATTCAATATTCTTGTTCAGTAATCAGTCAGTTAAATTATATGTTAAGACTATAGGTTTTGTGGGAATTACCATGAATTTTAGTGTAGATTTCGTCACAAACCGACATAAACATTGAAACCTATGGAGTACTTAAAAGCAGTTTTATACTATTGATATAAGAATAAAACATGTGCACTGTGGTAGAGTTTAATTCCATTATGGGTAAATTTTGTTTTGTTAAAGTCTCACAGTGTTATACAGTAATGTTTACTGATGACGTTTCGAGCACAATTTATTACAGCTCATAATCATATCAAGATAATCACACGACTTCCTAACTTCATTTATATAGTTCCATTATTTTTCACTTCAGTTGATTGGTAGTCATATTTTCCATATTTTAGGTATGAGTGATGATTCATTCCTATTGCATCATTATTATGATTTTGTTTATTTAGTTATTCTACATACTTTTCCCTTATTACGACGATTATTATTATTATTACTATTCTCACTTTGAATCTTTTCCACCTGACTCATTTGTCATTTTTAACCCAAAATTATTAATCTTTTGTTTTTTATTTTTACAACATGGAATTCTTTGTTATCAAATTTCTCACCGTGTTATGTAACATTTTATATTCGTCTACTAATCTTATAGTTATGTACCCCTTTCCATAAGCTGTACACCTTATGTATTATTGTATATACGACATTAATTATTTTGCCACTTGACATTCAACGATGATTATAATCACAAATTTTATAATTGCATTTCATACTTCTATTATTATTTCATGTATTCACACCTATGATTCAGTCAAATCCCGAGAGTTTTATGCGAATAGATTCTTAATAGAATACTGTTCAAAACATGCTTGCATGTGATGACATGAATCAATGTAACACTAGTGTACCAGTTTTCGAAAGTTAATGGTCATCAATAACAGTGACTAATGTTCATATTGAATTCTATTCACACTTTCTATAGTTTTGGTTTGTAAGGATTAGTTATGTTTTACGAGTTGATCACGGATTGATATCAGTTAGAGAACCATTGAAAACCAGGGAGTACTGGACAGCTGCTGTTTCATCCTAGTTTGGGAATCACACTGGTTGTAAACTTCTTATGGATGAACGATAATATGAAAAACAGGAAGAGAAATGGGTTAGAATGTCATGTGAGTGTGTGTGTGTGTGTGTGACAGAATGTAACTTAATAGTTTTAAATAATAATAATACTATGGATCGTGGAATTTATGCATTAAATCACAGGACCAATTAAGAAGACTATTACAGAGAAGAAAATTTTCTTTTCGATAGAGTCATCAATTAGGCTGCACATTCGTGTATACACATAGGTAATGGGTGAGAAAGTTTTAGAACTGTTTCCTGTCGGGAGTTGAATTAGCAAAATTACAAATAGGGATTAATAATAACAAAATAAGTAGGAATCTCTGATAAAAAAAAGTAGTAGGATTACAGTTACTGGGATAATAGACTTTTTGTGCAATTAGGGACTAAAAATGCAGTTGTAACAAAATAGACAGGAAGTTTGGATAAAAAAAAGTATAGTAGTTCAAATAGGGATTATATTATTATTATTAATATTATTGTTCCCTTGGGTTCGTAAAGGACCACAGGGCTTCAACTGCACGTCTCCACTTGCCACTTCTGTCTTCTTTCTGCTGTACTTTTCACCTGGATCCATGTTAGTCCATAGTCTTTCAACTCCTCTTCACACGATCTCCCCTATGTCCTCCTTGCACTGATGACCAACTCACCGCTTCCCTTTCGGCCGGGTTCCACTCGAGCAATGGCTTGATGCGCGCGCGATTTCACTCAGCGGCCTCCTCAGCGAGCGAGTGTCCAATCCATCTCCATCCACTTTCTCCTGCATATTTGTTGGGCGATTGGTTCTTGTTTTGTTTGTTAGTGCCCATAGTTTCTTGTGGGTGATTCTATCCGGCCCGACCCGGCCATCTGATCTTCAGCATAGAGCCAGCGAAGACAGTTAGTTGTTGATAAAGGTCTGCAACAGGCTGTTGGAAATATTCTTTGTGACGCACCCGCCTAGTTTCTGATCAGTATAGAAGAACTGACTGACTTGACGTATGTATTGAAAATCCAACTGAATTTTGTTGTTGATTCTGTCTGAGTTACGAAGATTTCCAGATTGATTTCAGGCTGATGAATGTGTTTCTCGCTCACCTTCCCGATTCTCGCTCGATTTGACATCCTCGTCCGTTCTGACTGCCTGTAGTTGAGACGATTCTCCCTAGATAAGTAAGTGAACGAAGTAACCTGTTTCAAATCCCTCCCGTTGATGGTGATTGACGCTGGATGTTGCTGCTGCTGCTGTTGTTGTTGTTGGTTGGTTATTTTCATCACCTCCGTCTTGTCTATGTTCACTTGGAGTCCCGTCTTCTCTGGCTGCTTCTTCGACCAGTTTGTGGGTTTTCGCTTGTAAGTCTTCGATTTTGTGTGACATCAAACATAAATCATCCACGCGCGAAATCCAGGATATCCTTGTCTTCTCGTTTCCCACTGTCTGACGCAAAATCCAGTCCACCACAATTAGGAATATCATTGGTGATAATCAGCAAGCGCCCTTGTCTGACTTCTGTGTTTACTCCAAACGCCTCACTGTGTTAACAGAGGTAAACAGAAAGTTTAGATAAGAAAGGTGACAGGATAATCACTTTTGAGAGAATTGACTTTTTATGATGGCCATGGTAGAGACAACAACAGTTGGATATATTTCTTTAGAAATTGAACTTTTGGATCGCAAGCGGCTCAAATATACGCAAATGTCCTGATCTCACTCTCTTTGAAAGGTTTGATCGGATCGTGTATATGACTCCAAGGGACTTTTGAATGGAGCTGTATGTCTTGAGTTTACCAGGTGTTCTGTTACTGAACTATGTACACACTTACGTTCTCACTTTGTTAAGCAGACTAGATAGTGTTCTCGAGAGCTTTTTACAAGCGTAGGCATGGTGCGGCCAATATACTCAGTTCCTCAAAAGCAAATAAACTGCTGAAGTGGCCCATTGTGAAAGCCTGTCTTTCACATACTGACCGAATAGTTTCTTTCAAGAAAAGGTCACTCGTGGGTTAGCCGCAAATGATGTTATACTGAGAAATTTACAAGGTAGTTTGCAGAAGATTTCTGCTTCAGTATCGCCTTTTTAAATCTTGAAGTTCTTCTGGGAAGATTTTGCATTTCTTCCTCAACAGATTCCTTGTTAGGTGCTTTTCAGATGCTCGTTGAAAGAAAATAGATGAAATTTCTCTTGTTTTGCCTAGTGGAAAAAAACTTTGAAAGTTGATAAATTTCTCCTTTCATGTGGGCATTTTGTAGATGAATTTCCTCAGCGTATTATCAACGTTTCTTTGCAGTTGAAGGCAAAGGAAATGGAAGACTGAGTCAGATTTAACTTATAGAGTGGTGTCGATGTCTGGGTGGAAATTCATATAGATGATACGTTGTTCCTTTTTGGATATGGCTTATTGCTGCTCGTAATAATGGCTAAATTCAATAAAGTTGATCCTGCTTCAAATTCACATGTGAAGAAGAATCTCATAGAAGAATTGTCTTCTTAGATGGCCCTGTCACGTTTTAAACCAGTTGATAGCACAAAAAGGAAATTCGCGAAAGAAAAATTCATGGACAGCAGAATGTATACATTTCCATAGCTTTGTCCCTTTCCAGTACAAAGGATGTGTAGTAAGCATCCTCAGATACAGGGTCACAGTGACATACCATGCTCAGAAGATGGAATTGAAGGTGAATGTGTTAGACGCCTTAATTGAAAATGGTTATCCAGAAAATTTCGTCATGAAACATATACTGGTAAACTACTGTAGATCATATTTTCCACACGACCTGTTGGGATTCCTCAACTGAAAGACCGAGTACTCAGGCTAGCTGTCTCTTCTTGTATTTATCATTTCAACTGCTTCTTTAGAAGAAGTTATTTCGGCCTTTGCTATAGGGACTTATTTGTCTATGCTCGGAAACTCTTATCAGTGTAATTAAATGAAGGTGCAATTAAAACCATTAACAGTGAGATATTAGACCACCTGGTCCAAACACGCCATGAAAGTAGCTTTCAAGAATCGTTTTCTATCATCTACAGTGTACCAAGCAAATTGCCAAAAGCCTCTAGATACTGAATACTCCAAACAGTTGGCGCTATTGTAATTCGTTTGAAACAGGCGGTGCTGTTAGTGCTAAAGAAACAGGATCAGGCATCCAACACTACTCTGATCTGCTGTGGAATCTATGGTCTCAAAAAATGTTTTTTTTTCACCTTTTATCTATGACTTTCCATCCTTTATGTATAAATTCCCACACTTCATATTATTGCACATGTATCCACAATCCATATATATAACAGTAGAATCTAATTTAGTGGTTATCGAAAGGAATATTCTTTGTCCATTAATCAGTCTTTAGAAATTTCTAATGGGCATCTTTAATCAATTATAAGTTAACTGCTTTTTGCATATAGTTCATCATTTCCTCTCTTCCTTTCACCATTATTATTATCATCAACATTGGCATCGTTTGTTTATCAGCTGGTGTAAAAATGATCCTCGACTCTTCACTTTAATCTGCCGTGCTGCATTAGAAAGTGACTACGTATCAATGAATTTATCTCACTGGATTGATTTACTATTTGGTTTCAAACAAACTGGTGAAAATGCTAAAAATGCACTGAATTTATATCATCCATATGTAAGTTAGATGGTATCCATTTTTCTTTAATTGAAGCGTGTAAATCGATTAATGCATAGTCGATTAGTATGATAAAAGTAGTATATCACACATTAAGACAAATTTGTTTCTAATATGCTTACTGAAACTCGAGCCTCTCAAAGTGATGTTATCTCTCCTCTACATTCTTCTTACATGGGTTTTGGCTTTTAAATGAAATCAATTTCATTACCTAGCTACCTACCTGAAGTCATGTGACAAACGCTTTAAATCCACATTGTCTGACTCTCGACACACTCTATATTCACAACTCTAACCCCCCTCACATATACACACACTTGAATCTCATCATGTGGGACTAGAATTCAATATAAAAGACTATATGCTCGTCTAACCAAGTACATAAACTCAACGATACCCTATTTGGCCCGCGTCCTATGTGATAGAGATAGTGTTAGGCGTAAAACCTCTAACTTGCCATGTAACTAGCCAAACAGACGGCTCTTTTAATTTCTCTTGTTTGTAATTTATTGTGGCACTATTTCATATATCTTATAATTTTAGTTGTTAACACTATTTTTAACATTTAACACTTTTTGTACATTTTTGACTTTGTTACTGCTAACGCCTAAAAGCTGCTATTATCAATTTTAATTTTCTATGCCCTGTAATTTATATTTTGTTGTTGTTGAGTAAATCAGATGGAATATTGTACGAAAGGCTGAGAATTACACGGTGTATCATAAGTACTGTTTTGGAATAAAAGAAATTATTATAATAATTAATCTATCTCTTGAGAAAGTATTAAATGCTTTCCTTTAAAAGCTGATATAAAAAGTAGATAAGAAATTGAAAAAGTGCTTTAACGATGTTTATGACATCTCAGCAACGTATGATCTAATGTTCAATGAACTTCAGACACATTGGAAGTAGTTCAACTGTATGCTTTCTATACAATCATGATCTTCAGTTGACAGACATCCGGATATCTTCAAGTGTTGGTTAGCATGGATTTAATTGGTTACATGTGTGATTATGAGCTGGTATCAGTCAGACACCTATTGGAAAACTAAGGAGTGATGGACAGCTGCTTTATTCCTAGTTCGCAAATCGTCGGCTGTACTCATCCACCAGGGTCCGAACCCAAGACATACTGGTTACAGGAAGAGCTCGTAGATGATTCAACCACTTAAACCAGATCCCATGACCCATTAATTCCAGCCTCTTACAATTCGTGAAATATACCACAACTACCACTCTATTTCATCGGTGAGTTACTGTTTCCCTACCTGACTTGGTGGATTCTGCTGGTCATAACTTCTCACTTCTGTGTCACGATAATATAGCTGCTGGTTGCACAACTATCGTGAATAGGCAGAATTTGAAATTACTGGGATACAGGATGGAGTGCTAGTGAATGAATGATCTACGAGTTCGCCCTGAGTTCGAGTTCTGGTGAACGGATACTGCTTTTTGAGCCCCAAAGTAAGCTGAAACAACTTTGTGGTACTCCCTCATTTCTGCATCGCTGTAGATAGTATTTGCTAGTCAGTTGTACTCATATCAAAGCAAGAACACTACTCAGCATGGCTGCAAAGGGAAGGCACCGATTCAATCAGAAGTGCCATAATTGAACATCTGATTAATATCTCCTACACCATCTCAACGGATTCATTCAAAGTCATTTACAAAGTAAACAGAAACCTATCAAAGGCAGTTTCTTTCCTACTTCTTTGTAATGCAGAAGCTCTCGCAATATGCATCGAAAAGCTGGAGCTGTGTTTTCGAAAGAAATTAGCCCATGCATTACAGCTACCATGGTCCTAGTTCGGTATGTTCCCTTAGCCTTCAGTCTTTTTGTTTTGTTAACTGTGTGTGTCTGTATTTTTCTCTCTTTATCTTCATTAAATTCATCCCATTTCTTCAGTTTTAAGAACAGTTATTTTAAGTTTGTTTCCATGCTTCTCCTGGTCACACTTGTAATTCGTTTAAAATAACTATTTTAAAGCTATATTCTAATCATGTGTGTTATTTTTGTTTCTAAGCGTTTTGTAATCTACATTCACACCTCTTAACTACCATTTCCAGTTGAAAATTTTTATTATTTCAGTTTGTTTTCATGCCCGTTTTGTTCACACCTGTAATAGGGTAAGTAATGCTGACGTTAGGCGTAGAGTGTTGGGTAAAGAGGGAAAATCAATCGACGAGGCTATAAAGTTACATAGACTGAGATGGCTAGGTGACGTGCTGCGCATGCCTAACCATCGCCTCCCCCGACGGGCATTACTAGCTGATATAGGTGTAGGTTGGAAAAGAGCCAGTGGTGGCCAAACAAAAACATGGCCTCATCAATCCATGAAATCCTTGACAGTTAAACTGAGTTGGTCAGGTAGGGAGATGCAGACTTCCGGGTTGGGGCCTTCGGGACTCTAGGAATCAATGGCTGGAGACAATAGGTGACATAGCTCAAAATCGTTGTCAATGGCGCAGATGTATTCAGTCTCTGTAATCTTTCATATTCCTTTCTACCATTACCTATTCTATTTCACTCTTATACTTGTGAAACTCTACTGGTTCTCTTCACTCATCTTCTTGTCTACTTTTGTGTGCTATTTGGAACGTGGCAACTGGAACTGCTGCACTTCGGTGCCAAGTTCTATGTTGAATCCAGACAGACAGACAGACACCTGTAATTCGTTTTAATCCCGTGTAATTTTTGTTCCTAAGGCTCTCGTAAACGATATCTAGTTGTCAATAATTTGTCACCTTTTATTTGCCATCGTAACTATGTGGAATTATATGATAAATGTATCTATGTACAGCTGCTTTTGAAAATGAAATCGCCGAAAAGACAGATATCTTCGCTGAACTTCGTGTTTTCTTTTTTCTAAGGCAATAACTGTTATGAATAGTGTGTCCGGCTCTCTTCTTACTGCTTTTTCTACTTTTTAACTGAAGAGACTAAACATATATATATATATTCACTTGTGGCACATCATAGTAAGCGTACATGATAAAAATTAATAAATTCATGAACATAAATCACATAATTTTCTGCTGATTCAAAAAATTTTATTAAATTACCTGAAGGAGGAAATGCATAAGTGCTGTTTGATTGCAGAAACTGCAAGAAAATTGCCTGAGTTCATCCGTGTTTGTAGATGAAGTTTTGCTTCTTATAGGCGACCTTGCCACCTACTACTGATCAACGTAGTATGTCGGAATGCGTGGTTCTGCAGCTGACCTTTACTAATCTGACTTTTTCAGAATCGGTAGGCATCATGGCTAGTCTGTTGTCACCCTCCCCCCATCTGACAGCAGTTCAACTTCCCCTTCTGACTCCTAGCCTAGTGTTAGCAATTCAGACTGTGATGATAGCTTTTTTAGTTTATCTTACCTGCCTGGCATTGTAAGATGTAAGTTAATATCCACCACTTGTTGGGGTCGTTGTCTGTACAAGCTGCCAGATATGTACCGTGATTCACCCAATAGTCAAGTGAAGCGTTTAATGGGATATAAATGGAATTAACATTTAGGTAACAACGGGATTTGTTTTTCAATTCATTGACGAGTTGCTTGATGACAGTTTGCAATGTCTTACATTCTTATTTTTGCTGATATTTTATACTTCTGTTGGTTAAAAATAGAATTTTAAACAACTGAATTGTTGTATTTCACCTCAAATTCTCTATCTTCTAATTGTTATAATTTTTGTTGCTGTTGTTGTTTTATTAACGAAACACCAGACGTATTTCGGTGCAATCGATGTGGATACAATTACGGATCCTCTTTTAGCACAAGCTGTTGAAGCCATGATAAGTAATTATGGTCAAACACCTAAACAATTATTCCGTAAACACCCTCATCCATATCGGTGAGTAAATTTCATTTGTATCTTATGCAGCTAACTGTTTTCCCCAGTTTTATTAAAGACAAACATTGAAATAAAATGTGCAAATTTTGCTTGTGATTGCTTTGACGAAGATGATCAAGAATAATTTAATAATAATTAATAATAATGGCTTCGTTTCAAGCAATATTTTTGACACTGTAGAGTTCTATGCGTATAATACAATACCCCATCAGGTGTTCTGTTAACGTTACAAAGTTAGGGGAGAAATAATTTGAATAATTTTTTAAAATAAAAATCGCTTTATTCTGACCAGTGTTTATATAATGCACAGAAGTCTCAGCGGGATTGATTGCATAACACTTCCTCTTTTTCCAAGATCTTCAAATAAAATAGTATTGGTTTCATAGAGATTTTGTTTGATTGATTGGAGGATTTCATGATGTAATCAGAAGCTACCGGGTTCGAACCCCGGTGGGCGCGTACTGATGAAGAGTCCCAAACTAGGACGAAACAGTTGTCCGGTACTTCCATGTTTTCCAATGGTTCCCTAACTGATGTCATGATGAAATCCTCCAATCAAAATAGTGAATTCCAGTAGATCATGCGACACAATGCTGTCTGACCCCGAGCGTAAACCAACCTCTCATGGTATTTCTTCTATATCTCCTTCGGAAAATGTACGACATTTCATTGAAAGTCAGTTAAAAGAAGTGAAGGAGTACACTTTGAGACCTAAGGATATAACTGAATAAATATGGCATGAAGGTATATTGTTTTATTTCCTAGGCTATGTGGTAGTCTGTGCTACAAATCTCATCTCATATATTGTAATACGTCGCCGCTCACGAAACCGATTTATCTCAAGTTTAGTAGAAGCTTGTGAATTAGAAGCTTGTAAACACTTTGAATACTCGCAAGAGTAGAAAACACCATCTGAGACCATTTTTTAACAGATTAAAACAATGCGAACAAGAGAAATTATATGGAATGATGGTGGTTTTCTGTAGGCTGCCGTAAACTTTGTAATACGTACAACTATTTTTATTATTGGTGTCATTATTATTATTATTATTATTAATATTGACAAGTTGGTCAGAAACAGCTGTTACGAAGTAGGTTAGTAACTTCATACGTGACATCTCTATCATAAAATAAGGTGTCGTTGAACTTCTATATTTGGTCAGACGAGCGCAGCCTTTTATAAAATTACTTCTTGCCCTCTACTTGAAAAGATGCGACAGTTAAAGCTTTGAATAAATAGGGTGCTATGAGTGCGATAAAATTTCTTTTAACCTCATTTGATCTCGCTATTTATCTAATCTTTACAAACTTTGGGACATAAGCATGGATTTTAAATCCGTTAGTTTGAAGATAACTTTCGGGAGCCAGTTCATCATAAAGAGGTTACCTGCTAAGCCTACTATAGCTAAAATCTCTGTTTAAAAACTCAGAAAAACAACACCTTACTTTTCTTGTTGACCACATAATTAAGACATCAAATCTCGTTTTCTTCCTCTGCTTACCGAGTCGAATGCAGCGTTTCAAGTTTTATTATTTATTTATTTATTTAAATGCATAAAAACTTGTTACAATGTGGCACCAAGAAGGATGCGCCACACAATAATAATAAAACAACATAGATCAAAAGAAAAAAGAAAAAAGAGAAAAAATATACATATAAGTAGGGAACGGATAAAAAACTTCATCTGGAAGGAAAACAGTCATGCTTAACAAGTGTGAGAGCTGAGATACTGCCTGGGCGCCCAGACCAAAGCAGGTGGTTTTATTAAAGGACCATCCCCCGAGCCTTTGACTTGAAGTCTAATCCGCAAGGCAGCGGAGAAGCGTCAGGAGCTGCATTCCCATGGTTCCTGATGACCCATATGGGTTCATACGCCATTTGATCCGATCGGATACTGGAGCCCATGTACCCCATGGTAACTGCTTTTAGTTTAACCGCTATCCAAGCAACCTTCCTGACATGGTAGGACCTGCAGGGACAGGTTCCAGTCAGTTTAGCATGTTACGTCATTACGATATTCAAGCCGACCACCACGACAAGGTAGCAGTTATCGGCCGGGAAGCGTTGCTGTTTTATGAAGTGAGGTTGTTAGCTTCCCTCTTCTCGTCTAGGCGAGGTTTATTAGTAGATTGGCCAGGATTTGAACCTTGACAGTCCACTGAACCTCCGACGAACATAGATGTATCCATTAAACGGAAGAAAGGAATACACTATTTAGTCAATTCTAAAAGTTAAAGGAGCCCTCATTGAAAACATTAATTACTTCAATATATGCTTATTTCAGTAGGGCCAAAAATAAACTAATTGTACTTTTTTCTTATCTGCGGTCAATAAGGAAATACAAGGTGCACATCTCATCTTATTTGTAACTCGTAAGCTAAATGTATGTGCAGCATTTCGGTAGGCGGTGATGTGACAGCTGAGATAATTTAAGTCAACTCAATTCATACTTTTTGTTTCTTTTTTTACACGACTATTTAGCCATATAAGCTTTTTCTTCAGTTTAGATTTCATATATTCATTATTTGAACTTTGTAGACAATTATCAATATCTAATGAAGAGGTGTTGAATTATTCGCCAAAATTTGATAATATATCCGCTGAATCTTTACTACTACTAACTGAAAGTCACGAGAATGATGATCGACGTTCAACCTATCATTCTGATGATATCGATGGGAAATTACTACAGACAACCTTCTCGTCTAGACTGGATAATACACCATTAGAAACAGTGATTGGTTTGAAATGGGGTACATGGGCTGGTAGTCCACAAGTGGGATCTGTAAGTGGGGTTTTCATTTCTTTGGTGAAATAATTCAATATATATTTGTTCCACTTATATGTGTATGATAATCCTGGGGAAATACGAACATGAACTTGATTGTTGCATGTATAATCTATTAGGAAAATTGTTGATAAGTCCACTTGGAATAATAATGGATCGATAAATCACTGTCGATATGATGAGTGATGATCAAAGTTCAAATGAAGAGCTAGATAGCATAGCTTAGTCGGTGTGTAACGGTAAAAGATAAGAGAAGTGGCAACGAACCTTTTTATGAAGAAAAAATGCATCATACTAATACTTTTGTAGCCATATTAATTGTCGACCACGTCAGCGGAAAGTAGGCTGTGCTGATTGGTCTGTGGCAGGCCCAAGACTGTGCAAAGGGTGTGAAAGGCTGTTCAACGAGATTATTTCTAGACCATGACGTAAACTAAATCCAGATTTGTGGGATAAACGCTCCCACTCTTGCAACCATCGCCTTAAAATTCTGAGTTCAATTTCCAACCGCTTCCTATCAATCTGCATCTATGTAGTGTCTGACAGACTTAGAGCATCCGACTAGTAATCCTGAAGCAACATTGGTCCGAACCCTGCGGGTACTCAGGATTTTTATTGTATACTTGATAATAATTTATTAGGAAAATGTTTATGAGAAATCTCATTAGTAAAAGCAATGGTGATTACTTGTCCAACATTTATAAAACTGTATTATTATTATTTCTATTATTGCTTTTACTAGTAGTAGTCCAGTGGGCTTCAACATCACATCTACCTTTTATCCTTTTGTCTGCAGTCCTGTTTAGCTGGTTCCACTATTGCGCAAAAGTCCTCGTCTTCTCACACGATTTCTCCTATATCACCGTTAGACACCCCACTGGTCATTTTTCCATTCAGGTTCCATTCTAGGGTTTGGTGCTTGATGTCACTTAGTGGTCTCCTCAGTGTGTATCCAATTTATCTCCATTTGCTTAGGCATATATATTGGGCGATATGTTGTTGGTTGAATCTTTACCTGGCAGCATTTCTCCTTTCCAATCGTTTCTGGCCAGTCATCTGATCTTGATTGTGAAGCGAAGTCAGCAGCTGATGAAAGTCTCCATCTTGCTGAAAATGCTTTTTCTCAAGCACCAAGTCTCCGGACTTTGTACTCTATGCTAAGTGCAGTAGGTTTCCATACTAATTTCAAATTAATGGAGGTCTGTCTTAACTGTCTTATTCAGGCTGGCTTTGCCGCCTGCAGTATAAACAATGCTACCTAGATAAGTGAAAGAAGTAACTTCCTTCAAATTTCTCTCGTTGATAATAATTAGTGCTTCTTCTCCATCACCCTTGTCTTTTCCGATGACCGTAATTTATTTTTGTGTATGTTGAGACATCAGAATTCAAAACTTGTTTTTTTTTACTATGGGTACATAGTTTTCCTCTTCTTTACTACATACAAGTATTACTATAATTTATGATTTCTCAGTAGTAGAGATAAGTATTGTCACACTCAGCAATGACTCTCATGAATGCCGGTCCCATTCGGTATGACAACACTGGGTTTCCTAAAGTAATGGTTAATATGTAAGCTGTGCAAAACGAAAAGATGTTTGAACTCAGTAATGTGACCAATCAGCTTCATCGTATTGTAACAACAGAAGCCTAGACACGGAAGCCAAAGTATATTTTTCATTGATCAAACCGCTGTTTGTATATGTATAGTTTATATACTTTAACTAATCACTGAGCTTATTATTTCAGTTTACATCAAACTACATGAAATAGACTTTTCAAATAGATATATTGTTGAACTATTGAACTGTGTGAATGACATTCCAACTCTAGCATCAAATAAGTTGTTTATATATATATATATTGTATTCTTTTGCTGATGCCAAATTGAATTGTGGGAAAATGTAAGAATAATAGTACGTTGGCACAACACACTGTCTGTATCACACCACCTCAGTATAACCTCTTGATATATGGTGACTGATATGGGAGTTGTCGATGCACATTTCTCTTTTGTACGAATTAAATGTCTAATTTCATCAACTTATCAGCATAAGTCGTCTATTTACACTTGATCCTTGTTGTGAAGTTTACATGTGTGTGTCATAAGTTTACAGCTCAATAAACAATTTTACTACATAGTGTGCCTACGGTTTTATAAATTATAAACCTGTCCACATTCACATTGAATTAAATGTAACTTTTAGTGAAACCTCATTCATAGTCAACGTGTATATAACAGTAGAATTAGAGCACTGTGGTAAAGGATAGCTCTATATTAGATAAGTTTATTTTAAATACCACATAGCCATTCAGTATTGACAACTGGATGGCAAGGTTTCGAGCATAAGCTACTGCTCATAATCATATCAAATTTATTTACACGGTTTCACAATTTGTCTTTTATATATATATATATATATATATATATATATATATCCAACTTCCCTTTGTTGTTTGTTGGCACTCTCCATATCTCGGGTGTGGGCGTTACGTCATTCCGATTGCACGTGTGCGGTGTTGAATCGATAAACAAAGCTTCAGTGATTAACCTCTCTGTCTCTTCACCTAACTATATTACTTGTTAATACTCTTACCCTGTCCCACCCAACCTATTTTGTGATAACATGCAAGAGAATGCAGTGCAATGGCTGAGGTTTATTCTAGGTTATTTAACTTAGCAGGGTCAATTATTCTAGGTGTAGATAAATGTTTATGTTCCAATAATCTAATTGACCTTGATCTACTAGTTTGACTGACCTATGTAATTGACCTCACAGTCAGCATTACATGGTATTTAGTAAATTATATTATTTTTCCTAACTGGATCCATTGGGTCCTTGAGCCGACAAAGTTTATCTCTGAGAGAGTTGGTTGGCTTAAATGCCACCCTGACTAATTCCAGCTTCATTGAGAATCCTACTTAAGGCCTCCGACGTCCCTCTTTATACGGCATTGCCACATAGGCCTTGAATTTTAGACTGTCTTTGTTATTTTCGTAACCTTTATTGTTAGTCTTAGTTTTCCCATGGTTCTTCATGTATCTCTGAATAAATTCTGGTGGATAGTTATTCACTAGTAATATTTCCTTTATTTATTTGGTTTCGTTATTTAAATCGTCTGACCTTATAGTTAGGCTCTTGGCCCGATTATAAAAGCACTTAACTAAACCTATTTTTACTGATTCTGGATGGGATGAATTGAAGTCTAGGTATTTATTAGAGTGTGTGTCGGTCTCCTATAAATGTCAGTATCCAACTCCACCATCTTGTTTTTGTTTTATTCCACTGTCTAACACGGCCAAATTACCTTGATGATTTTCTAATTCATAAGTGATTTTGATTCTATCTACCACTGAGTTTATGTGTGAAGAACTGTGGCATATCTACCAAATGCCATTTAATGACTGTTAGTGAGGTCAATTACACAGGTCAAACTAGTAGATCGGGGTCAATTAGATTATTGGAACATAAACGTTTATCTACACCTAGAATAATTGACCCTGCTAAGTTAAATAACCTAGAAAAAAGCTCAACCATTGTACTGCATTCACTTGCGTGTAATCACACACCACAGGGTGGGTGGGACAGGGTAAGGTTATTGACAAGAAATATAGTTATTTGTATATTTATTATTGTATATTTCCCCTTGGAATTTAAATGCTATGGAAGTCAGGCATAGCTGCACTCCCAGCATTATGTTCTCAAGTGGCACTTTCGTCCTAAGTTCGAGTTCTTGGTCAGAAATGAGGTCGTTTCTGACTGCTTCTTCAGCCATATTTATTGGTCTACGTGTATATAAACTGACAATGCCAAAACTAATCATTTTCTCTTCATTATCTAATTTTAAATTATCTAATCTGTGTTTTAGTTCATACGAATTTGTTAGTCTAGATTTCGAATGGTTTTTAAGGGGATTTAATACCATTAATACCATGGATAAATATTTAGATAATTCATAAGTAGGTGAATTTCTAAAATCAACTATAGGTCTAATTGGATATCCTGACTTATGAACTTTAACAATACCATACATCCTAGTTTTGGGCACTAAATTAAACCACTTAGACTCATCTAGAAACGGCTTCATTGGGTGTATAAGGTCCGCTGTGGATTTTTTTAACTTTATTCATAACTGTGTCTATTGATTTGTTAATTTCCTCATATGGTCCTGTTTTTATGTGAGTGTTCACCTTGTCCAAATAGTGTGATTTGTCTAATGCTATTGTTGCATTGGAACATAAAATTTATCTAGACCTAAAATAACTGACCCTGTTAAGTTAAATAATCTAGAATAAGCCTCAGCCATTGTACTGTGTGAATTTATTGATATTCTTATGAGCAATAAATTGTGGTGGAAATGGTATCCCAGTTATTAGTATTTTATCACTGTGTTTTAAATGAAATAAACTTGTATGGAATTAAGTTAACGTACATGTATTCATCGAGGATGATGAATAAAAAAATGAATTTCATTTTCTTTAAAATAAGAACGTTTCTGCGCTATTCCGGCAAGATAGAAGCCAGTCTTCAACTTTTGGATTTTGCCGTTAACCAGATATGGCTTTGAGAACTATGGTAAGCTATAGAGCGCTGAATAATGGGTGTTTCACCCTATTTTGGGACTTTTCAAAAGTATGGTACGCAGACACACAAGCTAACTTTAAGTGAAATTATCAACTTCATTTATTGCGGAGCCATCTGCATCGGTAACCTCCTTTAAGCTACATTAATATAGAATAGAATGGGTTTCATCTACTTGGTTGGTTCGCTTGAGATGAATTTTGGTGAAGAAATACGCATCAGATTGGCAGTACAAAATGATATTGTCAATCTATTTCACAAATTCTCATTGACTGAAAACTACCTGAAATTACAATGATTATGAGAGAATGAACGGCAGTAGAGAGAATGTCATAAAATGAACGCATCCTAAATATTGGTTTTGTAGGGACTTTTGTTTGGTTAGAGGACTTTATCATAAGCTGACATCAGTTAAAGAACCACTGGAAAACCTGGGAGTATTGGACAGCTGTTTCGTCCTAGTTTGGGACTCCGCTTCAGCAGTACGCACCCACCGGGATTCGGACCCAGGACCTTCTGGTTACAACGCGAGCTCGTAGACCATTGGATCAGGTCCCAGTGGCTTATATATACATATATACTATTAAGATAGTAAACACACTATCTACTCAATTTTTATAATCCTGAAACAACCTCAGAAACCTGAGGATTGACAAATATACATCCAGTCATAGTCACATAGGAGAAATCAATAGCACTGGAATACATACGATCGACACACACATTAATAAACATACAGATTGTTATGGTAACATGTTAGTGTTTAAAAAATTAATATAGTATACTGGCTATATTTTCAAGTATTAGCATCACATGATAAGGTATGAGAGATTAGAAAGTGAGTCGTCAAGGTAGCATGACTCATTTTTCAAAGATTGAACTAGATATGTGACGAGATATGAAATATTGAAAGATGAGAAAATCATGTTAATTTGCCTGACCCCGTGTCAATCTATCTCATACATACTGGTGTACAGTATTGAAGTAGTGTTGATACATTGATATTTCATTCGTTGTGTATGGGACACACACTGAGGAGACGGTGGAATGACATGACGCATCAGGCCATCTCTCGAATGGAACCCGAGTAGGAAATGTCGAGTTGGGACTATGACTGAGGTAACATAGCGGAGATAGTATGAAGACGAGATGGGCGCCTATAACCAATTGTGAGGACAGGTTAAGAGGACCACAGAGGTTAGAGGGCAGTGTGAAGTTGAGCTCTTGAATCCGTATGCTCAACTCGGAAACCAAGGCAGCAATAATATATACAATAATTTAAAAGCAATTGGTTGGTATACATGATTGGCCGGTAGCATTAAAGCTATGCAATCATAAGTGCATACTGATGAAGAGTTGAAGACGAGGATGAAACATATGTTCAACATACTTTGGTAGTTTATCTAATCGACGTTGTTTCGTGGAATAGCCTACAAAATAAACCTTTGAATGGACTTAATATGTCTTTGCTTACCAAATAAACCCTCCGAGTTCATTGTTTTCCTCGCTTTCAAGTGTCATATTTATCATAGGGCATTTTTGTATTTTGTACTACCATAACCTAATGATATTTAGAACGAAAAAGATGTCAACATTGTACCTGGTAATATCGAGTTGTTCAGTTTGCAAGATCTCTTTTGTATTAGCTATTAGAGTAGGCAGGATATGATGCTCGAAAAATTTATATTTTATGTAGAAGTCATGGTTTCATGTTCATTATCTATCGGATGCTTAAGTAGGTTTGTTGTTGTATGTTTATAGTCCAATTGTCATATCTATTGATATTGGAAGTATTATTGACTCGTTGAACAAGACTGTGGTAAATTTAATTTCTTATTAAATAGTGTGTCAACATATGCTTAAGGATTGCGTCATACAAGCATACTTCACTGTAAGGTTACACAAACACCCTGTCGCCATTTTCAAATCTCATCAGTAGATTAAATCAAGTTCTGGAAGGCCTAGAAATTTTTTTCGGATTTTCCGTATGGTGTGTATATATATATGCATACTAAAACTGGAACCATACGGGAAACATTAGCATGACACCGCGCAAGGAGGGCATGAAAAATCATAAAGCACTCCGTGTTTCAGACACATATGGTCGAGGTACGATTCCTGGCCGACGCGCTCTTAAACATCGCCTATCCGGTAGTCAGCCCGGTAAAGAGGAAAGGTTGGGATTGAGACTAGCGCAACTCCAACACCAAAATGACTGAAACTTCAAGGCTCAAGTGTGAATTCCTTTGTTCCACTCGGAATGCAGGGGAGGAAAGTTTCTCAAGAAGAAGGACAGTATAGCCCAGTGATATGCATATCACATATAGTCCCCACCAGAGTTTTCACATTTTATCCCAAAGGAACAATAATATATAACTATCATAATAATAATATTAATAATAATAATTCTACGTTCGAGAAGTAAGGATAAACTACCTAAATTTGCCTCTTCTATGTGTATCTACCAGTTTGACTGCAACTGCGGAGCCAGCTACATTGGGCGTACAATTAGGCTGGTTCATCATCGTATTTTTGAACATCATCCAGTATGGTTAAGCATGCGACAAACAATATCTATTCGTAGCTGTATTTTAGCCCACCTTGTAGATAGTGAGCATAAGGTTGAGGTTAATACTGCATTTAAAATTATTTATCGCATTCCTACTAATCTTAATTTTGCTCTACGAGTTCGTCTTCTACAGACAGCTGAAGCAATAGGAATCCACCTGAAGAAGCCAAACTTGTGTGTTTAGAAGAAATTTGTACAGCCACTTTCCTTACCTTGGCGATCGTTACATGATTGTATAAACCGTTAATTATCACCCCATTGACATTTTGACACTGGCTTATTATTGTTAACAAACATATCAGTGCCACTTGGTGATTGGTAAACTGTTGTGTATTGTAATAAAAATGCTATACGTGTATATTAGAGTAGAGTAAAGTAGAGCCAGAGTGAGATGAGGATCTAATTGAAAAGTAAATATTTCTTCGCTGCTCAATCTTCCTTTTTTCTAAATATATAAAATTTTATTCATTTTATTTTATTATCGCTTGATTCCACACTGTATTTATGGTATAGGTGTGGAATTTTCAGCGTGTGATATCGGTAGCCCAAATTTAACAGACCGACCATTGATATCAGGTGTGCGTTGGCTGGGGGTCGAACCTCGGCCATGGCCGGCGAGTGTCCTAACATAGACATAGTTTCTAAGAAAGTATATTCCTCTAGGATATTGAAATACGAAAAATACTAATATTAGAAATGCAATTCAAGTGTTTGTGATTATACTCAGTGGATCATAGGAATTCTTACAAAGAGGGTTGATTACAGTCTTAGTTGAATATCAAATGTCAAGCGGCAAAACAAATAATGTCATGTAGAGAATAGTTAATTGGGTGTATAGATGGATGTTGGAACGGTGTGTAAATTTATAGGATTAATAGTGAAATAATATAAAGCGCTACATAACATGATTTCAGATTCGATAAGATAGAATTCACCATTGCGAAATATTTTGATGTACAACAACAAGTGGGACAACTGAAATAATACCGCGAACAGTTCAAAGTGAGAATAGTAATAATAAAAATAATAGTAATAATCGTGTAACAACAGAAGACAAGGGCCAGGCAGCGGATAGTTTATTTAGGAAATCAACACATATTTATAGATTTTCATGTACATTATTATAGATTATTGTAAGCAAATAAATACAGTCTTCTGATTGATGGTTTCTCGCTGAACGTTAATCATACATCTCTTGTGGCCGTTTATTGGAGTTCAGATCATCTATCTGCAAATTTTGTCTGCCTACGCAAAGTTTACTGTAATTGGTTGTTGAATCAGTCTTTGTTCTTATTTTTCTCACGACCAATATTGAGGACGTAAGCATTGACGTAAATTACTGTCTTCCGATTCGGCTAGCAGCTAGCTCTCACCACAATCTTATTAATGTGGGAAAGATACATAAATTAACTAAATAAACACAATCAAATGTGCGTAAGTAAATGTTTATCCATCAATGGCCAAGACAAAAACATGGTTTGAACATAGTTCTTTCATACACAAAGCTCTGGCTACAATACATGAATGACCAAGGCTTCCTCTGTCTTTAGAAGTTTATAACACAGAAAATGCGGCAAGTTAGCCTGGATTCGATAGATGGTGACAGAAGTCGATCAAGTGTTGTAGAATAGAGCTTCGCATACCCTTCCTTTCTGTCTTGTAAAACCATGCTGGAATATATTCTCGTATCTGTATATATGTATATATTACATAATTCATGTTCTCTTCATTACGGTTACTCAAATACATATATTTTTCCTCTGCTTTTCTTCTGTACAGTTTGAATTGTTCTGGAAGAAACAGCTTATTATGGGTACAACACCGACAGAAAACAATTCACTGCCATTCATAGGCCATTTAACTGGTTCTGTTTGGTGTGAATTCAGTGAACAAACGTCCACTGTAAATCCTAACAGCAATAATAATAATAACAGTCCAAATCAACTTGACAGAATATCCTCATTAACTTGCAATAAACTTTATCATTCATGGGATGGTTGGGTAGATTTTAATATCGAACATACAACCAGTAAATGCTTGTTTAATATTAAATCTCCGTCTTCATTACCGTCTTCATCATCATCATCATTAACATCACCTGGGACGTCGTCAACCTTTTGTATTAATAATCAATTTGTGTGGTATTGGAAAATTCTTTTGTGTGAATCCACTTCACGTTTATGGATATCTTTATTACCAGATGTCCATACAACAACAACAAATAGTAACAATAGTAAAGAACGTCTCGTACCATACTTAATTAAATTGAATACATCATCTATTATAGATAATAAAACTGTGAGTATTACTATGAAACGTTTGAATAAAAACTCGACAGAAAGTGATAATCCTGCAGGTATTGATTATACAACTGATGTGCATCAGGCATATAAAGGCATAAATTTACAACTGCCTTATTCATGTATTCAGCTGACAAATGATCCAAAAGACTTGATTACTTCACTCGCTGTTTCACCGTGTTCTAGTCAAGGTATACAATTATTTATTGGTACATGTTTTGGTTCTATTTATGCAAGACAATTACCAATAAATCTAATGGATATATCAGATGTAAATGGTTGGTTGCCACAGGTGAGTTCTATAATTTTGCAACAGTTCTGTACAATATTATCTTTGCTTGTTGTTAATAAAACACAACGTTCATCTAGGAAAAAAAGTATATTTTCAAGTATTGGTTTTTGTAGGGATTTTGTTTGATTGTATGGAGGATTTAATCGTGAGCTGACATCAGTTAGAGAACCACTGGAAAACCTGGGAGTACTGGACAGCTGTTTCGTCCTAGTTTGGGACTCCGCTTCATCAGTACGCACCCACCGGGATTCGAACCCAGGACTTTCCGGTTACAAGGCGAGCTCGTAGACCATTGAGCCACTGGAACCCGATCCAATGGTCCTAGAATTCTAACTTCTACCAGTTCACGACATAGCGCGACCACTTCCCAATGTCTTCTTTGATGAGTTACTGCCTCATCTTCAACCTGCTGTACCCTACTGGTCACGGCTTCCCACTAGAACCCCAGGTTAACTGCCTGAATAGGGCCAGTCACTAGTGAGCATCAGATTAATTTTCAAGTATTGGTTTTGTAGGGATTTTGTTTGATTGCATGGAGGATTTAATCATGAGCACACGTTGGCTAAGCTGTCTAGTAGTACGCCCAAGAGAAATGTCACCGCAGGTGTAGTTGAATCGATAAATGCACATAGATGTGACAAAACTATCTAGCTTATACTTCGTTTGCGTCCCAATCATTCGTCGGCTAGAGAATGACAAACATAGGTTTGCTGCATGAAACGTTCTTCGTATACTCCTGGAAAGTCTCTGGAATAAAATCTCACTCAATAAGTCACCTTTTGAACAATACTGTGATGGTGGTTCAAGGGTGGAGTACTGATCGGTCACATAGTCATAGACCTCAATAGCCTGTAGTAAACCTGATAACTAGGGAAGGATAGGCGTAAGGCTAGTAAACTCATCCTGCAGAAAGAACACAAGCACCATTGAAACTCCAAAATTTAAAGCTTGAAGTCGGAGCAAACAGGAAATAAAAAAATTTTAAACAATTTGATCGCAGATCAGTCTGTCAATTCAGTTTATGTGGGAAATGAAAGTATAAGTCAATTACACATTCTCCAAGTGATAAACTTAATTTTTTTGACATCAGGTCTAACGACTTTACTATGCTCTTTATCCACAATATGATTGGTTTTTCCACACTCAAAGAAAAGGAGAACTTAATCGTAGTGTCTATTGAATGTTTCCAGTCGACGTTGTAAACACACGAACACATGTATCAATTGTGTAGACACTAGGAAAAGATACCTTCAGACTTCCTGTTTTATAATTACATTTTTGAGGCAATTAACTTAAAATATACCCAGAATGAGTTATATAAAGATACACTTAATGCTTAAGTCAGGTAGACAACTTCTAAAATGAAATGTCAACTTTAATACAAGCCACAACTACTTACATCTCCTGTGTACAGCATATGCCAGTTTACGCCGTCTCTGGCGTAGACGTGATATCCGGCTGGCTATCGACCAAAGGGCGGGAGTACTGCTCATCAGTCCGCTCCATCCTCCTTTATGGCTAGAAATGACACCTGACCATTGAGAGTGGAAGACATGAAAAGATTAGCTGTCTTCGATCACAGGTGCCTGTGCTCTATCTCCCGTGTGAAGTGATATAATGAGATGAGGAATATTGAGGTTAGGCATCGGTCGAGTTCTAGGTAAGGAGGGGAAATCAATCGACGAAGTTGTGAAGTTACATAGACTGAGATGGTTAGGACATGTGTTACGTATGCCTAGTCATCGCCTTCCTCGACGAGGGATGTTAGGTCAGGCTGTTAAAAAGCTAGCGGTGGTCAAACCAAAACATGGAACCAGTCAATGAAGTTCACAACAGTTAGTTTAAGCCAGCCACGTAGGAAGGTGTAGACTTCCTGACTGGTTGGGGGCCTCGGGACAGTAAAAGCCAATGGCTGGAGACTATTGGTGATATGGCTCAAAATCGTTCTCAATGGCTGGCGCAGATGCACCCACTCCTTGTGACTTATGATTTCCAATGAAACTGTTTTGTTCTTCGTTATTACTCTTCCTTTGTTTCACACCTCTGTTTACTGTCTCTATTATGCTTTTCTTGTACTTTCTTCTGTTGCTTTGTGTGCTACAAGGAGGGAATGTGGCGACTTGAACTGCTGCACATCTGTGCATAGTTCTATATCGAAAACAGACAGGTGTTCAGCCTATCGGTGTTTAGGAAACATTTTCTGTGTATTTTAAATTGTATAGTCGGTTACTGGATAGGATATAGAGATACAGAACAATTATGACCTTACCATTTATTTACACTCTGCTGATAACTACTCTTTTTGTCTTTCTTAATGTGTACTTGATGATGATGACGACATGCTAGGATTCCATAGGACGGGTGTTTCACCTAACCTGCTTGGAATTATTCCTTGTGGTAAATACTATCGCTGAGGATACAGAGGTTCCTTTAAGGCTTCATATTTGATTTGTTATTGAGTGTCAATAAACACTGAAACCATTTCGAGGACCAGAGCTTCATACCAACTGCTTCCAATCACCTAACAGTAGTTCTCTGCACTTATAATAACAATAATTAGTGTGATTGCAACTACTGATAGCACTACTACAACAAATACTACTGTACTTGCTGACTTCAAGTTACCTGACAATAAAGCCGACTGGAAAAGTTATTAAAGTCAGATCTAATGTTTGTTGGGATAAAATAAAATGAACTTTGATAAAATCTTCGACCCTACGTTAGTTTTGGAATTTGTAAATAAAATCATCTATTCCCTATTAGGCGCACTTTGTATTCGTAATTGTCTGTTGATTACTAGCCTCGTTTCAAAGTTGTAGCTACTTTCTCGAATTTCTTCTTCAGGAGGCTTTTTATTTGATGCAAAACTTATCAACTATTGGTTTTTAGGGATTTGATTCGCTACTGGTGTTTGATCACGAGTTGACACCAATTAGAGAAATATTGGAAAATCTGGAAGTTCTGGACAGTTGTTTCGTCCTAGTCTGGAACTCCTCAATGGTACTGTACGCACCCGCCGGGGTTCGAACCCGAGATCTTCCGGTTACAAGGCGAGATAGTAAACCATTTGGCCACGTGGACCTGATCCCGTGACCCATGAATTCCAACTGCAGCCGTCGGCCAGTATCGTCGGCAAGTAACTGTCCTCCTATTCGACTTGGTGGACCCCCCCCCCGCCGTTTACGACTTCTCACTAGAAATCCAGGTAACTTCCTGTACAGAGTCAGTCGCTAGTGAACATTAGAGTCCGGAACCAGGACGAACCAGTTGTCCAGTACTCTCAGGTTTTGCAATACTTCTCTAATTGATGTCAATTCGTGGTCAAGCTTGTGTGCAAATAATCATTGCTTCCCTGAAGATATTACTCTGCATATCTACTTATATCTCTTCATAGGTAGTGTACATTACTTTACTATAACCACTAGTACAATTAGTACGATCATAATGCTCTAGCAACAGGATCACTCATTCAAGTTAAGCTTATACAAAATATTTATCCAGTAAACGAAATGTCCTTCTTGAATCTTCATTTGATGAATAATTGCTTTAGTCATTATTATTACCATTCGAAAATCCATCGTGGACAACTCAGTAAAAATCTGTAATGGTAAGTATAATAGTGCTAATTAATGAATTCGTGAAAAGCACCCATCAGGACATTACAGGGAAAACAACAAGAAGCTCAGCAAAGATATCTATCTTTTCGGTGATTTCATTCTCAAAAGCAACTACTGTACAATCGCATTTATATACACAAGTTGACATAGATACAACTGTTACTTAATTCAACATAATGACGAAGGAGATTAAAAGTGGTAGTAATTTTCAACGTGGAGGTGAATATAGATTACCAGGGACTTAGAAACAAAGTTATGACAGGATTAGAAAATTGTTGCGTAATATGTTGAATAATTTTTAACAGAGACAGGTATGAACGCGTTGTTCATCTGTTTAGTTTATTCTACAAGGGCATACAAGTTGAATTTATTTCTTTTTCCCTTTTTTTTCTTTCTCTTTTTCCATTGTTCCGGTTTACACCTACCTATCCAAGAATTATCAAGATATCTCAGTGTGGAATACAAACAATCCTCGTGTATTGTATGATATTAAGAAGAGAAGAAAAAAGACCAAAATAAACATTAATTACTCAAAGTTACTCAACAACAACAACAACAATGATAGCGGTAATAACAGTCGAAATGGTCACTCTGATTTAGATGTAAAAGAAGCTGGTCTCTGGGAAATCACTGGATGGAAACAATTGATTGGTCATACTGGCTGTGAAATTACAGTCTTGGTTATCAATCGAAATAACAGTTTAATTGCTAGTGGTGACGATCAAGGTCAGGTGTGTCTATGGGATAGATATCGTTTGTCATTAATTAAAACAATAAATACAAATATTTGCAGTAGCAATACCTGTACTACGAGCAATAGTAATAGTGACGACAACAGTAACAACAATAATAATAATCAAAATGACTCAGAACATCTACCTAACGAATCTGCGTGCAATCCCCAGGCATCGAAACAATCAGCTGACAGGAATGATGGAAGTGGAGAGGACAACAGTAACTCAACTAGCCGTCAGCACAGTTCTACTAGAAGTAGTAGTTGTAATTCACCTACAGAATTCATAAATACCAATAATGATTCAGTATTGAATAACTTCAAACGTGTTGATGGTATATGCTTCAGTTTAACATCTGGTGAACTGGTTATAGCCAAATGGAATTATCATAATTATCATGGTAGGTGGTGTGTTGCTTTTCTCATTTTACAAAAAACAAAATAGAAAGGAAAAGGCGATTTGTGGTGTACGATACTTGTGTTTTAATGTTTTATTTCACATAATTTGTTTCTATTTGAGTTTATCCTTTATCTTGCTGTAGTAGACCTTTTTTGCAGTCAGTTTAGTGTTAGAAGTTTGCATAACAATTTAACTTATGAGATACCATGTAATTATTATAGAGCTTATGTATGCATAGGTCGAAATAGTTGATCGGGAGGGGGGGGAGGGGGATCATTTATAATATATGAGCATAAAAGTGTAGGCTGATAAGTCCTTGAAAAATGATTAGCCTCCATGAAACAGTTCACCGTAAGCATTGAATGCATTGTCGTGTAATCAACTACACCATTGGGATGAAAATTTCAAATTTAATATAGTTATGATTAGCAAAGAGAGAGAGAGAGAGAGGGATTGTTGATTCCTTCTTTCTCGCGACTACATGTAGTTGGAATAATTCAACATTGTTTATAGATAATTTTGGAGAATTCTGCAATCATTAATAAAGGAATAAGGCACTGAAGTATTATGAAAACTGTTCGACCACCGGTGGACTCATTGGTGCGTATTACTGAGGAGTCCAGAACTAGGACGAAACAAATGGTGTAACTTGAAAATTCACCACTCACTGTAACATTTCAATGCAGGTGAAGGATAAGCTCCTTAGTCTGGCTGCCTTGATTTGCATCCATAAATTTAACTGTTATTAAAGAGAGAGAGAGAGAGACACTAAATGGGTAGAGCGACTCTGGAAGCCCACCGTCGCCTTCTTGAAGATTGTCCAACGTACTTAGGTAAAGGAGTCGTAAATTTAATCAGGAGTTTCATATTAGCCCACCTTGGGGATACAGATCACAAGATTGATATTAAAAAAAATTCAGACTTTACAATCCTGTACAATGTGCCACTTCACTTCCCTAAGTTTGGACGCCTTCATTTACTAAACAAGGTTAAGGCAGTCGCCATAAAAAAAATTCAACCCTGTCTTTGTGTTCAGAAAATGTTCGTTTAATCCATCCCCTTCTCATGGTCTTCAACCCCGACTTAGAATAGTTATCCTGGTTATTACTGCTATTATTATTATCATCATCATTATTCTGCTTACATTCTCCTCGATTATATTTGCTTCTTTTGATCTACATTGTTTCAAGTGTCTATGACTGCTATTTTATTTCGTAACTGCAAAGCCTGATGAGAATTTACCGAAAACACGTATTCGCTTGCTTAAATTGTATTTTGAAATCGTTATGTGCAATATGTAATAAAATAATACTTTATCACTGTGCCCCACATTTTTTTTATTCTTTTACGTCGCCAGTAGAACATAGGGCTTCAAGCTAGAGGCTTGAAGTTTCTGTAGCAATGGTATTTATTTTTACAGGATGGGGTTGCTTGCCTCAAGCCCAACCTTCCCTCTTTACCAGTCTTATTACTGCTTTGGCGAGGTGAAGGAGTGTGTCGGCTGGGGATCGAACCCCTGACCACATGCGTGGTTGGCAAGTATTCAATTTGCAGTTAATTATATAAGGAGGTCAGTGTTTTATGTGCTGCGTTTCCAGTACCAATTGTTATAATGGAAAGTCTGATGGGATTATATTCGCTGTTTTCGAAAGAAAAGGCTATGACTCCTAACATCTGTCTGTACTCACCAAAATCACTATACGTACATCAATCTTTGTTTCATTGCGTTTTTCTAGATAACAGAGATTTGTTTTTAATTCATCATAGTTATTTCATCATCCAGCTTAGTTACCTTAATAATGAAATTAGAGCCAAGAAGTCACTAAATCGTGTAATGTAAATAAAAGATTTTTTTAAAATAGTGGAGAAGATTTAAAGCCGACCTGTACTGATTGGGAAAACTCACTTCATTTGGAAGTAAGCGCTGAAGATGCCATACAGAAGGACAATGAAATCTCCCCAGTTAAACCATCCAGCTCGAAGAACACACTTTTTTTAAAAATTTTATTCCTTTACGTTTCCAATGGAACGCAGGACTTCAAGATTGAGTGGTGTTCACTTTTACTGGGTGAGGTGGCTAGCTTCTCACCCAAACTTCCCTCCTTATCGGGCTTCCTACCCGCTAAGCGAGGTTTAGCAGTACTTTGTCTGGGGGTCGAACCCCCGAACCACGCCGGTAATTGGTGAGTATCCTACCGCTAAACCACCGATATACCCAAATAACAAAGTATCACCAGAAAAAGCCTTTCAGCTAAGAAATAACTGTCTTTAAAGCTCTACAGTGTTTTGTAAATATCACGAATAACGATCATAAGGGACGACATGACTTTGTAACGAAATATGTTGAACTGTATATAGCAAAAATTTTAGAAATAATAAATTGTGAATATTATTAAGATGGTATTGTTTACTTTAAGATGGATGCACATATCGACATAGTGAATAGATTTCACTAATTATTCCTATAAGGTATGCGTGTTGAAACCAGATAACTACACACAAAGAGGATAATGTTAACTACAATAACAAAGAAGGTTAGGATAGACTGTAAACATAAAATTACTATGTGACAAGCTTTTAAAAGCGTAAGAAACATCTTGAAGTTAAAAACACTGCAGTGAAGTCGAAATGATTAAATCTTGTATGATATATGTACTTCTTCCATCACAGAATAGTTTTATTGCGCATTACATAACATACTGGTGGCATGAGTAGTCTGTTGAGACTGTGTAGTAATGCTGTCCTCAAGAAGTGTGTTGTCCGTTGGTTTGAATTCTTCTTTTGTTGGTCATGTCGATTGATATTCTTTCTCTACGTTTTTTTTTCTCTCTCTCTCTCTGTGTATTTCTCTCCTACTCGTAGTTTGTTGGCTCGGTGTGTACTCTTGTTCTGGAGTTCGAATAGCTACGCGTATTTTAGACTTTATGGCTGAAATCAATGACTCGTTACAAGAAATACCATATTTGCAAACGCCTGAAGTTCATTTCCCTGTCCCAATGGCTTTCTCCAGTGTTTCTGAAGGCAGAGGAGTTAACTGTTTATTAATCGGTGGTCCAGGAGGTCGTTTGGTATGGTTGAACTCGTGGACGCTAGATACAGTACGCACATACCTGGTAAGTGATTTCAACTTGCACTTATCACATTATTTTTCTTGGTAAAGTTAAATTTCTAACCTATTGTGTTCAACATTGAGGGATTTCATTTAGGTCCGGAATTGGTTAAATAACCGCTGGACCACCATTTCGTCATCCCCAATTGCTTTCTGTGGTAATTATTTGACCAGCCATCCACTGGCTTTTGTAGTTTCATAGTCTCAGAGATATATTCACCTTTAACCATTTTCAAAACTTTGAAACATTTTAACTGTTTCTCCTCTCCTTTGATCAATGTATTCTATCTATTCTATGTCTGTTTTCTTCAATTCCACTTTGATTTTTTGATTGTTTATAACTAGACTGAAAACCTCACCAACCAAAGGTATTCACGTTTCCATCCCACCCCCACCCCCAAAGTTTCAAACTGTAGCGAAATATCAATTTAATCTTGTGGTTGACGTTAATTTCTTTTAAATGAAATCTTTATTGAAATGTTTTAGATTCTTCTTCTTCTTCTTCTTCTTCGTCTTCATTTTTTGAGCTGAACTATTAATGCAGATCTTTGCGCAAAAGTGCAGAAGTTCACGTCTTCACGCTTAATAAAAGCATAGAAAATGATAGGAAAAAAAGAAATGCAAAAAAAACTATGATAAATAGAGGTTTACAGACAAAAGAATAATGGGGATTAAATAAAGCTAAGCTATCAAAAGAAGTGAATGGAGCTGTGGCATTTAGAGCAATTCTCAGTCATGTCACTAAAAGTCTTCAGTCTTTCGTTCTCAGCATCTCAAGGACCATATTCAGGCCAGTCTACATCTCCCTGCTTGACTCAAACTAACAGTTAAAGAATTCATGAACAGATGTCATGCTGTTTTGTCTCACCCTTGCTAACTTTTTTTTGTTCTGAAGCAGTATTTTCATTTTATCAGTACAAGAGTAAGGAAATAGACAAATAAATTAAGAATACTAATGAAACCTTCTAACAGTTACTTAAACAATGAAACAGTGGATGTGTTTGTCTTATATAGTAATCAACACTGTCAAGCACGCTATTTACAATGAATCCTCAAATACAAACTCTTACCAGGTTCAAACCCCAGGCACTGCATACTACGTGATGAGTCTCGAACGGGGACGAAACACCTGTCCAGTACTCTCTAGTTTTCAATTGTTCTCTAACTGGTGTCAATCCATGGACCAACTTGAAACAAATGAAATCTGTATAAACTAACCTGTGAAAACGGTAACTGGTAGCTTATCGTGCGATGATGTGTAATATTATTCAATCAGAGACACAGTTGACTTCCTCTTTCGTTTCTATAGAAAAAATGCATAAAACTAGGCTGAAAATTATTATTTTTGAAATACTTCTGAGTGTAGGTTATGATTTAGCGAGGCAATTGTATGGTTAAAACAATAAGAAACTAACTAAATTCGATCCAATATGTTAGATGAAATACTTGGCAGTCAAATGATTTAACTAGGTCTCCTTAGCTCTAATGGTCCATGAAAGTTATGGTTGTATGCTATATAATCCAGTTTTTCTTGCCCTTATTCTTTACCTCCTCGACTTTTTTTACACTTCCTATCAACATATATATGATCGCCAAGCTTGTTTGCTTGTATTGGCTGTGTATTAATAATTGACATTAGATGATAGCTGGAAGCGATTGTCAGGAAGGTGTTGGCTTCGTGTTGATAGACTGCAGTCAGCACTGAGAGCTAGATTAATGATACTTCTCATTCCTTGACTGTTAGTTAGTGCACTTTGGTTGGAAACTAGTTACTAGTGTGATAAGTCTAGTCCTCTGTTTGGTGCAGACTGAATTCTATCAGTCAGGTATGCAATGTGGTCAGCATTCTAGGTAGCTCTCTATCACGGTGCACATTGATTTGGTGATATTAGATGGTTAGAGGCTATCGGCAGGAAATCAGTCGCGAGCCCGAACAGCTCAGCGATAACGTCTCTGAGTGCAGCACTGGGTGACGCGGCTTCGAATCTCAGAAAGGACATGAGTTGCTTCAAGGTTGCAGATACGTGCCAACTAGCACGAAACTTATGCCGGGCTGTGCTTCCTACCGATTACCTGCAACTATCCAGTATTAGTTAGTGTATCCATTACAAACCTGAAGTAGGTCGATTATGGCTTGAATACCTCAGTCGCATAGTGTGCAGAGACAACACCTGGTGACGTGGGTACAAATTTTTAAAGATGACATCAGTCGGTTGAAGGAGTGGTTAGATATGCCTTACTGACGTGTGTCAGTTGGCACGAAATCTAAGTACTGTTTACTGTCTCCAACTACTATATAAATATATATAATCTTTTGGCTTCATATTATCTGAAGTTTTTCTTATCTCTCCACCTTTTTTTGTTTATTAGCTCCCGAATAACACAATGAATTCACGCATTATATCACTTTGCTTTGGACCATTAGCCAGTACTTATAGCAATACATATCAGTTATCGTCTAAAGATTTAGGTGAAATACTATGCCAAGGTTTATATGTTCTTGATCAAACCGGCTGTCTATATCATTTCGGTCCTAAATGTGGATTGCACAGAAGAACTGTTTCAGAAGATACTTCTTTGAATTCAGATAATCTATGCAAACAGTCTGTTGCATTTTGGTTGAATACATGATGTAATTATAATGTTGACAAAGAAGACGGAGAATTGTTCTTGCATTATTCAGGAATTTTTTTCAATTTATTATTTTGTATTTATTTTACTTTATAATATTTGATGCATAAATACAGTAGTGTTGAGTACTTTCCTTTTCAGTTTTATCATTGAATAACTTCCCTGATAATAATAAACAAACAGAAATACTAACCATTATTATATTAAATTCCTCCGTTGAATGAAAAGTACTAAATCATAGTGTGTTTAGACTCTTACATAAATTTTTATTTCACTTTATTCTTTCGCGTTCCGATTGGAATATAGGTCTTCGAGCTTTGAGCTTCAACGTTTCATTAGGTTTACTGGTGATGGTAATCTTACCGGGGAGGGGTGCTAGCCTCACGCCCAACCTTCCCTATTTAACCAGATTCACTACCAGTTAAGAGAGGTCTAGGTCAACTGGAAATTCAACCCGGAACACAGGCGTGGTTGGTTAGCATTCCCACCAGTGAACCACACACTCACTGAATATATATATATATATATATATATATATAACGATTTGCTTTATCCAACAGCAGTGTTGAATTATCAGCCTTTCGTACAATGTCGGATCTGATTTACTCGACAACAACAAAAATAAAACAAAAAATAATGCTGGATGTCCAGAATTGGTATTAGCAGTAACAAAATTAAAGACTAACAAAACTGTCAAATGTTAACAATAGTGTTAACAACTAAAATTATAAGATATATATATAGACCGAAAGCTGCTACCTTGACGTGGTGGTCGGGCTTGAACACCGCAATGACCTAATCAAGCTATACTGGCTGAGACTTATGTCTCTTGAGGTTCTACCATGCCAGGCAGGTTGTTTGGATAGCGGTTAAACAAAAAGCAGCTACCCATCCAATACCATGATCCAAACAAATTCACAAAATTTCATGCCGGATCGGCCGTGGCCCGGATTAACAACGACCGCGCTTCCTGCTGCCGTGTCACAGGGCGGGAGTGATAAGTATGCTACTGAGGCACACAAAACAACGAAGAACGAACAAAAACAGGCCGCGTGTGACCGGCCACAAGCAGTTGTCCCCTGGGCTCTGCGGTCACGCAACCAACTTCCACGGTGTGGGCAGCCGGGAAGTAACAATCGCCCTCACAATCCAAAACGCACACAAAACCTCTCTAATCCTCACTTATCTTTGTCTTCATCTTCATCTCTATTACCTTACCTTCCCCCAGTGATGCAACTCCTCTACTTGATGGCTCCTCACTCCCTCTTCACTCTGTGTCCACTAAAAACGACGAAAGCCAAAAAACCACCACGGATAGTCTCCTAAAGCCACGCCACCAATTTCATATAGGAGCATTTAATGTAAGGACACTTTGCCAAATAGGACAACAAGCATCACTAGCTAAGACCCTGGCATCTCGAGCCATTGATGTATGTTGTGTTTCAGAAACACGCATACAAGACCCAAGTGTGGTTATTCACCTAACCCCACCTGGCCAACAGGATGAATCTTCAAAATTCACCTTGAGGGTGTCAGGAGATGCCACAGCTAGTTCACGGGGATTAGCTGGCGTAGGGATAGCTCTGAGTACTAGGGCAGAAAAGACATTGCTTGACTGGATCCCAGTAGATAGCCGAATGTGTGCTGTCCGTCTGAACGGATCAGTAAGAAGGAGAAAGGACTGCACTACTCGCCGATGCCTTTTCGTAATCTCCGCCTACGCCCCCACTGACTGCAGTTCGGATGAAACGAAGGATGAGTTCTACCAAAAGCTGTCTAGTTTGGTGAGAAAGGCTAAACGCTCAGATATAGTCGTTCTAGCTGGTGACTTCAACGCTCAAGTAGGGAAATTGTGTCAATCTGAGAAGGATGTCGGTGGCACCTATGGAGTTCCGTGCCAGCGAACCGACAACGGTGACCGTCTCCTACAGTTCTGTTCAGATAATCATTTGTTTCTTGTAAGCACTAACTTTAAACACAAGGAGAGACACTGTTTAACCTGGCGACCCCCATCATCAAACCAACGCTGGACACAAATAGACCACATAGCAATAAGCTATCGTTGGCGTGGGTCGGTAGGAGATTGTCGCTCCTTCTGGAACACGTGTGTAGATACCGATCATGCACTGGTCCGGGCTCGTGTGTGCTTACGACTGAACGGACGTAGGAAACAGCTGGCGGTAAAACCATTACGCCCCCAGCTCGATCAGGAAACTAAATCCCTATTTGAGGAAGAACTAGCTAAACGCATATCTGAATCCGACAGCTGTGCTCACCCTGGAGAAGCCTGGAAGAATATTCAGTCAGCTATAGATACAGCTGTAAAAGCTGTGAATAAGACAAATCCAAAGGTGAGTAAAAACCACTGGATTTCGACTGCCTCATCCGAACTGATAGATGCTAGAAGACTTATTCCGGCGAGCTCCGAATTCAATGAGGAGCGAAAGCTGCACAAAAGGAAACTTACTAAAAGTCTCCGCAAGGACCGTGAACAGTGGTGGGTGACAAAGGCGAAAGAGATGGAAAAAGCATTGGCGATAGGCAACACTAGGCAACTCTTTAGACTCATCACAGAATCGGGCGGGAAAAGGCAATTCATAAGTGAGACTATTTCTGAGAAAAATGGCTCCTTAATTAGCTCTCAGGATAGACGCCTTGAACGCTGGAAAGAACACTTTGAGGAACAATTTAACTTGCCTACAGCCACACTGAACCTCCCCGCCATCCACCACGTACCCGAATGGGATATAGACACTGGTCCGCCGTCTGTAGGTGAGGTTACAAAAGCTATCAGTAATTTGAAACGAGGCAAAGCGGCAGGACCCGACGGAATTATTCCGGAGGTGTTTAAATATGGGGGTGACATACTAGTTTGTAGATTAACTGAGGTACTAGGCAAAGTCTGGGAATCAGAGACAGTACCATCAGACTGGGGTAAGTCACTCATTATACCGATATTCAAGAAGGGAAACAAGTCCTCGTGTGATAATCATAGGGGGATCAGCCTAACGAACATAGTCTCTAAAATCCTAGGCTCAGTAATCATGCATAGACTAAGCAGAACTCGGGAGGAACAGACAAGGGAAAATCAAGCAGGCTTTAGACCAGGTAGAGGGTGCATAGATCATATCTTCACTCTTCGACAGATTCTAGAACATAGACACACTTTTCGGCGTCCAACAATTGTCATATTTCTTGACTTGAAGGCGGCCTTCGACTCCGTGGACCGAAAAGTACTATGGCAATGTCTGACTGTGAAGGGAGTGCCAAGAAAGTACATTGCACTAATCAAGGCACTCTATTCAAACTCACGTAGTCGTGTAAGGGCTTATGGGGAATTGTCATCTGAATTGGTAACAACCAGTGGTGTCCGACAGGGATGTCCACTTTCCCCATTTCTGTTTAACTTCATCATAGATATGCTAATGGAAGTATCCTTAACTGAACGTAGTGACTTAGGAATCGACTTGTTACCAGGGAATAATCTAATGGACTTAGAATATGCAGATGACATAGTCCTGTTAGGGGAGGATGCTGACAAAATGCAGAGTCTTCTGAACACCTTGAGCAGCAATCTTCGTATGTTTGGCATGCGATTCGCCCCTGCAAAATGTAAGATGCTGCTACAGGACTGGACGACGTCAACCCCTAACTTAGTGATAGGGAGTGAAGTGATAGAACATGTTGACCACTTCACCTACTTGGGAAGTTGTATTAGCACCAACGGACTGATTGGCGATGAAATCTCAGCACGGATCCGAAAAGCTCGAGCTGCTTTCGCTGACTTACACCATCTCTGGCGTAGGCGTGACATCCGGTTATCAACCAAGGGACGTGTGTACTGCTCATCAGTTCGCTCCGTCCTTCTCTATGGCTCTGAAACATGGCCAATACGCGTTGAAGACATGAAAAGGTTGACTGCTTTCGATCATAGATGTCTGCGATCTCTGTCTCACGTTAGGTGGTTTCACAAGATAAGTAATGTTGACGTTAGGCGTAGAGTGTTGGGCAAAGAGGGAAAATCAATCGACGAGGTTATAAAGTTACATAGACTAAGATGGCTAGGTCACGTGGTGCGCATGCCTAACCACCGCCTCCCCCGACGGGCATTGTTAGCTGATATAGGTTCAGGTTGGAAAAGAGCCAGTGGTGGCCAAACAAAAACATGGCATCAATCCATGAAATCCTTGACAGTTAAACTGAGTCAGGTAGGGAGATGCAGACTCCCGGGTTGGGGCCCTCGGGACTCTAGGAATCAATGGCTGGAGACAATAGGTGACATGGCTCAAAATCGTTGTCAATGGCGCAGATGTATTCAATCTCTGTAATCTTTCATATTCCTTTCTACCATTACCCATTCTGTTTCACTCTTATACTTGTCAAACTCTATTAATTCTCTTCACTCATCTTCTTGTCTACCTCTGTGTGCTATTTGGAACGTGGCAACTCGAACTGCTGCACTTCGGTGCCAAGTTCTATGTTGAATCCAGACAGACAGATATATGAAATAGTGCCACAATAAATTACAAACAAGAGAAATTGAAAGAGCCGTCTGTTTGGCTAGTTACATGGCAAGTTTGAGGTTTTACGCCTAACACTATCTCTGTCACATAGAACGCGGGCCAAATAGGGTATTGTTGAGTTTATGTACTTGGTTAGACGAGCATATAGTCTTTTATATTGAATTCTAGTCCCACATGATGAGATTCAAGTGTGTGTATATGTGAGGGGGGTTAGAGTTGTGAATATAGAGTGTGTCGAGAGTCAGACAATGTGGATTTAAAGCGTTTGTCACATGACTTCAGGTAGGTAGGTAGGTAGGTGTCTGTCGACTGCAGTAACAACAAGCTGACTTAGTACCACACCACTTACCCTGCTGACAACCTGTAGTAGTAGTAGTACCCTTCGAAATTCGACAAAGTTCATTTGTGAGTAGCCCAGGAAAGACTAAAGGGGGAGCAGTAATGAAGAACAGTAGGTAGGATGCAAGAGCTAACAAA